AGCTAGCACCTGGAGTTATTAGCTCCCTAAGTACTGAGTCTAGCGAGTCAGAAAATTACCCTCTGTCAGATTTGGAATTAAACCAACTTGAGGCAGTAAAAAAATTATTTCCGGATTTTCAAAAGCAAGGTCTAGGTCGTACGTCGCTTATTCAACATGATATAGATATTGGGGAAGCTAAAGCTGTAAAACAACGATATTATCCCGTAAGCCCCGCGGTAGAAAAGTTAATGTTCGATGAAGTAGACCGTATGTTAAGTTTAGGAGTTATAGAACCCGCAGAAAGTGACTGGAGTTCACCCATGAGATTGGTTGTGAAGCCCAACAAAGTTCGACTCTGTCTGGACGCACGCAGATTAAACTGTGTCACTAAAAAGGATGCTTATCCTTTACAGAGTATTGAAGGAATTTTTGCTCGACTCCCAAAAGCGAATATAATATCCAAATTAGACCTAAAGGACGCTTATTGGCAAATCGCGTTAACACAGGAAGCTAAACCGTTAACTGCCTTTACCGTTCCTGGCAGACCACTATACCAGTTTACGGTTATGCCATTTGGTCTTTGCAATGCCCCGTCAACAATGTGTAGGCTAATGGATTCTCTTATTCCTCCAGATTTACGCAATTGTGTTTTTGGTTATTTGGACGACATGTGTATAGTCTCCGAAAACTTTTCTGAGCATTTGGCCATCCTCGTTCGCATTGCGGAACAGTTCAGGAAAGCAAATTTAACTCTGAATATCGACAAAAGCAATTTCTGCGTAACTCGAATTAATTACTTAGGATATATTATTGGAAGCGGAGGTATATCAACCGATCCGTCGAAAATATCGTGTATCTTAAACTGGCCCAGTCCCAAAAACCTAAAGCAAGTTCGAGGTTTCTTAGGAGTCTGTGGATGGTATCGTAGATTTATACATAACTTTGCAGAGATCAGTTACCCTATAACTGAAACCTTGAAATCTAAAAAGACCTTCAAGTGGACTGAAGAGGCTCAACAAGCCATGGAGTCTTTGAAAAAACTTTTGACAACTGCACCGGTTTTGCAAAATCCCGACTTTAGTCAAAAATTTTTCTTACACTGCGATGCAAGCGATTATGGTGTAGGAGCAGTTCTCGTGCAATTATCGGAATCTATGGAAGAAAGGCCAATAGCTTATTTTTCTAAGAAACTCAGCAAAAGCCAACAAAATTATAGCGTTACCGAGCGAGAATGCTTAGCAGTAATATTGGCAGTAGAAAAATTTCGATGTTATTTAGAGATGCAGGAATTCGAAGTCATAACCGATCATTCTAGCCTGTTATGGCTAATGCGGCAACAAAATGTTTGTGGTCGTTTGGCAAGGTGGATTTTTCGTCTACAATCCTTTAAGTTCTCTATCTCGCACAGAAAGGGAAAAGATCATATAGTCCCTGACGCCCTTTCTCGCATTTGCGAAGGACATTTGGATGCAGTAACATCAGGCAGTCCGGAAATTGATTTAGATTCGATTGAATTTTTAAGCGATGAATATGTAAGTCTCAAAAACAAAGTTTTAGGAAAGGCAGATTCATTTCCAGACTTACAAGTCGTCGATAAGTTTGTATATATTCGAACAGAACATTCGACAGGAGATCATTTAAATGATGAAAATAACTGGCGATTATGGGTTCCGGAAAAGTTAAGACCCAACGTTATTAGTCAGGCCCATGATAATGTTTTGTCAGCTCATGGAGGAATGCATAAAACCATTGAAGCAGTACGCAGACATTTCTTTTGGCCAGGCCTCTCCAAGGATATTCGTGATTACATTCGTGAGTGCAGTACTTGTAAAGAAACCAAAGCACCCAATGCAATCCTAAGACCACCAATGGGTCAACAGAGTGTATCCGTTAGACCCTTTCAAAAATTATACATTGATATACTAGGTCCTTACCCTAGAAGTAAATCTGGTTATATCGGTCTTCTAATCGTGTTAGATCATTTTAGCAGATATCATTGGCTATGCCCCCTAAAACAATTTACTTCTAAAAAAATACAGGAATTTTTAGAGCACAGTATTTTCCATTGCTTTGGAGTTCCTGAGATAGTAGTTAGTGACAACGGAAGCCAATTTAAAGCTAAAGAGTTTGAGGTTTTTCTAACCAAGTTTGGTATACGTCATGTGTTTACCGCACTCTATTCTCCCCAGAGTAATGCGGCTGAGCGTGTAAACAGATCTTTGCTATCTGCTGTCCGTGCTTACATCAAACAAGACCAAAGAGAATGGGATCAGTATCTGACTCATATATCCTGTGCTCTTCGATCTGCAATACATCAAGGTATTGGATGTTCACCATATAAGGCGTTATTTGGCCTTAATATGATTAAGCATGGTGCTGACTATCGTTTGCTGAAAGACTTAAACTTGCTAGAGGATTCTATTCCATTAGATCGCCCTGATAGTCTAACTTTGATTAGAAAGGATATACAGAGAAACAGCAAGTTAGCATATGAAAGAAATGTAGAACAGTATAACTTGAGATCAAAACCAGTGAATTACAAAGAGGGCCAAGAAGTCTTCAGAAGAAATTTTAGCCTTAGCAATTTCAGTCAAAACTATAACAAGAAGCTTGCTCCACAATTTACTAAATGTAGAATAAAACGTAAGCTAGGAAACTCGTTTTATCTATTGGAAACTCTTCAAGGACGAGAGATTGGAACCTTTCACGCAAAAGATATTCGCGTATAATTCCAGCTAATCTTCCTCCTGCGAGTCGTCAGAATTATCTGTGGTTGTAATGGTCGCCTTAGTTGCAAGAATGTTTTCTTTCCTATACGAACGTTGGGAAAGAAAAGTTTTTTTATTTTGACTTAGATTTTTAAAATCTCGTCATATCCCGCCATAGTAGGACCCACTATTCACCTTTTTTGACAACTACCTGTGAATGACAAAAAAAGTGATTAATCTGAATGCACCCCTTCGTCGGCTTGAGAACTGATAAAAAGCTCGTAAGCCCAGAAATTGGTCTTTCCGTTTTAAGTCGTGCCTACGAGCAGTTGAAATCGCTCTTATCTCAATTTATAGTTTTTGCACGCTGCCAAAAAAATTGGACTTTAAAGTTCAAAGTCCAGGCATTCAAATCTGATCGCATCTCGCGATACGGAAAGTGCTCCGCTATTCAGTCAGCATTATTTTACCTTTCGGCTGCTGATTAAACCTGTACGGTAAATATTTTGTGCAAATTTTAGAAAACATAAATTCTAACCTTTGCCCCTCTAATAGCCACTGGATCAACCAATACCAACAATTCTCCTGATCGTGGCCGTAGCCAAATTCTTTTTGCCAACCTGTGTTGCAAACCCTTGTTTTTGGGCAGATCCGAAAAATCGACTTACGTAAGTCCTACCATAACCTGTCGCTTATACTCTTTTCACTGAGAAAAATTCTTTAGTTCCTCGCAACAACGTTCTTGCCATCGAAAAAGGAAAAGCCTGTAGGGATCCAGGAGAGAAAAGCAACAAAAGCAAAAATGTAGCAGAAAAACTGGCCACGTGGGATTGTTAAAAAAATTACAACGATACAAAAAACACCTTAAAATAATAAAATCCTTAATTACCTATATATAATAAAAAAAAAAAAAAAAAAAAATTATAATAATGAGGCAAAACAGATTAAAATTTAAAACAAAATTCTAAAAAAAAAAAAAAAAAAAAAAAAAAACAATAATTATGAAATACTAAAATTAATTAATTTAAATCCGCCATCACAACACGCCGATCAACCTTTCTCTAAGTGTACCTCTTATGGAGAACCCTAATCATATAATTTGAAAGCTTCTAAGCCCACAGCTTTTTAACCATCTCCTCTGCAACATGAAGGCCTTCATCAAGCAACAAGAGTGGGTGAGTTTTTATTCGGCAACATATTAAAAAGTGGAAGTGATCGAGCAAACCAATGAACATGCAAATTAAACAACTAATATTTTGTGCAAAGTGATAATCCAAATCAATTTAATTGTGACCGTTTAAGTCGTGAAAAAAAAAAAAAACATATATAAGATTTTAAATGCAGCCGTAAGCGCAGCTTTTGTTTTGATTATCCAGTTTCGTTGAGAGATAATGGAAGCTCGTGTACATTGGTTTGGCCGATAGCAAATATATATGATTGACTGTTCTCGCATAGTTTGAAATTAATTATGAATTAAATAAAACACGGCCTGTTGATGTGATTGTGAGTATAAAAGAAAAAGGTTCAAATAGAGTAAAAAGAAAAACAATGAAGATAAACAACATACACTAAAACAACAAAGATGTACAATTAATTCATACAATTTAAAACTTAGATCTTAATTTTTATTTTAATTAGTTAAAAGCCAACATGTAGAGATAAAAATATTATTTGAAAATTTAAAATTTAATTCTTAATTTTTATGATAATTAATTAAAAGCCAACATGTAGATATAACCATATTATTTGACAATTTAAAACTTTAATAAGACATATTAATTTGGAAATGATTAGATCCTATGAATAGAAACAGAATGCTTGAATTGTAATAATGGATGTTTAGAAAAAAATGAATTAAAAAAAAAAATATGATGAAAAGGAATATAACAAACTTTATAGTATGAAATTAACGATGAATTTCTAAGTTTTATTTTAGACATGGGGGTATAAATTAAATAAAGAGAAGGGACATTAACATTTGGGTTTCCCCAGTTAGAGAGAGACATGGTTGGGAGGGTTAAGAATACATGTGGCATCCACCATCAACGCCACCGCCTTACCGTTCGTTGAAGACCCTACACATACATCCATAGAATAAATTTGATTTTGATTCCACCTTTTTCGCCTATGAGTAGGCTTATTGTTTTGTTGAGGGACTCTTAAATTTAAAGTTCGTAGTGTCAAGTTTAGACGTCAGCAAGAACCTACCCCACCCGGAATGAGCTACCGTTTTATGGGTCCCGCCGCCGCTGATCAGTCGAAAACTAACAATATGTTGTCGTATAACACAGACCATGCAACACGCTACAAGTAAAAATTCTCACTATTCAAATCATGGAAGTGTAAGTTAATCAAAATATACCAGTGTCTATATCCTTGTAAAACACCCACTTTCTGCATTCAATTTTAGTCAAATCTGTCGCGCTTGCCTGGGAACGTCACCTGCTATGATCAACATATTCGACAACGCTCCAGGACTAGGGATCTCCATCGCCGATATGATCACGCAATGCACTCCCTACGAGATTTCTAAAGAAGATTGCTTCCCCGAAAACATCTGCGATTCTTGCCTGCACTGTGCACGATCCGCCTTTGAGATACGGCAAACCATAGAAACGAGCCACCAGATCTACCTCCAGATGAGAAATACTAAAAATCTACCAGTCAATTTAAATGACGGTGTTGGATTCAGCAAGACGAAAAAACAGTACATATGTCCCCACTGCTCAAAGTCGTTTTCCCAGAGTAGTAGTTTAAAAACACACATCAGGATTCACACTGGAGAGCGACCATACAAGTGTTCCCACTGCACAAAGTCGTTTTCCCAGAGTAGTAGTTTAAAAAAACACATCAGGAATTGTTTTGTAGAGAGACCATACAAGTGTCCCCACTGCGTAAAGTCGTTTTTCGAGCAAATTCATCTGAACAGACACATCGAAAATCACACGAGAGATCGACCATACAAGTGTTCTCACTGCTCAAAGTCATTTTCCACGAGATTTAATCGTAATACACACATCCGAACTCACACTGGAGAGCGACCATACAAGTGTTCCCACTGCTCAAAGTCGTTTAGCCATAAACCTTCTCTTAACGCACACATCCGAACTCACACTGAACAGCGATCATACAAGTGCTCCCACTGCTCAAAGTCATTTTCCCTTAAAAGTGCTCTTAATGTACATATCCGAACTCACACTGAAGAGCGGCCATACAAGTGTTCTCACTGCTCAAAGTCGTTTCCCGACCAACTTATTCTGCAGAGACACATCCGAATTCACACGGCTGAGAAGTCGCATAAGTGTTCTCACTGCTTAAAGTCATTTTCCGCGCAAATTCATCTGCAGAGACACATCCGAACACACACTGGAGAGCGACCATACAAGTGTCCCCACTGCTCAAAATCATTTGCCCAAAGATATACTCTTGACGCACACATCCGAACTCACACTGGAGAGAGACCATACAAGTGTTCCCACTGCTCAAAGTCGTTTAGCCATAAAAATACTCTTGACGCACACATCCGAACTCACACTGGAGAGCGACCATACAAGTGTTCCACCTGCTCAAAGTCATTTTTCCAGAAAGGTTCTCTTGATTCACATATCCGTGTTCACACTGGAGAGCGACCATACAAGTGTTCCTTCTGCTCAAAATCGTTTTCCCATAAAAGCATGTTGAATGAACACATCCGAATTCACACTGGAGAGCGACCATACAAGTGTTCCCACTGCCCAAAGTCATTTTCCGGGCAATCTCAACTGCAGAGACACATCCGAACACACACTGGAGAGCGACCATACAAGTGTCCCCACTGCTCAAAGTCATTTCCCCAAAGATATACTCTTACTGCACATATCCGAAATCACACCGGAGAGCGACCTTACAAGTGTTCCCACTGCTCAAAGTCGTTTTTACAGAGAAATCATCTCATTACACACAACGGAAACTGTATTGGAGAGAGACCATTCAAGTGTTCCCACTGCTCAAAGTCATTTTCCATGAAAGGTCATCTTAAAACACACATCCGAACGCACACTGGAGAGCGACCATACAAGTGTTCCCACTGCTCAAAATCATTTTCCCATAAAAATACTCTTAACGGTCATATCCGAACTCACATTAAATAGTTTCTTTCTTGCACAAAGATTTTTTTCTGTTATAAGGACCTCAACAAACGCATCCCAATCCACACGAAATACCCAAACTATTTAAATTTTTTTTCTTATTTTATAAATAACTAGATTGTTAACTAACATTAATGCACAAATAAATAAATGTACTTGAATAAACCATTTGTTTTTATTCTGACGAAAATATAATAATACTTTGGTATGCTTTGCTTGCCCCACTCCATTGGATCCCTTCAAGTTCGACACGAAACACTCTTCCAGCTTTAACATTTTTTGATAAGCAGCGATGTTTATTTTTGCAAATTCACAGATTGTAAATATTCGATCAATGCAAATACAATATTTATTGATTTCCTTTTCTTATTTATATATATATTTTTTTTATGTTTTTGAAAAAGTTTACTACTTTCGTTTCAAATACACGTAGAAACTGGAGAAAACACAAAGGCTGAATACTGATTATTATTATATTAATATTTCAATTTTATTTATATGCTCAAGTTGCAAGGTTAAACAAACATTAAGTACTAAAAATTTAAGAGTTTTTACTCGAATATACTAGGAATCTAAGCTTTATATTATCTCTATTTGCAGACATTGATTATATTCTCTATTAAATACTCTTTCCGGCGATAAAACTAAAATCTAAGATACTTTCATTGTTTTATAGTTTCTAAAATAAGCATTAAACTGTTTCGACTCAGAGACTAAATTATTGAAAACAATTGTGTAAATATATACAATTTTTGTCTGCGTTTGTTTGTTTGTTTTAGAATTAAATTTAGATTGAAAGGCATACATATTCTTCTCAGGCGCCACTGAAAAAGAGATAATATAGATATACTTAATTATTCATATTCATTTATTTTTAAAATATAGATATTCTAGATATTATTGATATTCTACAAGATAAGGGGATTTTGAAGTTTAAAATTCCATATAAAGTTCTAAAATCTTAGAGCTTAGACAGCTTTTAAATTTATTTATTTATTTATTTATTATTAAAGATAGAGAAGTTTACAAAACTAAACTAACTTAGTTGGTAAAGCGCTGGCAACAGGGTCTTCGGCTTTTAAGATTCATGATATTATATATATTGTTTTAATTACATATTTGACATTGTAGTTTGGCTACTTAGTTGGTAATTTTTATTTATATACATTTTGGGTATGTTTTTATATTTTGTGGTAAAGATTGGAAGATCTTAAGAAAATTAAGATTTTTTCTAGATTATCTGGGTTGAGTTCGCTGAGGAGATTTGTTGGGTCTGTGTTTTTGAAAATGGATAGTTTGATGGGGAGGAGTGATGGGCAGGAGTTTAAGAGGTGGGATATGGTATTGTCGCTTTGGCAAAAAGGGCAGGGTTGAGGTTGGTTTTGGTTGAAGTAGTGCTCGTGTGTAAGTTTTGTGTGGCCTAGTCTAAGGCGTATTATTTTAGTTTGATCGAGTCTGCTTGATTTGGGATGGAAGGATCTGTAGTAGTTGTCGATGTTTGAATTGTTTTTGTTTATGGTTTTGTACCATTGATTACAGTGCTCTAAGCTAAGTTTATTTCTTGTGAGAAATTCTAGTTTTAAGTGTCTGTTAATGTCTGTTAAGTTAATGTTTGGGGTGTAAATAAGGGGCATGTTGCTTGTTGATTTTGCGGTGTGGTCGGCTAGCTCGTTGCCTGCTATGCCTACATGACCAGGGATCCACAATATTTTGATTTTCGGGGCTAGTTTTGTTATAAGTGATCTGATTTTGTTTGAGTAAAAGTTGTTGTTGTTAGTGTTTTTTATGGCGTCAATTGCTGAGAGAGAGTCAGAGCAGATCATGAACTTCCCCCTTGTGCTTTTGACTTGGTCGATCGCTACTAGGATGGCTATTATTTCAGCGGAAAGAACTGATGAGTATGGGGGTAGGATACCATATTTAATAATATTGGTATCTGTTGTGACTGCATATGATATAGTGGAGTTTATTTTTGATCCGTCTGTAAATATGAATTTGTGTGTTTTATGGCTGTCTTTGGTATGTTGGTATAGTTTTCTGTAAGTATCTGGTGGTGTAGTTTGTTTCTTGTGTGTTCTGAATGTTGTATCTATGAGATTTGGGAGATCCCAAGGTGGCTTGCATTTGTGTAGTTTTACTGGTTCGTAGGGTAGATTAAGTGCTTGGCAAAGATTTATTGTGCGGTCTATGGTTGATGGGTTTTTTTTTGATTTTCTTTGTTTGACGAGTTTGTGTATTGGGGTATCTTTTGAAAATATTAGGTTTTTCGTGAGTTTTGCTGTTTGGAGGTCTCGTTTTTGCTCTAATGGCAGGATGTTGGCTTCGTATAGCAAGTTATTAATGGGCGTGGTTCGGAAGGCGCCAAGGGCTAGCCGAATTGCAGTGTTAAAGGGTGTTTTTATTTTGTTTAATACACTTTTGGGAGCGTGTCCGTATAGGAACAAGCCGTACTCAATTTTTGCTATTATTGTTGCTTTCGCAACGTGAAGTAGTGTTTGTGTATTGCAGTTGAATTTTTGGTTGGAGAGGCATTTAATTATATTTAGCTTTTGGTGTAGAGATGGAAGTAGTGATTTTATGTGTGTGTCCCATTTGTATTTAGTGTTTATGGTTATCCCTAAGATTTTGAGTGCAGATACTTGTTGTATTTGTATATTGCTACAGCTTATGGTGCTAGTACAATTGTGTTTTCGACAAATATGGAGGTGTTTGCATTTAGCTAAGGATAGGGATGCTCCTGAGTATGAGCACCAACTGTTTATATTATGTAATACGTTGTCCATATTGAAATTAAGGCTTTTGTTTTTGTTGAAATTTATGATGAGGAAGAAATCATCAGCGTATGCGTTAAATTTAATTTCTTTGTGTATAGATATTATGTTTGAGAGCTTGTTGTATGCAATGAGAAATAGGATAACTGATATAGGTGATCCTTGTGGGATACCATTGGATAATGGAAGTGAATTGGAGATGTGCGGGCCTACTCTGACAATTATTTTCCTTTTGAGCATGAAGTTTTTGACGTAGTTTATTATTTTTGGGCCTGTTTTCCATTCCTGGAGTTGATCGATTATGGTGTGCACACCTACTCGATCAAAAGCTCTTGAAAAGTCAAGAGTGACGAGGGAGGTGTGCATTTTTGACTTCGTTATAAGATGGTCTACGTATAGTAGACTATCCGAAGTCGATTTGCCTTTTTTAAAGCCGAATTGGTTTTCATTAAGTAGTTTATTGTGGGTCACGAACCACCATAGTCTTTTTGCTATTATTTTGTCTAGTGTTTTTGCTAGACAGCTGTTGAGGGAAATGGGTCTGTATGAAGAGATGTTTGTTTTGTCGGACTTTGGCTTGAGGATCGGTATAACTAAACTTATTTTGTAGGCTTGAGGTATGTGGCTGTCGAAAATTTGGTTGAAAAGGTTTTTTATTCTGTTTTTTGTGGTATGTGAGCTTTTACTAATCATTTCGTAAGAGATTCTATTTAATCCTGGGGTGGATCCTTTAAGAGTTTGTAGTGCTGCAATCAGTTCAAGGTAGGTTATATTTTCTTCGATAGTTTGGGCTGTTGAGGTGGGTCTGTAATTGGCTGTTGTAATTTTATATTTGTTATTTCGGAATTCGTCTGAGAAGGTTGAATCGTTTGACAGTTCTGAGAAGTGTTGGGAGAAGGAATTGGCTATTTCGAGGGTATCTGTTGTTGCTGTGTTGTTTTTTGGATTGAGTATGGCGTGAATTTGTTTCATTGGGTTAAGACCGCAGAAGCGTCTTATGTTGCTCCATATTTTAGATGAGGGGGTTTCTGGATGTATGGTGGATGTAAAGGAGCTGGAAGCTTCGCTTTTACTTCTTTTTATTTCGAATCTGTATTTAGCATTTAAGCGCCTGTAGTTTATAACATTTGTGAAATTTATGTTGCGGTTAAGTGCTTTCCAAGCTAATTGTTTTTCTTTTTTAGTTGGGCTAGTTCTTTGTTCCACCAGGGGACCTTATAGGGTTTTGTATTTGCTGAGGTTTGTGGGATTGAAATGTTGGCGCTATGTAAAATGATTTTGTTAATTTGTGCGGCTTCTTTATTGACATTAGTTGAAGTGGGGAATGTGTCGTTATTTTTGTGTGTGAGAGTCTCATATTGAGGCCAGTTGGCTTTTTTTAATTTGAAAAAGGGTTTTGAAAATTTGTTTAATTTGTTTGGAGGGAATAGGGAGACGACTATTGGAAAATGGTCGCTCCCGTGGAGATCATCAAGTATTTCCCACTTGGCGTGTGGGGCTAGTGTTGCTGAGCAAAGTGAAAGGTCGATATGCTTTTAAATAAACTTAAAAGGTATTGAAAGTTAACTTTTATTTTATTCGTCAACTTGAATTTTCAAATTTTTAACGATTATTTGTAAATTTGTATTGATTTTTATTTTACTCCGAACTCATATTTGTGATCCCTGGAATTGACCAGAGTGCTGTGCATTTATTGAAAATGCAGCATAACTGATTTGATTTAATATTTTATATTTAATAATTAAAAAACAAACAAACGTAAAATTATTATTTATAAATCAGCTTTTTTCTTAGCTTTTTTTCCCACCCAATTCCCTTTTTTTAAAGAAAAGTGACGAGCAGAAGCTACATCCATAGTGCCATCGATGGCTTGACAGCTCACGGGCTTTCTTGTTTTCTTTCTTTTTCTTTTATAATTTATAATATTTATAAATATTAGATGTGATTCGAAAATCTGGTGTGGTTTAAACATCAGGTGTGGTTCGAATACCAGGCGTGGTTTGAATATCGATTTTTCGATGTTTTTACGGACGAAACATCGATAGTATCGATAGTGATGTGATTGTTGTTTTCAAACCCTGGTCAGGTTCCCTGCGTATTTTCCTTCTCTTTTCTTTGACATTCTACATGAGAATTCGACCCCAAAAACGAGAATTCGACCCCAAGTATGTAAAACCTTGTTTTGACATTTTACTTTGAAGTTCAGAGTGACCAAGGCGAAAAAATCTAAGAATATCAAATAAAAATGTAGGGCAACAAAATTGATAGTATCTAGCTCCGATGTTTTGCCAGCCCTAGTTCCCTGCGTATTGTGATCGCGCGGAAAATTTAAAAACAGCGGGCAGCGGGAATTCCAGCCTTTCTTTTGTATAATAGATGTAATCGATAGTCGCCAAATCATCGATTTTTCACCACCTCTAATCCACAAGGACGAAAAATTGTGATCATATGGTAGACATTCTGCGTTGTGTATTAAAACTGTACCAAGTTTGTAAGTATATATCCACGTATAACTTTTAATACAAGTACAAAAAAAATCTCACTATTCAAATCATGGAAATGTAAGTTAATCAAAATATACCAGTGTCTATATCCTTGTAAAACACCCACTTTCTGCATTCAATTTTAGTCAAATCTGTCGCGCTTGCCTGGGAACGTCACCTGCTATGATCAACATATTCGAAGACGCTCCAGGACTAGGGATCTCCATCGCCGATATGATCACTCAATGCACTCCCTACGAGATTTCTAAGGGAGATTGCTATCCCAAAAACATATGCGATTCTTGCCTGCACTGTGCTCGAGCCGCCTTTGAGATAAGGCAAACAATTGAGAAGAGCCACCAGAAGATACTCCAGTTGAAGAACCGTAAAGTCTTAACAGCCAATCTCAGGCAGGATGTTTGCTCTCCTGAGATTAAAAAACCGCACAAGTGTACCTACTGCCAAAAGGCGTTTAAGAAAAAATGGCATCTTCAGGAACATACGCGTAAGCACACGGGAGAGCGATCGTATAAGTGCCACTGCTCGATGTCCTTTTCCTATAGAAATTCTTTAAAGTCACACATCAAGCGGCACACTGGAGAGAAACGGTATGAATGCTCCCACTGCTCGAAGAAGTTTACAGAATCTTGTCATCTTAAGATACATATCCGAACTCACACGGGCGAGAAACCGTTTAAGTGCTCTCAATGCTCAATGTCATTTGCTATTAAGACCACTCTTCAGTCACATATCCGAACTCATACGGGAGAGCGACCGTATAAGTGTCCCCAATGTCCACAGGCGTTTACCCAGAAAAATGGTCTTAAGGCACACACTCGAACACATACGGGAGAGCGACCGCATTCGTGCAATCACTGCTCAAAGTCGTTTTCAACGAAAGAACAACTTAAGCAACACATCAGATCTCACACGGGGGAGAGACCATTTAAGTGCTCCCTCTGCTCGAAGTCCTTTTCCTCAACAAGTGGTGTTCAACGGCACAATCTAACTCATACGGGAGAGCGACCGCATAAGTGTTCCCACTGTTCGATGGCATTTTCCCAGAGTTCTAGTCTTTATAGACACCTGTTAACACACAGGAGGGATAAACTAGAAAATTAATACGTTCGTCTGGGATCACTTGCTGTAACCGCACAGAAAACATAACGGAAAAGCCACTGCTTCCTAGGGTCTAAAACCATTAAAAATAAATATGCATATCTCAAATAAGCGACAAAAAAAATCAGAAAAAGCCACTGCGTCTCAACCTACGATCTAAAACCATATCTAATTTTAACTAATACTCATTTTATCTAAAAATATATTTAAGTCTTTTACAAATAAATATAAATCAAACAATCAAAATCATTTTGCCAAATTCTGTAAAAAATCGTACTATTAATAGGGTTTGAAAACACGATAAATTACATAATGAAATCTATTGAAAGCAATACTCTTCTATACTATATAGTCTTTCCAGTACAACAAAAAATATACATTTTTAAAAATTATATCCCAGAGTAGATAGAAATGTGTTGAACAAAAACATAACTACCACGACTGAATTACTGAAAATATCGGAAACTGAAAACAGCTGTTCCTATACAAACGGCTTTAACGATATTTTCAGTCATTTAGCGACTCCGAAGTCGCTAAAAATATCGAATGAATGACTGAAAAGCCAGTGGGTTAAAGGATTCGATAGTCACGAAATCATCGATTTTGTCCATCTCTAATCAGCTGGACACAAGGATAACAAGGATCACATGTTAGACATTCTGCGTTGTGTATTAAAACTGTACCTAAAACTGTATCTGTTCAGAAAGAACACACAAATTTGAAGCAATAAAACAACACCAAATTGTTGCGTTTGGGATGCAGATGTCCTGCACTCTAGCAAATGTGTGCATACCTAACTCTGCTAGGTACCTAGAACGCTTGCTGGATTATATGACCTTCTGCGAGTGGTCACCATAAAGACCATAAAGGGTTTCCTGCGGTCGGAGATATACCGATCCGTGGGTCTAGAGGTAAGGAATTTCCATTTTCATGTTAGCTACTTAAGGCTAGGATTTTAGGAAATAAATTTAGTTTGAACTATCAACTCAACAACGTCAGACGCTCGTTTCATTTACAGCCTCTCTCGACAGTATCCAAGTATAATTTTTCAATACAAGTAAAAATTCTCACTATTCAAATCATGGAAGTGTAAGTTAATCAAAATATACCAGTGTCTATATCCTTGTAAAACACCCACTTTCTGCATTCAATTTTAGTCAAATCTGTCGCGCTTGCCTGGGAACGTCACCTGCTATGATCAACATATTCGACAACGCTCCAGGACTAGGGATCTCCATCGCCGATATGATCACGCAATGCACTCCCTACGAGATTTCTAAAGAAGATTGCTTCCCCGAAAACATCTGCGATTCTTGCCTGCACTGTGCACGATCCGCCTTTGAGATACGGCAAACCATAGAAACGAGCCACCAGATCTACCTCCAGATGAGAAATACTAAAAATCTACCAGTCAATTTAAATGACGGTGTTGGATTCAGCAAGACGAAAAAAACAGTACATATGTCCCCACTGCTCAAAGTCGTTTTCCCAGAGTAGTAGTTTAAAAACACACATCAGGATTCACACTGGAGAGCGACCATACAAGTGTTCCCACTGCACAAAGTCGTTTTCCCAGAGTAGTAGTTTAAAAAAACACATCAGGAATTGTTTTGTAGAGAGACCATACAAGTGTCCCCACTGCGTAAAGTCGTTTTTCGAGCAAATTCATCTGAACAGACACATCGAAAATCACACGAGAGATCGACCATACAAGTGTTCTCACTGCTCAAAGTCATTTTCCACGAGATTTAATCGTAATACACACATCCGAACTCACACTGGAGAGCGACCATACAAGTGTTCCCACTGCTCAAAGTCGTTTAGCCATAAACCTTCTCTTAACGCACACATCCGAACTCACACTGAACAGCGATCATACAAGTGCTCCCACTGCTCAAAGTCATTTTCCCTTAAAAGTGCTCTTAATGTACATATCCGAACTCACACTGAAGAGCGGCCATACAAGTGTTCTCACTGCTCAAAGTCGTTTCCCGACCAACTTATTCTGCAGAGACACATCCGAATTCACACGGCTGAGAAGTCGCATAAGTGTTCTCACTGCTTAAAGTCATTTTCCGCGCAAATTCATCTGCAGAGACACATCCGAACACACACTGGAGAGCGACCATACAAGTGTCCCCACTGCTCAAAATCATTTGCCCAAAGATATACTCTTGACGCACACATCCGAACTCACACTGGAGAGAGACCATACAAGTGTTCCCACTGCTCAAAGTCGTTTAGCCATAAAAATACTCTTGACGCACACATCCGAACTCACACTGGAGAGCGACCATACAAGTGTTCCACCTGCTCAAAGTCATTTTTCCAGAAAGGTTCTCTTGATTCACATATCCGTGTTCACACTGGAGAGCGACCATACAAGTGTTCCTTCTGCTCAAAATCGTTTTCCCATAAAAGCATGTTGAATGAACACATCCGAATTCACACTGGAGAGCGACCATACAAGTGTTCCCACTGCCCAAAGTCATTTTCCGGGCAATCTCAACTGCAGAGACACATCCGAACACACACTGGAGAGCGACCATACAAGTGTCCCCACTGCTCAAAGTCATTTCCCCAAAGATATACTCTTACTGCACATATCCGAAATCACACCGGAGAGCGACCTTACAAGTGTTCCCACTGCTCAAAGTCGTTTTTACAGAGAAATCATCTCATTACACACAACGGAAACTGTATTGGAGAGAGACCATTCAAGTGTTCCCACTGCTCAAAGTCATTTTCCATGAAAGGTCATCTTAAAACACACATCCGAACGCACACTGGAGAGCGACCATACAAGTGTTCCCACTGCTCAAAATCATTTTCCCATAAAAATACTCTTAACGGTCATATCCTAACTCACATTAAATAGTTTCTTTCTTGCACAAAGATTTTTTTCTGTTATAAGGACCTCAACAAACGCATCCCAATCCACACGAAATACCCAAACTATTTAAATTTTTTTTCTTAATTTATAAATAACTAGATTGTTAACTAACATTAATGCACAAATAAATAAATTTACTTGAATAAACAATTTGTTTTTATTCTGACGAAAATAGAATAATACTTTGGTATGCTTTGCTTGCCCCACTCCATCGGATCCCTTCAAGATCGACACGAAACACACTTCCAGCTATAACATTTTTTGATAAGCAGCGATATTTATTTTTGCAAATTCACAGATTGTAAATATTCGATCAATGCAGATACAATATTTATTGATTTCCTTTTCTTATTTATATATATATTTTTTTTTTATGTTTTTGAAAAAGTTTACTACTTTTGTTTCAAATACACGTATAAACTGGAGAAAACACAAAGGCTGAATACTGATTATTATTATATTAATATTTCAATTTTATTTATATGCTCAAGTTGCAAGGTTAAACAAACATTAAGTACTAAAAATTTGAGAGTTTTTGCTCGATTATACTAGGAATCTAAGCTTTATATTATCTCTCTTTGCAGACATTGATTATATTCTCTATTTAATACTCTTTCCGGTGATGAAACTAAAATCTAAGATACTTTCATTGTTTTATAGTTTCTAAAATAAGCATTAAACTGTTTCGACTCAGAGACTAAATTATTGAAAACAATTGTGTAAATATATACAATTTTTGTCTGCGTTTGTTTGTTTGTTTTAGAATTAAATTTAGATTGAAAGGCATACATATTCTTCTCAGGCGCCACTGAAAAAGAGATAATATAGATATACTTAATTATTCATATTATTCATATTCATTTATTTAAAAAAAAAACTATTATAGATATTCTACAAGATAAGGGGATTTTGAAGTTTAAAATTCCATATAAAGTTCTAAAATCTTAGAGCTTAGAAAGCTTTTAAATCAACTTAAAAGGTATTGAAAGTTAACTTTTTTTATTCGTCAACTTGAATTTTCAAATTTTTAACGATTATTTGTAAATTTGTATTGATTTTTATTTTACTCCGAACTCATATTTGTGATCCCTGGAATTGACCAGAGTGCTGTGCATTTATTGAAAATGCAGCATAACTGATTTGATTTAATATTTTATATTTAATAATTAAAAAACAATCGTTAAATTATTATTTATAAATCAGCTTTCTTCATAGTTTTTTTTTCCCACCAAATTCCCTTTTTGTTTAGGAAAAGTGACGAGCAGAAGCTACATCCATAGTGCCATCGATGGCTTGACATCTCACGGGCTTTCTTGTTTTCTTTCTTTTTCTTTTATAATTTATAATATTTATAAATATTAGATGTGATTCGAAAATCTGGTGTGGTTTAAACATCAGGTGTGGTTCGAATACCAGGCGTGGTTTGAATATCGATTTTTCGATGTTTTTACGGACGAAACATCGATAGTATCGATAGTGCTGTCGATTGTTGTTTCCAAACCCTGGTCAGGTTCCCTTACATTTGACATTCTACATGAGAATTCGACCCCAAAAACGAGAATTCGATCCCAAGCATGTAAATTGACATTTTACTAAAATTCAGAGTGACCGAGGGGAAAAAATGAAAGAATATCAAATAAATTATCGAATATTTTGATGCAACAAAATTTCACATTCAAACACGTTCGTCGCATGCATTCTCTCTCGGTTCGGTTGCAACGGAGCCGAAGTTCGGTTGCAACGGAGTCGAAGGTGCTGCCGAAGTCTATGTTGTTCGCTCTCGAACACTCTACATTCTACACGAGAATTCTACCCCAAAAACGAGAATTCTACCCCAAAAACGAGAATTCGACCCCAAGCATGTAAATTGACATTTCGCTTTGATTCAGAGTAGTGCTGGCAAAAAATCGATTTTTTCCACTATCGATTTTTCGACGTGTTTACGGACGAAACATCGATAGTATCGATAGTGCTCCGATGTTTTGATAAATGTCGATTGTTTTCAAACCCTGGTCAGGTTCCCTGCGTATTTTCCTTCTCTTTTCTTTGTTCACTTCAGCGAAACGTACGTAAAAAAATTCCGCTCCTAAAATCTGAAAAAACCTGTATATAAGCAACCGAAAATAAAAATATTAATATTTGAGGCTAAAGAAATAACCGGCTAGTTAAATAAAATTGAATTTAAAGAAAAATCTGTAAAGATGCTGCCGCTAAATTGGGATTCTCATTTTAACCTTACTTTTACCCTTGCAGTGCTGGGTTGAATTGTTGGAACCATGGTGAACGGCCGCATCCCTTCGGTCTTCTCGAAGACCTATGTGACTCCTCGTCGCCCCTATGAGAAGGCGCGTCTGGACCAGGAATTGAAGATCATTGGAGAGTATGGTCTTCGCAACAAGCGTGAGGTGTGGCGCGTGAAGTACGCCCTTGCCAAAATCCGTAAGGCTGCCCGTGAGCTCCTGACCCTTGACGAGAAGGACGAGAAGCGTCTGTTCCAGGGTGAGTTAACAGCTGCAGCAAGGGATACCACAGTTAAATTTTTATAGAAAGAGCCATGTGCATTAACACGTGACTGGAAATTGTTTATAAAGGTTCGACTGTGGAATACGCTAAACACTGACATGATGAACTGTATTTAAAAATAATAATCTGACACTTCTTGTCTGAAAAAACGTTGACGTTAACCAAATACACACTGAAGACAGTTCCATTGTTACTTCAGATCGAACCTGTTTAAATCTCCATTAAATTTATGTTTTTTATACCCTCAGGTAACGCCCTGCTGCGTCGTCTGGTGCGCATTGGTGTCTTGGACGAGTCCCGCATGAAGCTCGATTACGTGCTGGGCCTGAAGATCGAGGACTTCTTGGAGCGCCGCCTGCAGACCCAGGTGTTCAAACTGGGTTTGGCCAAGTCCATTCATCACGCTCGTGTGTTGATCCGCCAGCGTCACATTCGGTAAATATCGCTTTGACGAGCGACTACATCGTCGCCAGGCTCAGAAAACACTCTGTATACAGTGTATATTGTTCAGTAAGACCACTTGAGAGTCGAACAAGCTCCATAGCTTGCACCGGCTCTCAACGTCTTGAGATTGCGTATGTGGCTCTGGGTCACAGCAATCTTATATGCAAAATGCCCGCATAAGCGTAAGTTGCACTGAACGTTTTTAGCTCCAATGATTGCAGCCACCAGGTGCTGGCCCCTTTTCTCGAGTTTAACTAATTGAAATTGTATTCTCCCTTCCACAGTGTCCGCAAGCAAGTGGTCAACATTCCCTCGTTCGTTGTGCGCCTGGACTCCCAGAAGCACATTGATTTCTCCCTGAAGTCTCCCTTCGGTGGCGGCCGCCCCGGCCGTGTCAAGAGGAAGAACCTGAAGAAGAACCAGGGTGGTGGTGGCGGCGCTGCCGAAGAGGAGGAGGACTAAGTGCTAAACCGGCTGCAACTGGTTGCACGAGAGTATTGTGTGAATAAACACTGAAAAATTGTTTTACACAAAATAAACAAAAAATGCCCTAAACTATTGATATTTATTTATGATATAATTGGATCCGCTGGTGGAGTATATATAGAAAATGCATTATATGCCTAGGGCCAAAACATGCTATTTAAAGAAATGCAGAATGAACTTGGCATTGAGAAAATACATTTGTTTGGGTTTAGTTAGCCAAAATAAAAATTTTCTTATTCCTTGAAACCTGTAAGAACAGTCTTAAATATAGGAATAAAATGAATTAATTTAGTAACTTTGTAACTATTCATTAGAAATGTAGATAAAACAATGCGTTTAGTTAAACGATTGTTAAATTTATCGAATCGAAAAAGAGTCGTTAAATGTCAAGCCAGGGTTGATATTTTCCAAGTTTATCTTTATCGAGAAAAACAGCTGTGCTGGTTATTGTTTTGTTTACTGGAAATGTTTACAAAAAGAGCGCGAGGTAAAAACTTTACCGATTCAGAGGAGCATATTCTCCTGGATCTCCTAAATCAGCACAATACCGTTCTTCAGAACAAGAAGAGCGATGCCGTCACTTGGCAAAAGAAAAAGGAGACTTGGGAGCGCATTGCCGAGGAGTTTGCGGACCAAACGGGTGTCAGCCGGCCCTGGACAGCTCTCCGGGACAAATACGACAATATGAAAAGGAAATCCCGGAATGGCATTGAACCCGGAAGAAGGAAAACTTATGGCGACACTCCTTCGTTCTCCGGATCGTCGGTGTCGGAAAAAGTGGGCAACCTCATGGGAATCACAGGAGCAGCAAGGCTAGTAAACCAGTTTGACAGTGATGGTATATGAAACCTTGGCGTATATGCTTATTATATCATAACAAATGTATTCAATATACTTTATTCCTTATTTTTAGCAAATTACCAATTAGTTAATGAAGCCGAGGAAGGATCAGAGGAAGCCAGCAGCACCCACAATTCCGAAAGTCCTCATCTGGTGAAAGTATGGTGGGATCGTCTTTTGAAATATTTGTATTCTAATAAATTCTCTCTAGCTTTTTAAGTCAACAATCGAGGATTACACGGATCCAAAGATCGAAGTTCCGGAAACCGAGAGCCCGGAGGCATTTCAAATATGGCATCAAAAAAGATTTAGAGCGTGCGAGCCCCCCATACTGCCGGATCACAGAGGGAAATCCAGTCTCGAGGAGGAGAAGGTCGAATTGGTTAAGCTGCAACAGGAATATTACAGAGATGCGAATTCCAGAGCTGCTGAGAAGCACAAATATGAGATAGAGAAGCAAGTGGTTGAACTGCAAACAATGCGATTAAAGAACCAATTAATTGAAATGGAAATTGAGGAAAAACGAGAAGAGATGGCCAAGAGAAAACGGAATTCTTAACCCTAGAAACACAACTCATTTAAAATTGTAAAATTAACTTTTGAATTGTAATTATAATTATTTTAAAGTAGCATAAAAAAGGAAATTGAAAATAAGTTCCTTTTAATAAGTACAAAGTAATTTAACATCCTTAAACTATGTAAAATAGTTGTAAATATTTTATTTAGCAAACAAATTGTTTTAGAATATGTTAATTGACGAGTAATAAAAGCATTTGTAATTTTGTAACTAATAAAATTATCACAATTTTAAGTTGTAAAATGACTGCTAGGCTAAAATATATATTTAAAATAAACCTAAAGAAATAATGGGTTAACGACACTTGCATATTTCCGATCTCACGCAGGCTGGTCACATCATTCGATCCCAGAATTTCTGCTTGCGCAGTTGAAAAACGATCGCCAGGCGGACCAGTGTGACCGGGTTTCGGCGAATACTCGCGAGTTGATGGTCCTACTGCTGGGTCAGCTGTGTTTGTTTACAATGGAAACGTAAAACAAAAGTGTGCAAATTGACAAGAAAGTAAAAAACAGTAAAAACTGCAGCAGATTACTGGTAATAACCAGTTGAGTGCCTTAAAACCATAACGGCCCGTCACCGCATAGGCAGCACAATGCGCAAGGACGTCGTGTGGAACTTTTCGATCATCTTTCTTTGCTGCGTGCTGAAAAACATTGGCACCTTGGCCCAAGACGCACGTACAGCCTCGAATCGCTACAACTCGCAGCAGCAGCAGCAACAGCAGCCGCAGTTCAAGCAGCACACAAATGTGGCTCCATATCATCCGTCGGACGACGCTGGTGGCCAGCATCATCACCACCATGCGCACGACGCGACTGGCAGTGGCGGCGGAGGACATCACCTTGACCACCATTTGCATCGGAGTTCGTACAATCTGCTGAGCGAGGCCATGTCACAGGCGGTAAGCAATGAGTTTAGCTCGGCGATGGGCAGCGGCTCGGCTGACGGGGCGTGCGGGGCTGACGAGCTGGACTGTCACCATGGCAGCAGCAGCACCCAGGATCGTTTTGGCATGGAGGCCATTGCCAGTTTGCATCGCCAGCTCGATGATGACGACAACGGTAACATCGACCTCAGCGAATCGGATGATTTTCTGCGCGAGGAGCTAAAGTATGACTCTGGCTACGAGAAGCGGCAGAAGGCCTTCCATTTCAACGACGACATGCACATATCGGTCAAGGAGCTGTGGGAGGCCTGGCTGCGCTCAGAGGTGCACAATTGGACCATCGAGCAGACCACCGACTGGCTAGCCCAGTCCGTGCAGCTGCCCCAGTATGTGGAGCTCTTCAAGCTGCATAAAGTCACTGGTGCTGCGCTGCCCCGGCTGGCCGTCAACAATCTGCAGTATGTGGGCAATGTCCTGGGCATCAAGGATCCCATACATAAGCAGAAAATCTCATTGAAAGCCATGGATGTGGTGCTCTTTGGTCCGCCTCGTGACAATGGCAACCGCTGGAAGGACTATATCCTGGTCACCCTGTTGCTGAGTGCTATTATTGGCTGCTGGTATGCATATCAACAGAATAAGAACGCCAAGCGCCATTTGCGCCGCATGGCCCAGGACATGGAGGGCTTGCACCGCGCCGAACAAAGCCTGCAGGAGATGCAGAAGGAGCTGGAGCTGGCCCGCATGGAGCAGGAGAATGTGGCCACCGAGAAACTTGACCTAGAGCGACGCCTCAAGGAAGCGCCCACACTCAGTTCATCGAACTCCGATCTGGAGGTGCAGCAACTCAAGCAGGAAATCGAGATGCTGCGCAACGAGCTGTCGCGGGCCGAAATGGAGTTGGTGGACAACTGCTGGACTCCGCCTCCTCAGCTGCAGTCGTGGCTGCAGTACACATACGAACTCGAAAATAGGAATCATCAGAAGAAGCGGGCCTCGGCCGAGAAGCAGCTCCAGTCGGCGCGGGAGGCTTGTGAGAAACTGCGCAAGAAGCGATCGAGTCTGGTGGGTGCCTTTGTTTCCACACACGGCAAGAGTATCGATGATGTTGATCGCTCCATTGTCGAGGCGCGCAATTCGCTGGGCGAGGTGACTAACGAGTTGCAGGAACGACTCCATCGCTGGAAGCAAATCGAGACCTGCCTCGGCCTGAACATTGTTAACAACAACGGGTTGCCTTATTTGGAGAATGTACTTTATGGCCGCACCGTGGGCATGCAGAGCTCGATGGGATCTAATTCCGCCAAGGGCTCGCGAACCCGGATTACCAACAGCACCGACGATCTGGACGATGAGTCTGTGCAAGGTAAGCTGAGTTTCGAGAACTTTTCTCTGCTTGCCACGGAGTAGGCCGCTGCTTCGTTCGGTTGTTCCTCACAGACAATACAACACAGTTCTTCCACAGAAGCCTTCTTCTAATTGACTTAAATCGACTCTGACGGATTAAGCAGCAGCATCATTGACCTTTATGTATTGAATCCCGAATAAAATCTTTTAAACAATTAGATACTGTATTAATAGAGGTCAAATTAACCTTATGTATATTATGAAAATTTGTAATCTTTATATTTGTAATATATCCTTTTTAATTTTGAAGAATAAAAAACGATAAAAAAAAAAGAATAGCTCTAAGTAGTTTTATTAACGCATGTCTACAATTTAATGTTTAACTCTACTAAAAGCTTCAAAGGTCGGAAGATTTGTTACTATAATTACGTTTCTATCTTGAAAGATAACCGCATGCAATTTTTGGATATCTTTAGCTTATTATTGTTTAAATTTGTTTACTCTAGTCAATATTGAATTCTCTTATCGTATAAGAAGAATCTCCAATAAGCAATTCTCCCATTTCTACATACACACATACATATGTAGATATGTATACAAATATACATACAAATCTACGTAGCTTTTGGAAGAATTCGCATGACTATTGTTTTCAACAATAATTAGATAACATTGTAAGCTAACATTGTTTATTTCAGTTCTAGTTCTACGAAAATGACAAAGTTCAGGTAAAAATTTAAGTAATATCCCTTTAACTAACCAGAAATGGCAAAACTAAGTTTTAATTGGTATAACTAGAGCCTGACTTAAATGTTACAATTTACGTGTTTCAACTTAATATTTATTACTAAAAATTTAATTAAAACATCTATAGCACTATCATATAGAAATACAGTTCCCAAAACTGGTCTTAAACCCTTGTTTTTTTTTTATAAAAAACTTAAATATTATTTTAAACCCTGAAACGAGCTTTCTGTAAAACGTCAGCAGTGTGACCAGATTGGGAGGCCTGCAAAAAACTCCCATAAACCCTTCAAATGTTGTTATTTTTTGAGCTTTATCGATAAAACCGCCCACCGATTTTCCAGCTTTCAAAAAGTCATCTCGCATAAACAACACAACACAAAACTTTACTCAGGCAGGAACAAAGCTAACAGCTGAAACCAAATCTAAAATTGTGGCGAATTAATAGGCGCAAAAATGCCGAAGGCCGGCGACAAGGCTAAGGTGAAGGTGAACGTGAAGGAGCGGGTGGTGGACGAGACCTGCGATCTAAGCCTCTCCGAGTTGAGCGAGATACCGGTTCGGGAGATTGTAAGTACAAGTGCAGCGGCGGTAATTAGCACCCAGCTCCTGGGCCACCTCTGTCTGCACCAGGTCCCTCTCACTCCACCTTGGGGCCACGTCTCATGTCTGGCGGATGTCTAGTCACCGGCTGTCTCGCTTTCGCAAAAAGCAGGAGCGAGACGGGACGAATGAGCTCCACTTCCTCTCGGCCTCTCGCTTTCGTTGTTGTTCTGCCGGCTGGCTTGCAATTAACGCTGACTTCCTCTCTGTGTCTCTCCTCTCTTTTCTGCCCCCACCTCCTATGCTACCCCTTCACTCGAGTGTGCGAGTGTTTGAGGATGTGTGTGTGTGTGGTTGAAAATGCAACCAAAATTGCTCGAGGGGGTTGATTTTTGGTCTTTGCCACCCCTCAGCGACTCGGGAAGGTTGCCAAAAAACAAGACGTATATATTCGTTGAGTATACGACTGTAGGATACCCTGTAACACCGGAACCAAAACAAAATTCTCCTGTCTCTACAATTTACACTAAAAATTTACAAATAGGTCTACAAGAAAATAATCTAAATTAGTTGTTTTATTTATGTTCAATAATTTTTGGTTCTATTTTTATAAGACTTTTGTGACTTATTCTATTGTTTGAATCCGAAATAATATACCTTTTGCAATGCATAAATAATACAATAAATAAATAAGTACTCATCACTTATTATAATAGATAAATGTAAACATAAATTTTAAATTAAAAAATTGACTTTTAAATTAGATTTTATTATTATTAAGAAATGTAATTATCAATTCACTTAAAGCCCTTTATACCCTTTAACAAATAATGCGAGGTATAATATTTAAGAAAGGGATTTTTAGGGCAGCTACTTTTTTCGGGGGTTTCTTTTTCGGTCATGTTTTTGCCACTACTTCTGAGTCTCAGTTAGTCTTTGTGCTTTGCAGGCTTCGTTCAAGCGCGTCACCGTTTTAGATCTGTCCAGCAATCGCCTGGTCAACCTGGGAGTAAGTATACCCCACAGAAAGAAAAAAACCCAGTAAACACCTAATAACACTTTCTACTCTGTCACATAGAAAAACTTCTCCATACTGACGCGTTTGGTGCGGCTGGATTTGAGCAAGAATCAAATACGCTTCCTGCCCGAGGACTTTGGCCAGCTGGAGCAGCTGCGCCACTTGGACCTGTACAACAACTGCCTGGAGCACCTGCCCATTAGCTTCGGTCAGTTGCGCCGTTTGCGCTACTTGGATCTGAAGGGGAATCCCCTGACGCCCGCCTGGGAGAAGGTTGTGGGTCGCTGTTCAACGCAAAAGGACTGCCAACAGGCGGCCAAGAATACGGTAAGTGGCCCTTGAGCTAAGGGCTGGCTCTCGAGTGGCACAGCTTGGTTTACATTTTGCACATCTAACGTTTTGCAATTTTCCCATTTTCCAGGTCAGCATTTGCGCCAACTACAAGCCGGAATTCATTGAACGCGAACGTTTGGCCGCACAGGAGACCTTGCAAATGGCAGGAGCCGGGGATGCAGGCTCTGTCCAGTCGAACGGTGGAGGGGCTGGTGGCAAGAAGGCACAAAAGCCCAACAATAAGAAAGCGAAAGCCAAAAAACTCGCCGGAACTGGCGATAATGAGCTAACAATCAAACCAGTGAATGCCGGAGGTGGATCCTCGGCATCAGGTGCCGTAGCTGGAGGGAAATCAAACCAGAAGAACAATCAAAAGAAACGAAACTCCAACAAGAGCGGCTCCTGGCTGAATCTGCTCTCAAAGGCCGCCTTCTCGTCCCTGATGATGTTTCTCATTCTTTTCATCGTGAACGTGGTGCTCATCTATATGATTATGTTCAAGAATCCGGACATCGCCGACAAGCTGGTGGAGTATATACCGCACCAGTATCGCGATTGGATACTAACCAAAACAGAGTTCTTCCGGCTGCGCGTCACCGACTGGATCTCCGAGTTCCGAACGCCCCCGGAGGAACACTGACGATTCATTTATTTGAAGCCTTAGGGCGCTGGGCTTCAAATAGAAGAAATCGGAAAACAAAATTCGGATGCATAGCGCGTGTGTGGAGGCGGGACAATTTTTGGAATACGTGTAGACCACCTGAACCGAGTTATACGACTGCGACTTTGATATACCATTTATGTGTAATATGTACTGCCATTTGATTTCATAGACTCTAAGAAAGTACGTCCATTGAGAGATTTTATATAGAGATTTATACAAAAAAAAAAAAAAACCGCACACACTCAGCAGCTGAAGACGACGCCACTGAAAGACACCACTAACTACACTCATTCAACTCAACTCAACTGAACTCAGATGAATCTTATCTATAGCTCAAGCTCAACTCAATAGTAACTGAATGGCAGTTCCAAACTGGCCAATGCATAGAAACTACAGACACAGTCAGAACAGGCACCCTCGTAATAATACATCCACATCTATCAGATCGGATCGAATCAGCAACCACACCATTTATAAATAAACGAATCTATTGTAACAATATCTTGTGCAATCCCATTTTTTTTATTTAAAGCTCAAGCTCAAATAGTAGTAACCTTACCGACTATTGAACATTTTGTAGATTCAAAATCTCATAGACTTTAAAGCCAAACTTGGGTTTATTCAAGCGGTTTCATATGATTTTTTCAAAATCAAAATAAATTAATTGTAAAAGAACAAATGTGCAAGATTTTTGGAATAAAATTTTACATTTTAAAAAATACAATCACCAATTTCACTATGTTTATTCTTCCTCCATAAATATATATTTATTTTCAGTTGCCAACGTCCGAAAAGTCCAGAGATAAGAATAATTTTTATTGATTATATAGGATGAAGGCTCTCGTTTTTAGTCCTCAGGAAATTGTTAATAAAACTAATTTCAATTATAGCCTCGTTCAAATTTACGCTTATCTACCCGAGTTGGTCAACTTGGTTATCTTATATTATATTTATGGCCCCCCACTAGGCACGCGAGTGTCCTTATCAAGTATTTTTTTATTCAATATAAATATAAAACGCTCCGACAATCTATTTATACTACGTATTTTTGCATATAATTTGTTTTTGTTTTCCCTTTAGATTATAATAAATAACCGACCAGAATTTCGCCCAGAAGTGGCGTTATTTACAGCCATTCAAAAGGAGAACTTGATAAGGTGCAGCGGAAAAGACTGAAAGGCAGGTTATTAATTAAAATAAATGTTTAGCTAAATATTTCTTAATAAATACTTTGTCGGCTAATAGTGATAAAATCTAGGGCAAACTCTCGTGAACTTTTATTTGGAATTTTGCACACGATTTTTAAACGTGTGGGTGGTAGAGCTTACAATTAGTTAGTTATCAGAATGCTCTATAGATTCAAGGTTATTTTAAGTTTTATTGTAAAGTTTTTTAAAACCAAAATGAACATTTTCAATAGAAATTAGCTTTCTAAAATACATTTCAAGGACATTTTTCAAGCCATCATACTATATTGTCAATTAATATTATACTTAATTCCCCTCTAATCTTATTTAAAATTAATAGAACTTCACTATAATTAAGTACCTATGGTTACTGTTATCCTTTAAAGGATATTATCAGCTTAGTTTCTTTCGTTATAATACATAATTAAAACTCATTCTACTAAAATTATAGTTTAAAGTTAATGTCATAAACCCTATACCTCAAAATTTCCCAATGATTTTGTTATCCTTTAAAGAGTATTTGTATTTTATTATTCAGACTCATCATCCCTCTGTATATTTCGGTGCCTCTACGTAATCAGTTCATTCGCATATCGCAAATAATTGATAAATGACTTGCAGAAACATACCGGTTTCGTGGGCCAAAGTGAATTTCATCAATAGAAAGTTGTAGAACGATGACGTAGGCATGTACGGGTGGGAGGCAATTATTATTAGTAAACCATCGTGAGCAGGCAAAAGCTTGGATAAATAAATATTTACCATTGTATGTTCCCAGAATCAGAAACTGCAGCCCAAAAAGCTGATGCAATGGTGCTTATCTATTTCTTGGGCGAAAGGATGTTGCTGCTTAGCGTCGGCTCCAATTTAAAGTTTAAAGTTTCCGCCAATGAAGATACGCTTATGAAAGCTCGACTTTAATTTCGTCAGCCAAGAAGATGAAGGCCCTTGCCCTTTTGGGAGTTCCCCTCTTACCCTCGCTCTCTCGCTCTCTCTCTGTCTTTACTATGCACCTCTTGCTCGCTCTCCCCTAATTCAGCGCATCCTTGACGTTGTCCTTTGCCCCTTCCGCGTCCTTTTCCTATCGTTCCTTTATCATAAAAACTCGACATCCTCTCTCGCCGGCTATTCGGGTTTTTGGGCTCTCTTTTACTCTCATCTTTGCTCTCTCAGCAGTGTGGGCAATTCAGCTACAAAAAAGCTAAACAAAAATAATTTAAAAAGGGGAAAGGGAAACTACGATATAAATAAGGCAAATATTTATTTAAATTTTAAAATAATATTTATAATGTATAATTTAGGATTCTTGTAAGCAATTCAGCCATGAAATGGTAAATTAAAAAAATTAAAAGGAACCTAAAGTGAGAAGAGATATGGGGAAATGATTCTGGAGAAAAATATATAAATATTTTGTCATTATTGGGTAAGGAGTTTTAGTAATAAATTTCTAAGATTCCTTCTTTCAGCATTAAATATCGCACACGAAAACCGTCATATCTAACGGCAAAGTAGCCAGATTTTGGCGGGCTCTCCCGAGGCTCGTATTTAAAAGAGCTGCCGGCGACGCTCTTTACAGTTAATTTTTTGTCGTGTTCGCGGGAGCTCCGAGTTTTGGTAGCCAGCAGCGCTACAATTGAACTGTTGGCATTATATTTAGTAAAACCTAACACCTTTCAAGGCAGCCGGTGGAAGTGACAGAATACGCGGCATTTCGAGAAATTTAGTGCGGCGATAAAGGAAGAGCAAAGTAAGCAAAACTAAAATCGGCGTGTTCGAAAACTGGAAACTCTATACTCAGGAGCTAGGGCTCGGGGGGCGGAAGGAAGCGAAGAGAGCGAGTCGCCGACGAGCACATGGCTGAAAATTTGGGTTTGTCTGAAAATAGCAGAGTGCAGCCCGTGTGTTATGTAGTCGAATAAATTCGAATCGAAGAACGAGTATATATTTAACAAATATATCTTTAATCGGAATTGTCAAAAAGTGTTGTTTTTGCCGTGTGGAAACCACAAAAAAGGCGGCTTCAGCGGACCAGAAATAGCCCCGCCACCAGTGTCAATTATAACTGTATGCACACGACAATTAAAGCCGAAACCTTTTCAAAAAAACCAGACACATTTTCGACAGTTACAAAAAGAACATAAAACGAGGAAAAGAACGAATAAATAATAAACGTTCTTTATTTTCGGTTGGACACGCGTGCAGTGTGACGTCGACGTTAACGAATGCACACGTTGCACCTGTCCCGTTATTATTTGCATTTCTGGCAATTAAATTTCGGCCTCTTCGTGGCTCAGTTTCGGCTCTGCATTTCCCTGAAACATGAATGGAAAATTAACATTTTCTCGAGTACGCGCCTTTTCTCCCAGTCACTCCACTGCAGCTAATGTTGTTTGTTTATGCGATAGTTCAATGGCTGCGTATAGGTTTTCCCATTTGACTTGCTGATTGCAATACGTAATTTAACAGTAATTGAGCACTTAGCCAAGGGAAAGTTCACTCAACAATGCCAGCGAACTGAAAACAAAATTTGTGTGTGCCATTAGTATCCAATCCATCCATCCGGCATCTGCTATCGAAGCCATCTCTGCTACTCCACACACGTCAAATGTCATTGCAATTACCTCACCCAACACCCACGCGGAAAAGTGCACCCACCCGCTGGAACACCCAGAGTCTAACTGACTCATCAAGGACATGGCCAAATGGTTGAATTCAGACCAAAATGGGATGGGTGCACCGAAAGAAATCGAAACACTCGAGACTTCACATGGTACACGGGGAAAAAAGAGGAGAAATTCATCAAATTTAAGTGTTATAAAATATTGGTATATTTTTCCACAGTCAAAAAGATGTTCTTATACATTTGTGGTTATATTGAAATAAGTCAAAAATAATATCAACTAATTAAAAGAATGTTTCATAATAAAAATAAGGTTAATATTTGAAGAGATTTTTTCGAAATTTATGACGTTTAAAGTTGACATTTCCTTGTTTGCTTAAAGGATGTATATTTTATAAATTTCCTTATTATTAAATAATATTTAAAAGAAATTAAATTTTAAATTCACTTTAAAATCCAATTTTTTCTAGTGTCTAACTACTTTTCCAACAGTGAGGTGTGCCCGTCTGTCTTGGTCTACATCTTTACCGTTAACCATTTCCCTTCATTACACGCGCATTTTGTAGTTGTGTTATTGATTTTGGTGGTATATTGTCGTTGTTGGTAATTAACATGGCAGAAAATTTACAAGCCAAAGCCAAAGACGCAGTAAAACTGTGACGTCAGAGATTGGAGTCCAAGGCAAGGCTACTGTGTGTAAAAACAAATAGTACTTTTGCTAGGGAGGGGTTTTTAGAAAGAGAGAGAGTGAAAAAGAAAAACATAGAAAATAGGGAGAGCGTGGGCTGCAACAGTTGATTGTGTGGGGGCAGCTGCCCTAAAGACATTTGACATATTCCAAGAATAAATCTCATTTATGGCCTCGTTCGGGATTAGGGAATTTATATTTAGTCGGTGGTTTCTAAGAAACCAACATAAACAAGGCTTTAAAAATTGTTTTAAGCTTGAAAGATCTTTTGTCATTTAAAAACCAACGTTTTCTTGGGAAGCCAAGTTAAATTTGAATATAGAAATACATTTAATAAGAAAAAAAGGAAAGGTTTTTCGGAAATGACGCTCAAGTTTTGGAAGTTTTTTAAAGCTCAAGGACCATTGATCTCAAACCCCAACCCTCTGTGATGTAAGGACATATTTGCGATAGGTCTTTGCCCCATTCTTATCCTGCAACGGACACTCTTTGTCTTGTTGTTTACTGTTATTCTTGTGCTGTCAATCTTGTGTCATCCATCTTTTGCACCCATTTCTCCCCTCTATTTTCCTCGATTTGTCCACATTTGCGCCATTTGCGCAATTTGCCAGCCAGACATTACACTTGACCGCCTTCTCTGTGGACAGAAATTGATTTATTTTTAGACGCAACTAATTTCCGTAACACCTGAGAAGGTCGGTCGTCGGTCGGTGTTCTTTATCGAGCATTTGTTCCCCAAATCGATTGGACCATTGAACGGCAGTCGTCGATAAAAGTACTTTCCAATAAAAAAAGACGACCACAATTACCGAAAATTCCATATAAATAACCATATTCATATTTATTATCTTAAACGATAATGTGACCTTTGTGACGGTTTGCGTGAGTCGTTATCAAAATGGGAGTTATGCAATGACCACACGCAAACCCTCCAATTGCTGTTAATTATTTTAAACACCTCGAACAGCAGGAGAATTGCATTTACATCCACGGCTTCTGAAGATAACGGCGAACAGAGGAGGAACTGGTAGTTACGACAGACAAGTTACTGATAAAGGAACTATAACACTTTGTAGAAGCTCATTCGGGGCTCTATTTAATCAGCAGTTTCTCATTGAAAGGACACGGGTTAATTATATATTCATATTTCCATACGGAGGTTGTAGCTAACTTTTCTAGTGACGTAAATCTGGGGCAGCTAGACTGATCTTTGAACGAATATGAAACATTGAACTCACAGCTGCACAAATATTATTTAGTGATTTAGAGAAATACATTCAGGGGGGTTTACAATTAGCAACAGGTTAAATTAAAAAATATAATTTTAACTAGAGCACTAATAATAGTACTGAAAAAACCAGTTAAAGTCATTTAGTTGTAGTTTTATTTGTAGTTGAAAAATATCTTATGGAACTATAGAGTTATTTAAAAGCTTTTAAAAGAAGACATTTTTAGGAAATAATATTCTTATCAGCATAAGTTTTCACAGACATGTTGAATAAACTTGGTGTTGGCTTCCAAGAATCAATGTTTTACTATCTATAAAAATTCAACGGAAACCTCAAAACGTACAGAACTTAATTTAACAGAATTTTTGCTGAACTGGAAAATGTCTTGCTTCCCCTTAAAGTAAATAAATAAAAAACAGGGGGAAACCTCTAGATAAGGAGAGTCAACTACAGTGAAAAATCAAGGCAACATGCATTCCATGATTTCATAAAAGAAAACGGCAACTTATTTGGCTGACGAAATAATAGAAAAGCTTTGCAGCACATCGACGTCGTCGATGCCGGGATGAACTTGAGGCTAAATATAAACAGATGTTAAAGATCTTAGAGCTAAACACAATATATTCCCCAGAAAATGAGGGTATTGTGTTTTGCTTACGCAGAACATGCTCGGATATCGCTCGGTGGGAAGAGGGCTAGTGGCTCCATTATCGCTCGTAGGGAAGGCTTGGGTTCCCTGATTACACATTGGGTTGCAAGCATATCATTATGACTCAGTAACGTTATTTAATATTCAACTAATGATAAATATATGGTATTAACTGGAGGGATAAACTGATGTCGCCTGGTGTCCTCTTTAAAAATAAACTCACAGCAACAATGTTGGAAACACGTGGTTTCGCCACAGGCCTGAGTGAGGGGCTCGACCGGGTGGGTTTTTGGCTAAATCTAAATGTTTGCTCTCAGCACGACATGATGCTGCTGAATAGAGATTCCGAGAGATGCCAAGAGCAGGAGAGAATCCCCGAAGAGCATAAAGAGTGTGGATTTATGCCAGACAGATGTTGTTGCATTTCTTTAGAGAGATTTTAGCGATTCTCACGCCTCCCACGAAAGGCTTGCCATAAACAAGATTATTTATTTTCATTCTGCAATCTTATGTTTATCCCAAGCATACCAATAATGTGGCATTACTTTCGGCATATTTCACATTTCACATTGCTGAGAAATGTCGATTTTCAAGGTTTTTGATTCGACTTTTAGTGATCTGTCACGTCTGACGAGCAGGTGATAATTGGCTAAGATTAAATATAGAAAAGTTCTTGAAAAACAATAATAAATCTTGAAAGATGTTCCCTCTAATTGGCAATTTGTTTTCAAGGCAGATACATTGTAATGGTTGTCAGAATATTATAATAACCCATTAGCACATATTTTTAAGGTGATAAATGGGGAAAGAAATTATTAACTCCTATCTAAATAATAATTATAAATTATTTAAGGCTTTAATCAGGCAAAATATTATAGGTTCGCTAAATGTAATGGTAAAAAGGCCAATAAACTATCAAGTGTGTAAAAGTAAAAGAAAAAGTAAAATAGATTTCAATTGAAATGATGCAATCGATATAGTTTTTGGCAATTTTCGCCGAAATTTCGGTGTTTCTCTTTGTATATTTGTTTAGTTTTCGTTTTTGGCCGTGTCATGCTCTCGGCTCACGCAATCGAAAGGAATGATAATGCCCAGCATATATACAAACCTACATATGTATATCTTCCGATCAATCAGAGAAACCAGTTCGCGCAGGTTTTTGGGGAAAAGCAGTGAAAACTATGGGCGATAAAAGCATACATTTGGCATGACAAACTGCTGCCACTAAAAATATCAGAGCAGTAAAAACAACAACTGCAAACACCTAAAGCAAAAAACTAAAACAAAATACTACCAAATGTATGCCAACATTCACTAGGTGAAGGTTCTTTCATTCTGTAGTTTGTTGCCAAAAAATATTGTGTGTGCGCTCAGCTCCTCTCAGAAGAGTTTTTTTTTTTTTTGTTATTTATTCATTCATTGAGCGATAATGATGTTCGATGTGTACCATATCTTATCGAGGTATTGGAGTGCCATGTGCGTGATTTGTCGATGACGCTACGCTCTGATAAGGTAAACTATATAAAAGCCTTGGTTCTTCCGATTGCAGTAAATGGCTGTAAAAGTAGACAACTTAGCTTCATTGTGGGCCCTTCAGAGATGGCTTATCTCTGGCACTCCCCCGCTCAAAGAGCCTTGGGTGGGGGGCAGAGGTCAGGCCAAGTCAAGTGGGTAGGAGAGGTCATTCAACCGTGGCTCAATAGCGCAAATTCCGCCGAATCAGCGGCGAAACATGGCCAAAACAAACGGCCAAAAGCAAAGCTATTGACATCCGAAACTGTCTACGCAGCGTCTGAGACCGAGTGAGTTGGAAACTGATATATGCAAAGAAATTAAAAAGGAAAGAGCTCAAATATATGCACATAAATAATATCATTTGTCAGTTGCGTGACATAGAACTAGCCTGAGACGCAATATTTAACCCCAAAGGCAAGTCCTAAAAGGTTATTCAGCCAGAGTGCAAGTGGACTCAGTCTAAAGTACAAAGACCACCCTCGATCCGATATCCCACATATATCCCACATATTTATTTACTGTGTGAAAAACGGCACATGTGACTGGGATTTAACAGATTAATAATAGAACTAAAACGCAAAAAGCCAAGAGTCCAATTAACCGAAATATGTCATCGTCAATACACACAGTTCGTCTGCTCTGTTGCTGCGACTAAAAATAAAACTCATTAGGGCGTGCAGGTTTTTAAGTGAACGAAATTATGTTCAATTGCTTCCTCGCTGAGAAATTTGCATATAAATTGCCGAAAAATTCCAATTCAGATTTTTTTTTATTACCATATACATAAATTAAAAGCCTTGAATTGAAAGTGAGTCGCACAAAACAATTAAAGGCAGGGAATTGAACTTTTGCATAGCAGAACATCTTTCGGGACAAATCGCAGACAATTAAATCAAATCAAGAGATGCAGAGTGCTGTCTCTCCTTCTCGTTCACTTAATAATAAAGGGGATTCTATTAGTTTGAGCCTGGTAATAACCAGTTTGGTTTCTAAAGTGTCGTCTGGGCGCCGCAATCTCAATTAAAATTCATTATTAAATCAATTGACAGCGATTTTTTTATTTTACACAAGAGAAAAGACTTGTATTTTAAGAAATTTTTAATAAATATGAAAATATCAATAAATTAGTTAATATTTTTCAGAAGAATAATCAATGTTTTAAAGAAAAGTCTTCAACAAAAAAAACATATTTATTTAAAAATGTTTTACGAAGCTCAAGCTTCATAAAATAAGAAATACATATTCCAGATAACACAAATTCTATGATCAGTATTCATTAATTTAGGACTTAAGAATTCTAAAGGCTACACAAGTATTAATATTGCCTGTTACTCTCCTCCTTTCTAGCTCTCTTGCACTGAGGAAAGGAAAGAACAGCCTACAAAATGGTTAACATTGTGGTAAGTATTTCTTAAAGCTTCACTTAAGCAATTACCTTTTATTAATTGTTTAAATTCTTTTTTTTTTATTCTTAATAGGACGGCGGCGCCAAGCATGCGCCCCAGGAAATGGAGCAGTTCCTGCCTGGAGATGGAAAGAAAATGTGAGTGTCTGGTCAGAGTGCTAAAAATATGTCGCCTAAATTGCTCTGCCGGTGTGGCATGTTTGCCAATTAACTTTACGAGTAGATTAGTGTTTCGCAGTCTCGCTAATTGGCCTTTGATGCCGACGCCATCTCTCTAAATTGACTAAAAATGGACGAGGAAGTCTGCTCTAGCTCAGATTGATTACAATTATACGTGTCATTATCAATTACACTGAAATACCTTCTATAAACCTATGACTTGGCTATAGTTGAGGTCAGACTAACCAGATAACTAGTAGTAGGTCTATAATCAAGCCAGTCTCTTGCCTTCTAATAAGCACAAGTCACGTAAGCTTAATGGAAATTCCTAAAGTATAGAACGCAATAGAAATACATCCCAAAATCAAAGCAAAGGGGCGTAAAAATTTTCAAAATATTTATCTGCTGACGTTTGACAAATATCGATGCATGCAAATTGCATGCTGATGATCTTCCGATGCCTTCACATGCAAATATTATTGTCAGTGGGAAGTAAACAAGAAAACTGAACTGAACTCAATGCGAAAACATTCCGAAATGACGCCAAAGGCGTGAAATAAATAAGCAAATCTAATGACAATATCCCAGCCTTAGCACGTGTAGATCTTTCCACGATTTACACAAGATGACTTTCGTTTTGCTCCGAACTTTACCCCACGTGAAAGTCTCAAAATATTATATTTAAAATCTACAAAAATTTGATTTAAATGGTTTTGCTTCGTAAACTTATTTTGATGACGCTGCATTATTAGAGATAGAAACCAATGAACTAACGCTGATAACCTAAAGGTGTTCTTGAACTGATAGGAATTTTTTTTAAATGAAAATAATAATCGCACATTTCTCTTGATATTCTACATGTTTAATTATATACCATGAGCGTCGTTTATTTTCGCGGAAATTAAATTTGAGAAAGGGTTTCGAATATCAGCAATTATCAGTAGGAGTCGAGTCAGAGCTGAATTGAAATGCACTGTCATTTAATCTCTATAGAACCGGTAGTTGTATTAATGGGTACTTAAAAGTGGTATATATTACAGTGTCTGGGTGTTTGAGATAGTTTAAGCTGTATTTATAATGTATTATAAATAGTTTTTATAGTCTTGCCTGCCGCCAGACATGTTTTAAATTAGAAGATTAGTTTTTCACTTAGCTAATGAATGGGGTAGTATTCTTATAAATTTTATTCCATTATGTTCTTAGGAATCTTTTAAATATTATCTATTTTTAACTGTGACATTTAAGTATTACCAAACACTCTGAATATGTATAAACTTAACTCGAAACCCAGGTTAAATGTACCTATTTTTCTCTACATAAATCTCAGCCATCAGTTCAGGTTTTTCAAAAATAGTTTGCATACTTTGAGGTACTTTTGAAAGTATAATTTTCTTTTTTAAAAACTTATCCCAGCATAAAGCCAGGCTGAAGTTAACTTTTCCTTTATGGCTGATGCAACCGAACAGGCACAGCCAGTCAGGCACTCTGGAAATATGGCTCGGAATCCATCGAGAGTCCGTCAATTGGCCAGGCCAGGCCAATCAGAGGCCGCCTTGCCAAATTCGGATCGGAAAATGCTTCGACTGTGCAGCAGTTTTTTTTTTCGCCACCGGTCGACATTAAGTTACAAGTGTAGTATTTAGTATTTTGAGCCGACTTCTGGACAGACAATTGCGAGCCGAGACGGCCGACAGCTGTAATTGCAGATGCAGCAATTCCATGGCAAGGGAATTTCACTGTCAGCATATATAAGAAACGGTTGCAATTTGGAGCAGAGCTTTAGTTTTGCACAGACAATCGAACGGACTGAAGCCCACCAGCTTGGCAATGACAATGAGCGACTTAGAACCCACCAATGTGGAGTTGAGGTGGCCATTTCAGAAACTTAAACTATCCTTGGATATTCCCTTACTAAATGTATATATTATCTTGAATATTTTAGGTACAAGATCCAGCCCCGCAAATCGGATGCCGAGCAGGCCTTGGCTAACAATGATTTTGATCCGTTTGCTTTGCGCGAAAACGAACATCCCACCACGTAAGTTGATTAAATCATAAATATATGTTCCTTATATTTATATTATATTTTTTTTAGGGATAATGAAACTCTTACGCATTTGCTTAAGGCTTCCCTGGGCACTGGCATTCTGGGCATGCCGTTTGCCTTTATGTGCTCTGGTCTTGTCATGGGTATCTTTGCCACCATCTTCACAGCCTTCATTTGCACGCACTGCAGTTACGTTCTGGTAAGTTTGGGTGAAGATTTTGCCAAGAAAGATTTACCTACCTACCTAGATTTACCCTAAATAAATGCAGTATTTCCTTTAACATTTCTAATAAACTCCTTCCTCTTTGCAGGTGAAATGCGGTCACAAGTTGTACTACAGAACCCGACGCACCAAGATGACCTTTGCCGAGATCGCCGAAGCTGCCTTCCAGAAGGGACCAAAATGGTGCCGCGGCTTTGCGCCCGTTGCCAAGTTCTCCATTTTGTTTGGACTGTTCCTCACCTACTTTGGCACCTGCTCGGTGTACACCGTGATTGTGGCCACGAATTTTGAGCAATTGATTAACCACTGGACGGGTTGGGGTATCACTCTGCGCATGCTCATCTGTGCGATGCTGATACCCTTGATCCTGATCGCCTGGGTGCCGAATCTCAAGTACCTGGCGCCCGTGTCCATGGTGGCCAATGTGTTTATGGGCCTGGGACTGGGCATTACCTTCTACTACTTGGTACAGGATCTGCCGCCACTGCCTGATCGCAGCTATGTGGTATGGGGCACCCTGCCGCAGTTCTTCTCGATCACCATCTTTGCAATGGAGGCCATTGGTGTGGTGATGCCGCTGGAGAACAACATGAAGACGCCCCAGAGCTTCCTCGGCATCTGTGGTGTGCTCAGCCAGGGCATGTCCGGCGTTACCCTCATCTATATGCTGCTTGGCTTCCTTGGCTACTTGCACTACGGCGCCCTTACCCAGGAGAGTATCACCCTGAATTTGCCCATTGAGGAGTGGCCCGCCCAGGCGGTGAAGCTGCTCATTTCCCTGGCCGTCTATTGCACATTCGGACTGCAGTTCTTTGTGTGCCTGGAGATCGTTTGGGATGGCATCAAGGACAAGTGCAAGAAGCGTCCAACTCTGGTCAACTATGTGCTGCGCACAGTGATGGTGACAGCCGCCGTTGTTCTGGCCGTGGCTGTGCCCACGATTGGGCCCTTCATGGGACTGATTGGTGCCTTCTGCTTCTCCATTCTGGGATTGATCTTTCCGGTAAGTTTCAAGTCAAAATGTTTACGACTTTTATACGCATCTAACTTAAAACTTTTCATGCCTAAACAGGTGGTCATCGAGCTGATTGTCCACTGGGAGACTGGATTCGGTAAATACAACTGGATTCTGTGGAAGAATATTTTGATCACAGCCTGCGGCATTGGAGCCCTGGTCTTTGGCTCCCTGGCGGCCATCAAGGATATTGTTAAGGCCTACCAAGATCCAGCACCGCAATAAGCTGCACCCTGAGAATAATCTCTTGCACATGAGGAGCAAAAAACCCGAAAGGATTCGAGAGGAAAGCCATGTGCTTTACAGCCGGGAACGTATATTTATTATATACACAAAACACCCACAACACACCTACTATATACTACTTATATATATACAAAGCCGGAGGCAGGAGTTTGGGAGAGAAGAGGCCCCGCTTCCTAGAGAGAGATCATCTAACTATTGTTAGATGTAAAACTGCGCGCCCACAATTTGTACATTTTTCTTGTCTGTTGCTTAGTGTCTGTTTTGAGAACCGAAAGGGATTTACTTACCAATTCACTGATCGATCGAGTGCCTACTACTGTTTAGCTAGCACACACTCTTAAAGACTCACCCGGAGGCACCAACAACTAAGCCGTTTTTAGCACGTTTTAAATGCACCTGCAAAATTATATAAAGTAGCGAGTAAGCTAGTTAGGTCGAGAACTAAATATAATACACACCGTTTCCTATTGATTTTAGTACGATTTGGTACAGAGCTAAAAAAGACTTGTACGTAGCTGCACTCCCTTTACCTTTCCCTTTCTCTCTGTTCTAAAAGAGTATTACTAAAGCAAGGAACCAAAACTGAGAAATCATCTTTCATGCCCCGCCTCGTCTTCTTTTTTTTTTACTTTGTTCTGTAGCTAATTGTTTTGCCTGCAACATTATTTAACATTTTTAGCATGTTTAGTTGGTAAACCTAAGTAAATAATATTGTAAAGAAGCTTTTGCAAATCAGTTCCACATATGATGAGCTAAAATTACTCAGAGAATACAATTTTTATACGAAATCTAGCAGAGTAATAACACTAAGTTAAATATTGAATTGCCCCGATATTCATACGATATGTGTACACACATATTTTTGTATTTTAATTTTAGCCTTAAATCAATACTTAGCGAAACTATAAATTAAAGAATAAACAACACGCAAGTTACCAACCTTTTGTTTTGCATTTAAAATCCTGTGTAGACAACGAAACAGATTTTTATTTGTAAAATGAAGAAAATAAAACAAAGAGTTAAACGCAGAAATAAATATCTGTCAATTGTATATATGTATATTAATATGAACACAGCGAGTTCTAAGTCTATATCTGCCCAGAAAAGTATTTAGAGTTGTCCATATTATATATAATGAGAAGAACAATGATTGATATGAATGTTTACTTTTTTGAAAACTGTTTAAAATGTAAACCGAAAGCAAAGATATAAATATATATGAAATAATATTAAATGAAAAATGTCCAGAAAATGAAAACTATGTGATTTTACTTTATAATCAAGGAGCTCTCTTTTTATAAGGACAGCCTTTGAGGGGTTTTCGAGGGAACTATAACTAGTGCCTCATCCTGCTCTACAGATATTTTATCTTTTTCTTTTATAGGTACAGGTTATACCTATATAATCTTTGTAAAACTCCCATAACAATTAATTTTTGATCTGCCCCTGAACACATTTTGTTGCCATTCTGCGCCTGCGGGTTCAACGCGTGGCACTTGCTCGATTCGGATCAGTTTGGAATATCCATTCAGTCCGCACAAAAAACATGATCGAGCAACTTCAATTGCCAATGGCGCGGCGGCTGAAAAGTCATTTGTTAATTGGTCACAAGTGGGCAATGGACATGGGCTTTTGATGTTATTTTCACCAAAATAATTCGATCCGGCTGCTGGATCCCACACACAAAAGCAAGTTCAAGCCGAGTCGGGCAATTGAACTCGGCCATTTGGCTATTGGCCAATTAGGTAACCTCCGATGTGGACCACGATCGAGTGAGCTGCTGTCAGATCGTGGTCGTGGTATTGGCTTGTCATCTTCTGTGACAAGATGCAAATTGGAAAGGCCTGGGAATGACTGGGGCAGAAGAGCCATCCAAGTTATCCTTGACTTGGAGCGAGCGAGCGAGCCCCTCCAGGAAGTTTTGGCTCTCGGCTGCTCTTGGCCAATTAGCAACCGCAGCGAACCAATGAAAAGCTGCCCAAATGTCTCGACAAATTTTTGTGAACCCGACGATGGACCGCGTCCAAGGCTGGCGATGATTTAAAATAATTAATCTCTGGTCTGGGTCTGTCTCCTCAATGGACCAATGTTGCTGCATCTTGATTGAGCCAAGGTCTAAATCTTACAATCGCGCAGCAGAAGCTGACTCGTTTTATTTTTGGTTTTTTCTTGGCGTGTTCGTGCCTTGTAATTTGTAACATTAAACCATTTTCGGCGGCGATATTGCATAACCTTTCAATGCAGTTTCAAATTGTTTGTAAGTAGGCCTTTCGCTTGTGTTTGGAATATCGAATGATGATCTCGTTGTAGGCGTTCTTATCGCATTTCTCTATCTGAAGATACTTTCACCTGTCGAATTTTGCATTAAACATTGGCTTTGGGTTTACTTTTAACACGCTCGCCTCATATGAATTGTCAAATTTCTATGGCTTATATGCTTTTGGAATTAATAAGTATTGGTTTTTGGTTTTGATACGGAAGCGTGGGAATATTTGTCTTAAAGTTACTTGAGAGTTTATAATATTTATTTAAAATTTAAATAAATATAAGAGTTTCATTGAATAAATACCTTAAAATATCGTCTTTAAATCTTAAAGTATATTTGAAAAAAATAAAAATAATAATATAACAGAAAATATACGATTTCTTAAAGTAAATATAAAGTACTCCCTTCCTCTAATGATCTCTAATGATGTCATAATTCCCCTTAAAGGCACGTGCTTAGGAGGCTGCTGAATATATTATTATATATTATTATTACCAATTCAATTATCCTCCAAGAAAGGCGGCCTTTCAAGCATTCACCACTCCAAACTTTTATAATATATCTTCAAGGCCCTGGCAGCGCCAATAAACCGCATTATTTACAAAACAAAACCTTTGTGCAATGAAAAGAAAACATCATCCAAAGAGCTCTCTTAAGCAGCAAGTCAGCAGTAAGTGACTACCAAGGAGAAAAAATTACACAAATATTTAAAAATAATAACGAAAACAATCAATGAATATGAGAAGCGTTTAGGAAAAGTGTTGACTTTTGGGGGCGCAATCAGTAAACAACTGCAAAAATGGGCAAAAACAAAAGGTTCAGCTTCGAACCGAAGCAATCCAATCCAATCCAATTCCAAGCCATTCACTTTCGACTTGAGACGCGAAAAAGGTTTGGAACAATACCAAAATTGTTATGTCCAAGAAACCAGCGTAATTATGTATAACAATGATGTTTGAGCAGACCTTAAAATAAAAAAGGGACCTCTCCACTGCTGTGACTTTCAAGTCAAGTAGCCGACCCGTCATCCCATCATCATGGACGCGGTTGGCCACCGGGGGCAGCAAGTTCGCCAAAAAGATTAATTGAGGCAATTCGAACAAAATGATTTTGTTGCCACTTCCAGTTAAAAACCGCAAATAAAAACTAATACACCGTCAGGTTGAAAATATTTGGGGTTGGAGGTTTTACTAAGAAAAAGTTTGTGTTTTTGGTTTAAGAGAGAGTTTTCAACTGAGCTCTTAGAAGAATTGGTGATCTTAAAATTATACTTAAAATAATATATAATTTTAAGGAAACATAAATGTTTAAGATATATAAACAGGCTGATTAATATAGAGTTAAGATAACAGAGACTAGGGTTTTCGTTCCGATATAAAAACCAAAATGCCTTCTATTCTTCTAAATATTGATCGGGGTGATGTTTTTTTCGATTTATTATTAAATAACTCCCCATATTTATCCTTAAATTTATCCTACATTTTCCCAAGTTATCCTCTCATTTTAATCTCTGTGTACTTGCAGCTTAAGTAAAAGCAATGGGAAATCATTCAGGGTTCAGCGTCTTTGGGTTAAGCATAAAATAAAACTGCTACTACTACTACTCTTGCTTTTCATGATGATACATAATAGTGATGATGATGATGAACGCTGCTCGCTGCCGGCAGTGGCAGAGGACGGGCACCCGCTATAGCGCCATAACGCCATAGCTCTGGCGGAGATCGGCTTTGTGCATTTGCATTCATTATGTTTGGCACCGTCGACGCGTCCACAACGTAACTGCAAGATATCGGAGATCGTATCGGGGATCCACTTACCTGGTAGCTTCACGTGATCGTGTCGCTCGATCGTTCTTTCTGCTCGTCATTCATCTGTCGTCGTCTCTTGTCTCTCGAATCTTGTGCAATTACCTGTCGAATGTCGAAGAATGTCTCGCATCTGGATTTGTGTACCGAGCTCTTAACGTTTGTCTGCCGATCCGCGAGTGCCAGTGTCTGTCGTCGTCGATCAACTTGACCTTTTCTGTTACATATTTAATAGCGGAAATAGTTTGAATTCCGCATCAACCATTGAAAACCATAGAAACCCGATTGAAATCATAAGATAATAAGATGAAAATGCCATCACCCCTGGTGATCTCGCTGATCGCAGTGCTTTATCTCTGCCTGAGTCCAAGCATAATTGCCCAAGACTCTGAGCTGGCGGAACGCAACCACAAGGTGTGTAGTCCATGGATGACACGTTTTGTTAGGTTCATAAATAATTGTTCTGTCACAAAACCAATTTATAGAAACGCCAAATCTATCGGGAGCAAGTCTTGCCACATGCGGGCGGCAAGATCCCAGACACCGCCTTCGAAACGGATCGCTTGTTTCTCAATCGCCTTCAAAAGGAGGGCATCGCAGTGCCCGATGGCATAGTGCCCGAGCAGCGGAATCCACAGGTAAAAATAAAAGGAGAAAGTCCTTATAAATAAATATTTCTTAGAAAAAGTATTTATTATTTTATTTGTACATTTATTATTTGAAATTGCAATACATACAAAACGCGTACGAATTCTTTGCATGGATAAATATTGATGTTTTTGCAATATTTTAGAATTTTTTATTTTATCACAAATTGACAATCACAGGCTTTTTGCTCTCAAGAAGAGTGAAATATTCACATTATTTAAATAACTATTTTTGTATTATATTTTTTTTTACAAATCAAAGCTCAACAAAATTAATACTTGGACCAAAAACATAATTTTCTATTCGGAAGTTTTTATTAGGTTAATAGAACTGCTGATTTTAATATTAAAAATGTAAGTTTCTTAAAAATTTAATGATTTACGAAATAAAATAAAAAACCCCAAACTGATCGGTTAATGCTGGTCAAGTATATAAATAATTTATATAGGATCGGAAATGAGTTCTTCGTTGCGTTTTAAGCTCTTGACCAAAATTATAATACTCTACAAGGGTAATATAAATGGTGGAAGTAGCATGATATAAGCCTTGAATTTATCTTTAAGTAACGTTCAAGGCTTACATTGTTTTTGGTAAAATGTTTAAAATGTTCCAAAAGTATTTTGAAAACCGAATAATGTACTAATAAAGCTTAAACATTCAAAATCAAGTATTTATTCAAGTATTTATTTACCTCTATTAGTTGGCAAATTAAGGACAGATCAATTAATCATTTTGTAATGATCGTTAACCATTTGTATTGCAAGCTGTTTTTATAGGAAGTTATTATTGAAGTGGAGTTATTTAACATTATAATATGATGTTAAAAAAAATGTTACCGAAGAAGAAGAAGAATCTTTTAAAAGCAGTCATAAACATATTTTTAATTCTATAAGGGTCTTGAAAAATAATATTACAAGCTCAAGTACTTATTTTAAATACATTGACTTTCTTTAATATTTTAAAATTTATTCACAAAGAATCTTTTTAAAGCAGTCAGAATATAATAAAAATATATCGTTGAGCAAAGGATTCATAATATCAATTTATTTATATGTATTCTAGTTAAAAAGAAGTAGTAAATATTATATAAGTATACAACCCAAAGAATTTACGATAATAATTTAATTTTCTTAATTATAGCAAAGTGCATACATATTTCATTTGAGTTTAACAATCTGTAATATAAATGCAATTCAAAATTGCACAATTAATTACTTTACAGATTTATGTTCCTAGCTAAACAAGCAATAAATGTTAAGAGCATATTCATGTAGTGAGGAATATGTAAAAATTTAACAAATGCAGCCATGCAAGCTATATTTTAAACAAATAAATAATATAGTAAAAATTTCCACATTTAATTCCCCTCACCAGGTTTATCAATACTACAGCAAGCCCATGCGCACCGTCTTCCACATCGCCCTCAGCTCGGATGGCAGGTTCACGCCGCGAGAGGGTCGGTATCACTACCGCCAGGTGCCAACAGTGGAGACGACCTACCTGTATCCGCAGGCGGTGGGGCGCCAGCACGTGGTGGTGCCGCCAAAGCATGCCCTGCCTGTCTACCGACAGCTCCAGTTGCACAATCCCCTGCTCAACCAGGTCAAGTTGCAGCCCAAGAAGAGTGAGTAGCGATGGGTAGGGATCGCCACCTGGTTTTTTTCTTATCTTACCATTCCACCCACCCCCATTTAGTGCCAAATTTTCTGGACCTGGCCCCAACGGTCGGCAAGAGCCAGACGAACCCACTGGCCGGATCGGCCAAGGCGCAGTCGTATCAGAATGTGAATCTCCGGCATGGTCACAGTCCGGTGCTGCCGGCATTCAAAAAGACCTCCCGGGGCAGCAAGACCTATGTGGACAGCTATGGCACAACCCATGTGAGTTGGGGACTTGCCGTCGCCGCCAGACGAACTGATGTAATAATTATTAATTTATTATTACTATTTTATTCCCTTTTTTTACACAGCTTTACAGCGAGTTTGACGATTTGCTGAAGAAACTGAACCTGCCGCAAATGGCCCGCAAGAATTATTAGTTTTTAGAGTTATACATGAGCGATTTTAGTAGAATTTATGTGAATATACTTATGGCACATTATGTTCATCTGTAGCTTAATTTGAGGTTTACGAGACGTAACCATTATCTAACCAACTGCATATCATTTCAAAACATTTGCCATACGCCCGCTCACCGATTAGTGCATTTCCATTTTCATGTTCATTCCCATTCCCAAACTATGCAAGCCGTTCCAAGCCCAGCCCATACACTGAGAGAAAAAATATATATTTTGCAAGTATTTCAGTTTTGTGAGAATAAAATGTATATTTAATTTTATTCGTAAATGCAAGATTTAATTACATTGAAAGAACTATGGAGAATGTTAAGATTATAATAAAGGGAAAAGATGCGACACAAACAACTTTTTATATTTAATATAAATTTTAAAATATTTCTGAAAGTATGCAGTAAATTCTTAAGAGTCAAAAATTCGTTTCAAATGATAAATTATAAAATATCAATCAAACTGATATACTTAACTCTAAAAACTCACAAGAAATTATTATCAATTCAAGTATTATTTTCTTTCTACAAAAAGGACACATATTTTTCCCTGTGTAACCGTTTGCATCCACCCATCGCCTGTTAACCCATTCACGTATTATAGCATCTAAGCCCGGTCATCGCTTTTAGCTAGTTAAGCGTAAACAATTTGTACGAGCGAGCAGAGCGAGCATCTTGCAAAATAAACCGTAGCCGCCGTGCTGCATTGTACTTTCCAACATCTGCCATAAACAATTTATATCATAATTATGTGGGGAAGAGAGGGAGCAGTAGGCTCCCAGCGTTTCGTTTACTTTACTTTGGCAATATAATTAAAGCAGAGCGAACGGTAATTTGCCAATTGCCAATTTTTTTGTTGGTGGAAAAAGCTTGCATCGCAAAAATCGAAACCATTAAAAGATCTGTGGCAGCGGTTAGCGGTACCCTTGAAAGCTCTAGCGCTGGAGGAGCTGCCGCCACACGCTCAAGTGGCCGCCACTGGAAAACTGCAGCTCAGTGTGATTTTCAAACCCAACTCGGACGGTCGTGGCTTCAACTCCAGGTCCAAACTCAACAGCAAAACTCTCCCAGATACCAGAAACCAGAGCAGGCAGGAAAATGATGCTGAAGCTGGTCTGTTTCTCTTGTTGGCTAATGGTCGTGATCGGAGCCGTGGTGGCCATCGAAGTGCAGGTGAGGATCCTCGAGGAGGAGCTGGAGGAGGGTGTATAATTACGCTGAGGAATCAATTAAGACGAGAGCGAGCGTGCGCCACCCCAATTGACAAAGCTCTGGGTTCGTTTGTCTTGGCTTGTCTTGGCCACGTTCACTTTTGACCCAAAAATTGTAACACACAACCTGCAATTGAGGTACACACACATGTGTGTGCATGTGTAGTTATAACATAATGAGCACTGATCCGGGGAAACTGGAGACGGAGGCCAGGTATCGGTGGTACGAAACCAAACCGGATTGGGGCACGAGCTCTGGCTCTGCACAGAAAAAATTAATGGATGCCAAGTAAGAGGAGATTTTAAAAGGGATCTCTTAGAGATTTTGCCATATCTACATCCTGAATGGATATACAAAATTTTGATATTTTTTTTCAGATTAAAATACATACAATTTCATAAGGATTAACTTAATTTCATCCTGATAAATTTGACATAACTTATTTTCCTTTAAGTGTAACTCTCTTATGCAATAGCTGCCATTTGATACAAAGTTTGTGCTTTTATAGAAATTCGGATATCTGTTCAATCCACCCCAAGCGGAACACGCGCCGCAGCATCATGAGGAGAAGCAAGATCTGAACAAGATACCCGGTGTTCCGGGCGTGGACTATCCGGTCTACCATGAGGTGCCCCACACTCACTTCAGTTGCCACAATGTCCCGGCCACGCCCGGCATGTACGCCAATGTGGAGACTGGCTGTCAGGCGTATCACGTCTGCCACGATGGACGCGAAGGTCACCAGGGTGCCTCGTTCCTCTGCACCAACGGAACCATTTTCAATCAGAAGGAGTTCGCATGCGACTGGTGGTACAATGTCAAGTGCGAAGAGGCCACCAGCTTTTATAAGTACATATTAGCAATCTCTTTATTAATATTTCCTTATAACTAATTGGTTGCTTCTTTCAGTTTGAATGCTGATCCGGAACACAACCCCTACTTTCCCAAGAAGAAGCCTGAGCTGGAGCCTCTTGGTCATGATCTTCATGATGCTAGCAAATTTCTGATACAAGCCTAGATTAATTTCTATTCTAATTTCGTTGCGTTGTTCCCACTTTGTAAATAAAAAAAATATATTACAAGTTAATTGAGAGATTAATTTCTAACTTAACAAAAATATTTTAAAATTTAAGGTTAATATTGCCGTTTTCTGAGAGTAAAACTACTTGAAAACCTTGATATATCGCAAAATAACTTATAGAAACCTCAAAGAAAATGTATAATCCGGGTAATATCTTAAAATGTATATACTTTTGATAAAAATTCATAAGATTGTCTATGACATTTATGACTTAAAGTGGTTTTTATCCATAGAAAGTTGCACAGAGCTTAAAAAACAAAAATAAAACGGACTTTTCCCCTTGTATAGTCTGGCAACGCCAATTTCAAAGACGATTAAGGTGTGACCAGCTTCCGATAACCGTATATCGATGTATCGCTTCTTCTAATAAAATCGATATGTCCAATGTTTTTGCAGCCCAACTCTCCCATCACTGCCGTATCACAATAATATCAAATCTCGAACAAAATTCTCGAAAAAAAAAACTAGAAACTAGAAGGAAAGGAAAATGAATCTCTTGGACCTGCCGCAGACGGTGCTTCAGGACATTTTCGAATTGCTGCCCTACGATGAAGTGGCAAAAAAGCGTGAGGTGAGTCAGCCAGGAGAGGCATCCCCCAAAGGCTCCGACCCGTGACTAAAACTAGACGTTTCTACCAGGTCTGCACTAGGTTCAACTTCATCTGTCAAAAGGTTCTGAATGCCGGATTCAATAAAGTGATCATGGAACATGCCAAGAGCTTTAAACGCATCAAGTCCATGCTGCCACGCCGGGAGTCGGAGCGAAGGTGAGTGTTGGAGAGATGTTTCTGGAGAGTTGCCTGCGACTAACATGAAATCGCCTCGCTTAGGAGCCACATCCTCTCCCGGCACTCGGACATCCTCACCTCTATTGAGACGCGGATATCCATGCTAACGATGACCTACTCCAAGTTTATTGATCTCAACATCTGCTGCTTTATACCGGGTCGCGTCTTGGACGAGATAAACGGCATATTGCGTATACTGAGCGTTTCCACCAAGCAGTTGCGACCACACGAGGTGCTACAGGAGCTGCGCGACATCTCCTCGATGGCCATCGAACACTTTGATGAAAAGATCGCCGTGAATTTCAAGCTGGAGCACCGGAAGCAACTGGCTGAGTCTACGGCGGCGGGCACCCGCTTGGTAGTGTGCCGGACCCTCGGCGACATCAGCTTTAGCGGCGTCAAGCGAACAGGAATCAGTCGGCCTGTCGACCATGCAATCCATCAGGCCATCGTGTCGCTCTCACCGCTCTGCGCCAACAATCAAACGAGACCAGCGGAGAACTCCAGCTCCAGTCCGGAGCGACTGAAGAAGCACCTGATCAAGCAGCACAAGCTGCAAAAGCGAATCGTGCAGAGGGTGCGCAGCCTGGAGGTGGCACGCAAGGTTCAGGATCGTCGCCTGCAGGAGGCGAACAGCACCATCACCGAACTGACCACCCAGGTGTCCGAGCTAAAGCGCCAGCTGGAGGATGTGGTGGCCAATATGCCCGGTGGGGCCATCAAACGGCAGGCAGTGGCCAGCACCGACTGCCCCGCAATGAAGAAGCCCAAGGTCTAGCCAGGGATTTAGGTTATAAAAATTATGCTTAGAGAACAACTCGTCCTCCATCCACCCATCCTGACAGATTGTAGGATTAACTAGAGCCAGGTGCAGCAGCAGCTTCGATATATCGCGTTAAGATTTATTGTTGCACTTGTTACTTAAAATGTATTATTATGACTACTACTATATAAATACACATTGAACATTTAGTGAAAAAGTTCCCTCTCATTGCAATTATTGCCTGTTGTCCTTGATCTGGGTTTGCATCTGTTTCTGTGTCGTGTTCTTTTTTTATTTCTCTTTTTTTGGTGAATCGATAGTAACTCTGGCTTTCGTTCGTTAGTTCGTTAGCTAAGCGGAGGATCCATCGCGGGTCTCTCCTACTATTGTAGGTGCTTTATGGGGAGGCGCTATGTTAATTACTCGTTATATCTTAGCGTACAAAAGGTAGGTAGAAATTGCAACACGTTAAGCATGGTTTCCTCTCTCTCTCTCTTAAACCGAAAGCTAACTACATACACTAGGCAGGCTCGCACTATATTTACAACAACACAAGGGTTAATAGGGTTAATAACATTTCTCATTTGGGGAAGGGGGAAAGGTAGTGGAAGGGGTACGTACACAAGGCATAACAAAAAAAATAAACGAAAATGGAAAACAAAATGATTGCAAACTTCCTAAAGATCTAAATAATTGTATAAACTAGTCAAAGGTGAAAGCATTGCCGCGCATTGAATCCTTATCCTTAGATCCTTAGCCTATAGATGCTCCTATTTATCATACAGTTAGTGAATAGTGTCAGTTGGTTAACTGGGAGATAAATGTTGTATAAATATATATATATAGATATATATAATGTATATGTGCTCCTTAATACGTCACACAGATCAATCAACTCGCGTGGTCATCACTTTACATATTTCACCCAAAGATGGCGAATCACATACGTAGTATACACATCTTCCATACAATATGTACATTTATCTGACTCTCTACCTGCGTCATCTTAATCCCGCATCCCATCCCGTTGTCTTGCGCGCCGCCCCTTTTAGTAACGACGCCGACGATGCTACTTTTTCTTCACCGCCGCCTTGTGATGGATCTTCTCCTGCAGCTGACGGATCAACTGCTGTATGTCGTCCACATTGTATGCGTAAATCAGCTTGCATTGCTTGGCCTGAATATTGCCATTGTTGAGGTTCTTGAGCGCATGCTGCAGGCAGTAGATGCTGCCCTCCTCGGTGCGCACCATCGATATGTACAGGTTGGCGCGGCACAGATCGCATTCGCTCTCAATTGACTTGTGCGGCGGCTGTTGTTGCTTCTTGGCCTTCTGACCCTTTTCCGCCTGCACTTTCTCGGTGGATGTTACGCCGGCAGCCTAAAAATAAAAAAAAAAAAAAAATTAGGCAAACTTCTGGGAGAAAAATAAAAGCAAACTCACTCTAAGCTGCTCCCTGGCTGCCGATTCCTTTTCGCACACCTCATTCAGCATGGGTAGCATCTGATGCAGAGCCTCCGAGTTTACACGCTGATCGTAGCCCAAGGCAAAGAGCAGTTGCTCCAGTGAGAACATGGCGGGCTCACAGCTTTCATGGATGTCCTGAAAGAAAAAATTATAATACCCTGCATATAAAAAGAGAGGCAACCAAGGCTACACTTACCCTGAAATCATCCTTGGCCAGATCCAGCCACGACATGGTGGCAAAGTAGACGCTCTCGGAGACCACATAGCCAGTGGCCAGGCTGGAGGTGTAGGCCCTGGGGAAGACCACAATAAATTCGCCCGGCTTCTGCTCGATGCGGCACAGCGACACACCACGATCTGTGAGCATGTGCGGCGGCACCATGACCGTATCACAGGGCAGCCAGATGGTCTTGTTCTGGCAGTGCGTTGGAATCAGCGACGTCAAAGCCGATCTGAAGTTGGCACTCTGATCGTCGGGAATGCCGTACCACAGCTTAGAGGCCCCCGTGTGAAGGTACTCGATCCAGGACAGGCCATGGGGATCGCGGTACCAGCAGCATGCGGAGAACAACATGCCAACGTGAAGCGTTGGCACTGTGACGCCCATAACGGGGCCCAAGGAGCGCAGCACAGAGCCCACGTTATTGGTCAGCACTTTCAGGTTCCACGGATGCCTGGCATAGTTGGAGCCCTTGCCTTTGGGACCCGGACTGGGAAAGCCATAGCCCCAACCGGAGCTGTCAATGGAGCCCGAGTGGACGCACACATGGCTGTCCCGCACAGCAACATGACGCCAAAACTCAGCCTCCACCTCATTGACCGTGGGATCCGTGCTCTTGAACCACAGCGCCATTGTATTCCGGGCTATTCTATAAAATTGGCTGAGCGGCATGCTTCGGCCCTTGACTATACACTCCATGGACACGCCATCGATCTCCTCCTCGGACTCCTCATCCTCGTCGCTGCTCACATCATCCTCCTCATTGGACACGCTCTCCGTGTTCACGAATCGATCTGCATTTCGTCGCGCCCTTGCCTCCCGCTTAGCCCAATCCGCTTCCACCTCGTCGAAGAGCTTCTGGCGTTCCGCCGGCGAGAGCGTGTCGTATGGCAGCAGGTACTTGCAGTAGATGTCATCCAGCTTGGTCACCCGATCCTGGGCCAGCTTGGGTATGCACATTTCCTCCGCCACTCGCGACCATTTCTTCTTCTCGATCACCTCTTTGAGGCCGCCCAGCTCCTGCACCGTGTGATACAGCCGCGGCAGGTCCACCTCCATGCCACCGATCCACGGCGGATGATTCATCACGATGCTCTGGGTCGCCAAATACTTTTTGATCGCACTCAGCTCCTTGGCACTGGGGCCCCAGCGATGGAGCATCTTGTGCACATACTGATTATAGGCGGTGAATCGCATCTCGTCCGATATCCGGCACTCTGGCTTGAAGCTCGCCGGCGGAATGATCTTGCAGATGCCAAATCTGGCCGCAATCGGTGTGATCCTCTCGATAAACTCAATGGGATCGGCGAATTCCTTCTCCGTGGGCCGGAAAATGGGTGCCTCCACCATTTGGGTGGGATCGTCGTGACGCGGAAAGGCCGTGTTATTGGCCATCTTTATGGGTGTGTCATCCTTGTACTTCTTGGCAACGGCCGCCGCTGTGGAACTTGTCTGGGCGGCTGTCCTTGACTTGGCCGAGCCGGAAAAGAGCGAGGAGTTGGAGTTGACACGCACCAAGCTGGAGGCAGCTCCTGGAGCAGTAGCAGCACCAGCTGCTGCTCCCGTTCCCGCTGCTGCCGAAGTGCTGGCCTTGGGCGTGCTTTTGAGGCTGGTTGTAGTCGTGGCGGAGGCTGCATCATTGCTGGCCGCATGGAGAAGCGTCTTTACCAACTCGTTGGTATTCAAAGACTCGGGCAGCGGCTTTGAGTTGGTATCCATCTGGGCCTTGGTCACCAGGGTGGCCTGCATAACCACCTTCTGGTTCGGTCCGTCAGGGCCCTCGCGTCCCAGCTTGACAGCCACACCTTGAATGCCTCCGTCACCGCTGCCGCCAACGCCAGCGCCCTGAAGCGGAATGTAGAAGGTGGCTCCCTCTGCATCCGAATCCCCACTGGGTTCTACAGGGGCTGCCGCTGCTGCTGGAGCAGGTTGCTGCTGTTGTGCCTTCTTGGCACCCCTTCCAGTTGTGGCCTTCGGCTTGCCCTCGATCTTACAGTTCTCCGTGGGACTTAGAGTCAGTTGGACTGCTGTGGCTGCCGCCGCTGCTGCTGCTCGCTTCTTGGTAGGCGATCTCTCACTCAGCGCATTGGGCACGGTAGCGGGAGCAGGAGGAACTGGACTGGGATCCGCTCGCCGACGATTGCTGGACGCCTTAATGCTGGTCGCCTCCTCCTCCTTGCCAAAGGCGTAAACAGATTCCTTCTTGGTGGGAAGATTAGCTGGGGACTTGGCCTCCACCTGTTGCTGTGCCTGCTGCTGCTGTTGTGCCCTGCTCCCCTTTTGGTTGTAGACCGGCGTTCGCTTCGGATTCGGCGGAGTGGGTGCCGCGGGCGGCGGTGAAGGCATAGCCGTCACTCCAGAACCTGCTACGGCATTCCTCTTGCCCTTCTCCGCTTTCTGCTTGGCCACCGGCGGCGGCGTGGGACTGCTCTTGGCTGAGGCCTGAGGTACAGGAGTGGGCGTCGATATAGGAGTGGGAGGCGTGGCGGCGGCACTTCGCGGCTGCTGATTAGACGTTTTGGCTGTCGAGGATGCCTTCACCGAATCCTTGGTCTTGCGCTCGTTAATCTTCTTGTCGGCGGCGGCTGACAGTGTCTCATTGGCGTTGAGTTTCTGTGTGAGATTCACTGGCGTCGTGGAGGACTTGTCATAATCCAAGGCATCGCAGCAATCCTTGACCGCCTCCGCCTGCTCTAACTGCTCCTTGCGACTGGGTGGCGTAACCAGTACGGGTGTGGCCTTCAGAGACGGCCCCTTTGCCGACCAGGCACTCTCGCTCTTGCCCAGATCACCGCGCGTGTTCTTCGATGAAGAACTAAAGCTGGCACTCAGCTCCTTGTCATCCCTTGTGGGAGGCGGCGTTGTGGATTGCTGCGGGCGCAGACTATCATCGAAATCATCATCCAAGTCATCTTGGATCTCATCCGGATTGGATGAGCACTCGATGAGCCACTTCTGGATCTGCTCGTGGGTCATATTCACCTTTGCCTTGCGTCGCTCCTTGCTGGACAACTGGTCACCGAAATAACCCTCCGTCGGCACCACTGGCCCAAGCACAGGCTTGTGAATGGATCCGCACTTGCCCAGGGTGCACTTGGTGTTGTCTGGCCCCGAACTCTGGGCCAAGCTCACACTGGCAATCCCAAAGATCTTGCCGGATTCCTCCTTGCTGGGCATGAGGGTGGCCTGCGCCAGTATGCTTCCAATCTCGTCTTTCAGGGGATCGGAATTGGGAGCGGCAGCACCGCCACCTCCACTATTGCTGTGCGCTGGCGGAGGTGTGGCCGTGGCCGTGACTCCTCCAGCCACTACTGCTGCCGCCGCTTGCTGTGCCGCCGCCTGCTGTGCCGCTGCTGCTGATGTGGATGCCACGGCCATTGGTGCTGCATTCACGGTGGCCGCTATGCTAGTGCTCAGATTTAAGCTGGACGTCTGGATCATCACCTGACTGACCGGCGGCGATGGCGGCGGCGGAGCTAAAGGGCTCTTAGTGGCGGCGATGGACGACGGCGTGCCCACTGACGTTGTCGTGGTGACAGTTGTGCTTGACGTGGGCATAAACTTAACCGGCGAAGGGCTGGGAAAGCTGTTACTGGCCGAGGAACGCGGCGGCGGCAATGGACTCCGCTCGTATTTGGGCGTTAGAAAGTTCGGATTGATCTTGGGGCACTGATACGCCTCGATGGGTGGCGGATAGGTAGTTGGCGGCGTCTGATACTTCAGCGGGGAAGAGGATGTGGTGCCCTGCGAGGGAGTCTTACTCCCGGATGGTGCTCCGCCGCTGCCAAACTGATGCGTTGGCGTGGGAGGCGGACGCACATATCCGGAATGATAGTGAGGCGAGGCTTGCGGCAGGTAAGAGGAGGTCTTCTGGAAACCGCCTACCGTTCCGCTCCCACTGGCACTCCCTGGCAAAGCGTAGGTGGCGGGTACATTGAGGATCTTCGACGTGGGCACCGGCGGCTTCTTTTCCATGGCCTTCACCGGGGAATAGCTGGCGTGCATGCCCGGGAACATGCTGGGCATGGGGCCGCCCAGCGTGGGCGTGGCCTTTGCCGTCAGCGGCAGCATAGTCAGCTGGGTGGTGGGAGTGCTGGTCGTGGTCGGCGGAAGCAAAGGAGGAGTAGCAGCAGCAGAGAATACTGGAGCTGGAGCCGAGATGGTAGGCGATGGCGTGGCCACGAGCTTTGGGGGCTGCGGACTGAGCACCTTGGCCGGCGATGCTTCCTCCTTCTCCTTCACCAACGAGGTCGCCACCATCACGGATGGCACCTTTATGGCCAGCGGCTCGTCGTCCGAGTCACTGAAACTCTTCTCCAGCTTGCGCTTGGTTTCGTTCAGCTCCTCGTTGATGAGAAAGTCCTCCTCCTCGTCGGAGTCGACTTTCAAATGTTCGGACTTTGCTTTGGGCTTGGCCTGCTCGGATATTTTGGCCAGGGAGCCCTTCTTCACCAGCATGCCTTCGATGGGCGGCTTTGGGGGCGGTGGCGGTGCCGCTGCTCCGCCAGTTGCCTTGGCCTGCTTAGGCGGACGTCCACGTCGTGCTGGAGGCGGTGGCTTCTCCTCCTCGGCTTCTGGAGGGGAGGGGGTCTCGTACTTGGCAACTGGGGCTGGTGCACCTGCTGACGAATCCTTGGGACGGGGCGACGGCTTACGGTTGGATTTGCCTGCCGGAAGCACCGTCGTGGCCTCCGGCACGCTTAACTTTCCCGCCGCATTGCGCTTGATTTCGTTCTCCATCTTCTCCATCTCCTTGACATTGGGTATGTCTGGAAAGCTGCTCAGCGACAGGTCGTCCTCCTCGTCGTCGGCCAGCTGCAGTTTGTGGCCAATGATGCCCATGTAGATGGCAGCTGCCTCCTTCGTTTTGCGGGAAGGTCGCTGAGATCTCTGAGGCTCTGTCTCTGCGGAATCCTCCGAGGTTTTGCCTTTCGCTGATTTCCTAGAACCGCGGGCATTAGGTGCGGCCTTCTTGGACAGAGGGGGCGCCAAGTCCTGCTCGTCGGCTGGTGGATCCTCAGCTTTCTTTTTGCCTGCCTTGCCGCGCTTCCCTCCACTCGGCGGTTCCTCCACTTTGATCTCGGGAATAGGCTCCTTTTCCTTCTCCTTTTCTTTTTTTTCCTTTTCGAGCTCTTTCTCCCTTCTTTCCTTCTCCCTTTCCTTTTCCATCTCCAGCTTTTCCCTCTCCTTCTCCAGCTTTTCCTTTTCTAACTTTTTAGCAATCGCCTTACGATTCCTGGCCGCCGGAGCAGCTGCAGCAGCTGCTCCTCCCTTCTTGGGGCTCGCCCCCTTGCCGCCCTTTTTCAGCTTAATAGACTTTGCCAGCGGCTGTTCGTCATCCGAGCTGAAATCAAAGACATTCAAGCTCTTCTTGCCCTTGGCTCCTGCACCATGTTGACTGTCTCCGTTCTCCAGCTGCTGCTTGGCGTCTTTGGCATAAATACTAGAATTCGTCTTCTCCTTGGTGGCTTCCTTTGCCTTCTTGATGGGCTCTGGTTCGGGTTCCGACTTTTCTGGTGATTCGGGCTCTTCCTTGGGCGGCTCCGGGGTCGCAGTCTCCTCTTGATGCGGCGGAACCTTGACGGGCTCGAAAAAAGCCCGCTGTCTAGTCATGCGACCCGAGGATTCGGGTGAGGGTATAAAAATAGGCGATTCCCTTTGCCTAACACGCTTTACGGGCGCCTTGTCCTTCAGCGCTGTTTGTTGGGCTTCAGACGGCTCTGCTTGTTTCTTGCCGCCCGAGGGACGTCCTCGCCTGGCTTTCTCCTCTGTTTTTATAGGACTTTCTGCCTTTGCCTCGGCTTCACCGTTGCGGGAGGTGGCATCGTGGGCGGAGAAGAACTCGTCGTCATCATCATCGACTGCCTCGTGTCTTTTCTGATCCTCCTCCTCGTCCTCCTCCGATTCGTTATCATTTTCTATCACGGATTTACTCTCCTTAGTGATGGCACGATTCGAGCGCCGTTTATTATCGTTGGAGGTGGTGGCTGCTCCAGTTACAGCTGCTGTCCTCCCTCTTCCACCACGTCGGTTGCCATCGGTGACGATCTCCGCCCGCTTGCGTACAGCTCCTGGCAACACAGAGGGAGCAGGAGCTGGAGCTGGAGCAGTCGCTAGCGTTGGCGAAGGAACTGCAGGCTGTCTGACCGCAATGAGATTGTTTTTATCACTGACTGCTTTGTCTGCTGCCATTGAGGCGCTTTTCTCGGTGGACGCCGTCGTTTCCGCCTCCGCTGCTTTCTTGCCACCTGCTGATTTGGCAGGACGGCCGCGCTTCTTCTTGCCGCCCGCTCCCATGCCCGTCGTCTGTTGTCGACTATTGTTGGCGACCTTTTTGGCGTTGTTATTATTGTTGGCCTGACCGCCGACTGCGTTATTACCAGCCTCCTTGGCCGAATCCTTTGACTTGCCCTGATTAAGGTAGTCCAAGTGCGCCGGCAGCGCTGGAGTGCCGCGAAAGCAGAGAAAGGTGAGGAAATCCTGGGCCTTGGGACACTTGTTCGGCAGAATCTCGATCGGCGGCTGGGAGCTATCCACTCCCGAGGTGCTGGGCCCAGATCCAGTGCCAGATCCTGCTGCCGCTGCTGCACTATAAGCGGCAATACTTGACGAGCTGCTGGTTGGAGCACTCTGACCCTGGGCAAACTTGCGTTGAGCCTGCACCTTCGTTCTGCAAGGGTGGGGGTAAAATAAGAAAAAGGACAGTGTGAGTGAATTATAATTGGAAGAGACTCAACTTGATACAAATTAGAGAAGAGTCAATATTAATTTCAGCCCTCAATCAGGACAATAACAAAGCATTGAGTTATGTGTGCAATTACCCCGCGAACCGAGCATATACAGTGGTCTCTGGCTAAGCAGATTGGGATTAATAAAGCTCTTGCTATAAATTAATTGATTTTAGACCTTAACTTCAGCAACTGAGAATAAGCTTAAAAATCTGTATCTGAAACACATTACGAATTTAGCTAAATTAGCAAAGAGATTTGTGTCTAACGAATAGACCTCTGTTTCGTTTAAATAATGGGTAATGCTATTTGCTGAATTTTCTTCCGTCGATAAATTTATCAGTTTTAAGGGCAGGTTTTCATAAATAATAATACTAAGATATGAGTTTGATACTCTTATCTAAAATAATATTAAAATAGTTTAAAAATGTGCACATATTTTTATAACATTTTAATATTATTTTTATGTTCATATTTATTTATATTAATATTACAAGAATTATACAAATATTAATCCTAAACTTGAACTTTAATTATACTTCGTCATTAACTTTAAAAGCTTATTTGTCGCAAAGGTCGTTAGAAAAATCGTATTTAAAAGAATCTTGAAAATTTTATAATTATTTTAAAGGTAAATTAATACTTATTTTCAAATAAACAGTAAAAAGGCTTTTAAAATAATCAAATTTTTTATTTAGTTAATATTATTAAAGTCGGAAAATTCTTTTAATATTCATTCTCCTGCTGATAAAATTAATTAGAATTCAACAGACGCTGTTCAGTGTTCCCTTTTGGGTTATTTATGGCCAGACAGACGCTCCTAATTAACTGTGTCGAATATTCAGCTTAGTGACTAACCACTGTACATACATTTTCCACACATATTCCACCTGAGTTAAGTGGGGGAAAGACTCCCCGCTGCCACGACCCCTATCCCCACCGTGAGGCTGATGCGAAACACCCCCTTTGAGCGCGTTTCAAGCGAAGGGCACTGCGATGGAAACAACAACGCCACGCTCTCTGTAGCTTATACAATTGCGTCCAGCTCCCCCACCTCTCCAGCAATTACTCCCCCCACCCACACACACACACAAACAAACACACTTAGTGCTCCGTTACTTGACGCTGCGACGTCATCTGCCACACACTCACACGTATGTCACTTAAAGGCGAACCTATGGATTACTCCATGGCACTGGCACTCTCACCTCTTGGGCATTTCGGGTGACGACTCAATGGCCGGAGTCGCCGTTCCGGCCGCCGTTGGAGTGGCCACCGCTGGCGCAGGTGGTGGCGGCGGGGGCGGTGGGGTCTCCGTCTCCTTTCGGCGACGCTTGTTGTCTTTGGAGACAACCATTTTGTGTTGCGAATTTTTCGCGCCTCTTTCTCGCGCGCTCTCTCGGACTTTGAATAAATTTGGATGCAAGTGCGGATGCGGCAGAGCCGATATCCTTATTCTATATTTCACGGCTGCTGATCCGTATCTCCGCCGTACTCCCCGTATTATGTACGGATGGGATTTGCATATATATATATATATGTATATCTACAACAAACACGGATTTTGTTGCTGCCTCTGCTGCAGCAGGCAATTTTCGTATTTTCGCTTCATCTTTTCGCAACTTTAAGGGGCGGGGCGCTGGCGAAATATTCACTAAAATGCGTTTTATTGTCTCGATGGTGCGTTGCACTCTCCACGTTCACATTTCACACACGGCAGTTGTTGCAAATTTCATTTTCTTTCGCGAGATTTGCTTGCACATATTTTTTTTCGTCTGCTTCTTCTTCCACAGCTTTGTGTCATGGCGGACGGCAGCGTTGCCGGACCGCGGCCAGCTGTTAAGCCAGCCCTGGCGCGAATTTAGCCATTTGCAGCATCTGGCAGCACTCTTGAAAAATCGGTATCGATTGTGCTTTGATGTTTTGTGTGAGTTGACAAAAAATTTGGCAGAGCTAAAAAAGCTTGTGGTTAAATCTACTCTAGCAAGAAGGAAATAAACCAACCAAAAGCAAAATGGGCGACGGTGCTGGAAATTGGTGTCTCATCGAGTCCGATCCGGGCGTGTTCACGGAGCTTATTCGCGAATTTGGTAAGTAATCGCGCGCTTTCAAAAGCGACGCCGGCAAGAAATGCATTGTAATTAAAACCTGCATTCTCTCTGCGGTCAGGCTGTGATGGCGCCCAGGTGGAGGAGATTTGGAGTTTGGACAGCGAGTCATTCAAGAATTTGGAGCCGATCCACGGCCTGATCTTCCTGTTCAAGTGGGTGCAGGAGGACGAGCCCGCCGGCAAGGTGGTCCTGGACCGCGAAAACATCTTCTTTGCAAAGCAGGTGATCAACAATGCCTGCGCCACGCAAGCTATCTTGAGTCTGCTGATGAACCTGGAGCACGAGGACATCAAGCTGGGCGAGACGCTGACCAACTTCAAGGAGTTCTGCCAGTGCTTCGATCCGTACAACAAGGGCCTTACGCTGAGCAATGCCAGCCAGATCCGAACCGTGCACAACTCCTTCGCCCGCCAGACGCTCTTCGAGCTGGACATGAAGAACCAGAACAAGGACGAGGATGTCTACCACTTTGTCGGCTACATGCCCATCGCCGGTCGTCTCTACGAGTTGGACGGCTTGCGCGAAGGTCCCATAGATCTGGGCGAGATCCGGCCAGAGCAGAACTGGATCGATGTGGTGCGCCCGATTATTGAGAAGCGCATGCAGCGTTATAGCGACGGTGAGATACATTTCAACCTGATGGCACTCATCTCGGACAGACAGCGCATTTACGAGCAGCAGATCGACAAGCTACTCAATCCGGCTCCCAATGCCATGGACACTGAGGAGGATCGCCAGACGGAGATCAGCAGTCTGCGCACCTACATCCAGTACGAGATCCAGAAGAAGAAGCGCTACAAGGTGGAGAACGTGCGGCGCAAGCACAACTACTTGCCGTTCATCGTTGAGCTGCTGAAAATGCTGGGAGAAACTGGGCAGCTTATGCCCATCTACGAGAAGGCCAAGCAGCGGGCGCTGGACCGCGAACAGGCGCAGCGCAAGAAGGAGTCCAACTAGGAGAAGAGCAGCATTTACAGTATCCCCATCTGAGGTTGGCGAGCAAAGCCTGATCATAGATTGACTCGAGGAGCGAGAAACTAGAAGCAATCGGCCATTGCTGGTGACTAGTTAGGTGCCCACTGCCTTGTACTGTACTTTAGTTTTTTATACACTCTCCCCGCTCTCTCTCTGCTCCAGTTAATTCGTACACTAATCTGCGTGTTAAGCTAAATATATATGTAAAATGGTGCCACAGAAATCGCCAAGCATTTCAAATTCATTCAGAAAATTTATCTAAAAGCATGCAATGAAATATTTTAAAAATTTCTTGTCATACTTTTGGACCGCATTTAAAGTGAATTCAAATACCCAGGGATCTCTGTGGCTGCCCTGATAATTAAATACCTTTATAGTGAAAAATTTAAATATAAAAAAGCAAATAAAAACCGGCAACCGTTTTGCTGTAACGTAAAGGAAACGAAACGAATGGAGTGGTTTGCTCGTATAGAATATATTTTTGGTATATATATCATTTACAATTGCTATGTTTGCTTTTGGTATTCTGCCTTTGATTTGCGTATAATCCACTTTGAATTTGATGCTGCTTCTTGTTGTATATAATATGTTGTTGTTGTATATTGTATATAGGAATATTTAGTTTTGTTAACCGCCCCCGCCAGTTCTATGCTAAAAATTTGTCTCCACTTACGAACTATAGACTCTACTAGTTATATACTTTTTTTTAGGGAACTTTCATTGGGAGGTCGTTTTTGATTTGGTATTTCTTTTCCTTCATCTTACATCTAGAGGCTAATCCAGCTAATGCGGTCTGGGGGACATGGTATACGGGGGTCATATGGCTGGAAACCGAAGCTATATAGGTTATATTTTAGTTCTGGCCAAGATTTTGGCCATGTGGAAGTGTGTGTGTGCAGCACCCTATGCGCTATGGCAACTACAGAAATATATATATATATATGTATTTATCAGGCGACCCACAGAACTGCCTTTGGATTTGGAAATGTGGGATATACAAATATTTCTTTGCAAACTGCGGGGCATTGCTTTTCAAAACCATAGCCATTCCTGTGGAACTCCTGTACCGTGTATATAATATACTCGTATATATGTATATTGTATATGGTTATTCTGGGCTTAATCTAATCCTTTCTCTCCTGTCTGCCTGCCGGCTTTTGCGTGTGTTAATTTCTGGGTTGGCTTAATTGAATTTCATTCGATTAAAGTTTAATTTTGTTAACATTTAGGCTAATTTTACTAGTGTCTCCTGGTATTACGTTCTGCCGCTTTAATTTAGCACTTAGTTTTCAATGGTTTCTCGCTTAACAATTCTTTTTTTGTTTTTCATTATTTTGAAGACACAACAGTTACTGGTCCAGTTCCAGGAAGAAGTATGTATGTATATGTATATGTGTGCGATCTGATCATCTATTGCGGATTCCAGGATACAAGCCCTTGCTGCGGCCACTATTTTACCGAGGTCCTGCGGCAGCGGCGTAACTGTACTGCAAGCCCGTGTGCGTCAATTCGTTGCATACTTCGCTGCGCGTCACCGCATTTAAGGCGGCGAAGGCGTGATGAGGGCGTGGCGTGGCCAGGTGTGCTTGTGGATTATGCTGGGCCTGTGATGCCTCATAGGCGGTTAGGTCGATGCTGGGAGCTGAAAGAGATGAGGGGTATTAGCTTGTATAGATTACTATCTATCAATCCATATCCTTACCAGCTGCATGCATGCGATTGTATAAATTTTTGCGTTTCTTCTTCAACAGAGTATCCAGGTTATAGCCCTCCATGCTAGCTCTGTAAAGAAAAGCCATAAATATACCAATATTTTGGGCCCATCCCTCGGCATAACTCACTTCTCGGGCCTGCCGTTGCCCAGCAGCTCCTTGAAAGCAACGTAGATCTTGTTTAGCGTCAGATTGGATAGCCCCTGGCCCAGATATCGTACAAATTTAAGTTGTTCACATTTGGATAAAGCGCTCTCGTGGAAGTCCAAAAAGGGTCGATGATCGGATATCTGATATTCCTGTTTCGGTAATGTTAACAAATAAAGAGAAATAAGGAATAGAAGAGTAGAAAATATATTAGAATCGCTCGAGTCCTGAGACTGGGGCAAGAGTCTTGTTCAATGATCTTTGGTTTGAATAATGAGGATGCAATTTTGAATAGTCAATGGATGCCAATTTGTCTTCTCTCGATCGCCAATTGGGTTGTGGCCAAAGAACAAAGCTCCGCAAGGCTACAGTGGGTCGTGATCCTGCTCCACGTCTTATTTTTCTGCTCCTTCGATTCACTTTTGCTCACATTGCAAAACTTGATGAAGTTTTCGATGAGTATGTACTTTTCATAATTGCTCAGACATTGCTGGCTACTACTCTGTATACCGAACTGTTTCAATAGCTCCTGCTTCTTGGGCGGCAGGCGGCTAATGTGTGTGCAAACCCCGTCCTCGATCCGGTGCGTCTCGTGCACGTCAAAGTTCTCGTAGATGATCATCTGCTCCAGGGATCGCGGCGGTGGTCCCAGTGCCGGCATTGGCAGCGGCGGTGGCAGCAACGGCGCAGGTGCCCCACAGCCGTACCGCGGATCCATGGTCGCCATCTGATGTTGTTGATGCGGATGCTGATGTGGATGCGGATGTTGCTGCTGCTGTGCCGGCGGAGCCGTTACATAGGCTGGCGGATTGATTCCAGGCACGACGTTGCTGCTGCTGGCAATGCCGGCCCCGCTGCTGCTGCTGTTGCTATTGCTCGTGTTGCTGTTGCTGCTGCTACTGCTGCTGTTGCCACCACTGGAGGCGAACTCCAGGGAGCCATCGTTGGCGGCGGCCATGTTCTTGAGGTCTACAAGAGAGAATGGTAATGCCAGGAGGATACTCAGCAAGCTGCCATATATACTCCAAGGATCTTTGCAAAATCGCCTTTTAAATTATATTTGATTTGAGTTTGGAAAACTTTAAACTTTAAATAAATGCCTAAAATAAACATAAAATATATATAATAACTGAGGGCCTATTTAAAAGATTGTCATATATAATAACCTACGTTTAAATAAAATAATATTAATTTATATTTTAAAAACTTCACTAATTACCATGCAATTTTCATTTCATTTTAAATAATGCAGTAAAGTTTATTGACATTGTTAAAAAAGCTTAAAAACAAAGGCGATTTTTTTAATAAAGTATGCACTGCATTATTCCCTGTAATCCTTGGCTCTGACTACTCCACGGCTTGCGTATAACCAACCAATCACAAGGTGAGGAAAGAGTTATTACCAATCATTGCAATATGGCAATTGCTTCTTTGAATTTGAAAACCTAACCCCAGGAGAAGGGAGCGTGCGTTTTTCTCCATTAATTAATTGAACTTGAACTGAGCGCAAATGCAGAGGCACGACGACGCAGGCAATAAAAAATCTCAAATCGATTCGATTTTCTCTCAATCTAGTTTTTTTTTTGTATATATTTTCTGGGTTCGCAAACAATTTCCATATATATCGTATGTTGTGTGTGTTTTTAGTTAGGAGTGGTTTTACATATAACATACATTTCATTTTGTTCTTGGCTTACTAAAATATATATTTATATATATATTTATTATATTATTACCATAATATTAAATAGCATTTAGTATGATTTTCTATACTCGTGAGTGTGTGTAAAAGTGTGATGTGTGAGGTTGTGTATTTTGTGAGTGTGTGTTGTGTAAAATGTAATAATCTCTTTTCAAGGAATAACATTGCATAGTTTGGGGGTTTCAATAATGATCGATCGTTGTCCAACAATTTGTGATATTGTCGTCCAAACGTTATACAAAAAATTTGCATATAGTTTTATAAAAATTTGGCAAAAAGCTTGTTTTGTGTAAAATTAGTCTAAAATAAACGAAACGTTTACTAAAACGAGGAGGAGTACACATAAAAATAGTATATGACGATGCACATCAACGGGACAAACTAATCTAGGACACAGGATGGGTAGGAGGACGTTGGGGTGCGGCCGAATCCAGAATCCTTCATCCCGAATCCTTGCCAACAGCCTACGCGAGGAGAAGGAGTGTCAACAGGTGGTGCCGCCGCCTCCGCCGTTATCCTTGGCGCCACGCCGACCCCAATTTCACATGGTTCCTCCTCCGCCGGCGCCGCCGCCTCCACTGGGTCCGGCTGCAGCACCACCTGATGCTGCTGATGCTGCTCCTCCTCCTCCTGCCTGCTGCTGTGGCAGCGGTGGCGCTGCTCCTGGATAACCCATGGCCGCCATATGCTGGACATGCGCGTGCGGATGTGGATGGGGCGAGTGCGGATAATAGTGCGGATGATGCTGCTGCTGGGGATGCTGCTGCTGATGCGGATGCCCGTGGGCCGAGGCATAGGCAGCAAAGTGATGGGCATGCGGATGACCATGGTGTTGCGGCGCCTGATGGTGTGGATGGTGCGGGGGATAATGGTGCGGATGAGGCGGCAGCTGGGGATGTTGCTGCTGTGGCGCCATCGCTGGACTGCGGGTGGGCGTGCCCGGTTGCATGTGGTGTGGATGAGGATGGGGATGCGTGTGCGAATGTGGAAGCGAATGCGGATGTGAAAGCTGGGCATGCGGATGTGGATGAGGATGCGGGTGCGTGTGTGGATGTTGCAGCATATGCTGTTGGTGTTGCTGCTGCTGTTGTTGTTGCAGGTGCTGCTGCTGTGGCGTTGTTGGAGTTACAGCTCGTGCTGCTCCTGTTCCTCCTACTCCTCCTCCTCCCTGCATCGTGGGCGTGGCAGGCCTTGTGCGTGGCGTCGCCTGTGTGGGCGTGACGGCTCCTGCTCCCGCTCCTAGGGCTCCTGCTCCTCCAGCTGTGGCTGCTTTTGGTGTGGCAGGTGAATTGGGGGCCAGCAGCTCCTGCTCGGATTGCTGCTGCTGCTGTTGTTGAGGTGTCTGTTTGACCGGTGTAGATGGTGTTGTTGTTGTTGTTGTGGTGTTGTTGGTCTTGTTACTGGTGTTGTTCGTGGTGATGTTGTTGCTGTTGCTGTTGGCATTGTCGCCTATAGTGATTGAAAGCGTATGCGTGGAAAAAGAAGAAGAAAGAGGAAACAAACAAACAAATTGAAGTCAAAAATTAAAATTGTTTTTTTTCGTTTGGGTTTTTGTTTGGTGGATTATTTTGACAAAAATTTCGCAAAAATAGGCAGGCCAGATTGTAGTTTTCTTTTCGATATTTTCGCTTCTTAAAACACAACCAAAAAGAACACAAAGTGCACGAAACATATAGAAATAGAAATGAGAAGTGCAAAAATGGCAAGAAGAAATAATAAAAATGAATGTAAGCACTTCTTCTGGTTTCGAGTGTATATATTTTTAAAATTTAGCACATTCGCCTCTCTTTTTCTCTCTTTTTTTTTTTTTTTTATTAATTTTCCTCAGCCCGAATACATTCTTTCGGTTTGATGACGACAACGACGAAAACGATGCCTGCTGCTGCTGTTGCTGCTGCATTTGCACTACACGGGATTCGGTGGGACTGGGGCGGCGGATTAGGGGGTCGGGGTCTATCTCTATACCTAATACCTATACCTATATTTAGATATAGATTCTCACTTACCAGCTGTTGTGTTGGCCAGGAAGCGCTTGGTTTTGTCGAGTATATAAGGCAGATTGTAGCCGTCCTTCGTGTAGCTGCAAGAAACAGGACATTCATCAATTTAAAGTAGAAGCATGCTTTTAGGAGCAGCAGCATATTGAATTATCCGGAACGGGCGACCGGGTAGCCGTGTGCCCGTGTGGAGTTACTCACATTTCTGTGCGTTTGGTGCAAAACAGATTCTTAAAATTGCTATAAATGCAGAAGAGCGTGAACGTCGGCAGGCCCTGTCCCAGATATCGAGCGAACTTGATCTGTTCGGGTTTGTTTAGGCCGCATTGGTTCAGCGACAGCCACGGCCTATGATCCTTGATATCATATTCCTGTGGGAGGGAGAATATATATAAGAAATTAGAAAGGAAAGTAATGTCTAACTTTTGTTACTTAGAAATTAACTTTAAGTTACAAGGTAAAGGTCTTGTCCAAAGAAAATCAACTTAAGTTTGAATAATTTTGTATGGTTTCAGCGCAATGTGTCACTGAATTCGTACTTGAGAATTTAAGGCACAGGATTTTAGTGTTAAATTTATTGTCTCATTGCGTATATTTCCTGTTGATTAATTATTATACATTATTTACGTTATATCTATTATTAATTCAAAATTTTACCAAGGTTTTTTCCGAAACTCGTGGTTTACTTCTAATTAGATTGTTAAAATAAATAAAAAATTCAATTAGAAATCAGACGCCAGTTGGAAAATTAATTTTCCAGACATACCGGTTCTACTGGTTACCCCACATCCGCAACCATATCTAATGCAACGCTAACCACCCTTCCATTAGTTTTGAAATAACTTACACCTTTGGTGTTGAGGAGGAACCCAACCCCCTTTATGCCACTTTTTAGCATAATTTCCTCTACTTTTAGGCTGTTTTCCACGTTACTCCTGTGCATGTGTATTCATTGACGTCAAATTCTATGACTGCACATATGTATTTGACGTTACATAATGTACTACGACGAGTATATATGTATACATATATAAATATATGTGGGATGGCGAAAACCCCACAGACACATGCGAGGCGAAAACTTTGCCCACTACTAATCAAAACTTATAATTCGTGTACAACGCAAAAGTTTAAAACGAAAATTTTACACAAAAGCCAAAAACTTGCAAAAGGACGTTGGGCTGAGTGGGTAAAACGGGGGGGCTGTGGGGTAGCGGGGTTCGGGGAAATGGTTCCTGAATAACATGCCAAAGCTAAAGCTCCACACACACACACATCCGGCAACCAGGACCCACACCCTTACAATGTATATTTTATAGTGTAAAAATATAGAATAGGGCGCAGCGCAAAAAGGAAGCAGAAAAGGCAGCAAAGCAAACCCAAATAGAAAAGCAAACAACATTTTCAATGAAGCCATTTTCCCCCAAAGAGGGGTGGCTTTGGTGGATGGGGTTCGGGGGCTGGGTATTTGCAAGGACCCCCGAAAGGGTTGTGTGTGCGCTTGTGTCAGTGTCTGTGCCGATGCCTGTGTGTGCTTTCCTAGCCTTAGTAGGCGCAGGCAGCGGCTTAATGGCCGCCTCTGTGTGTGTGTGTGTGCGAGTGTGAGTCTTCGTTCGTCGTCGGCTTTGGTCCTTTGCTCGTCGGAACTTATCAACATCCTCATAATCAGTGCGCCAGTGGTTGCCACCACCCGTCACCCCGTCTACCCAACACCCACCACCATTTGCTCTTCTCGCTCTTGCTCTGCCCCCATGTGTGGAAGGAAGCGCTTCTGGGGATTCGTACATACATTTCGGGTTTTGATTATGTTAAAAATCAATAGAGCAAAAAGGAGTGACGAGACATCTTCTCCTTTTTTGGTGGCGGGCCGAGAACTTTAAACTCCTGCCGGAGGGTAAAGGATGATAAGAGTGGCACATCACATTCTCCATCTCCTTCTGGCAGCGTGATGACAGGCGAGCGACACCTGGCCACTTCTCCAGGTGTCTCATTAACAGCCAACTATGCGGGAGAAGGAGTTTGGGCATCCTGTGGTGAGCTCTGCTGTGTTATGAGGGACAGCGCACCGTCGCAATGTTGCTGCTGTCAAGCCGGCAGACTGAGTGCTGCCCCACTCATAACCACTGCACGCCCATGGCCACTCAACTGTTTCACAGTCAAAAAGCGAGAAAATAAAATAACAAAACAATGAAAGGATGAATATGCCAACCGGCAGATACTCTCTACTATTACAAAAAAGAAAATTCCGATGATAACTTCTCTCCCGAACAGCCTAACACCTGGAAGCACCAGCGTTATTGGGCTTTTCATACGAAAAAAGGATAAGTCTTGTTAAATGTACCCAAGTGGACGCAGTGTTAACGACCTCGTAAGTAGATGTGATCTAGAGTATTTGCAAAAGAAAGTGTTGATACGAAACTTTTGAATTTTTTATTGCCTACTTTTTAGGGCTAATGCAAGGACAACGATAGTAGTATGCAGCAAATTCCTCGAAGACGAGCAGTACTATTTTTGTAAGGCAAGTCATACTTTTCATGATACCCGATATATCTAAATACCATAGAGATAGTTTTGGAATGGAGAACAAAAAATAAGCGTACTACCAGGAAGAGAAGAATGAAAGCAAATGGCAATGTGTTGCGGTATTTTGTTGTTGCTTTCGTTGCTGTTTTCCGTTTCTGTTTTCGTTACGTCTCCTTCTGTTTGCAGTTTGTTTTTTCTGTTTCTGTTTCGGTTTCTGTTTCTCCATTGTTTTTTGCTTTTTACAAACTTATTGGCAGACATGGTTTGTGTTTGTGCGTGACGCAGTGTACATGTGTGTGTGGGTGCTCCCCGTCAGTGTGGTGTTTGGGTGTTTGCTTGCTTGTGTGTGTGCGTGTGTGGCGGGATTGCGGTTGTTGTCTGTGGTGTGATGCGGTTTGTTGTTGTTTGTATTGAGAGACAAGTGTGAATTGTTTTCCTTTCAGTGCGGTGTTTTTGTTTTCGTTGTCGTTGTTGTGGGTGTTGCTTGTGCGTGCTGGGAAGCAGCAACAACCACAGGAGCGGCATGTTTCGTCTGTTGCTGCCATGATTTTTTGATTCCTTTTTTTGTCGAGGGTGTGCGTGTGTGCATTAAGTGCTTGTGCAAGTTGGGGGAAAATTTTCACACTTTCACTCTCCTTCAATGCGTGTGTGCCGTTGTTCTGGCCGTTTAACAGGTTTTTCCCCTTTTAATGGGTGTGCGTGGTGTGCCTTAAAGGGTTAAGGGTCTCATTCGACGCCCTTTTTTCCACCTCAGCTTTCATTAGGCAACTAATTACGGGGTTTTCTAATTAAGGTAACCTGTTCTAAATGCGCTCTAAATTCAAAAAACAAGCACTAATTTTATGTGTGTGTTTGTCCCCAAAAGCGGCGACAAAACGTTGCACAAAACCTAAATATTTAATGTGTGTGCGTTACAAATATACATACGGAGCCCTCTATACATACATTACATATGTACATATGTATATCCTGTATATAGTCGTCATATGCGCCATGTACAGTTATATCGGTATGTGGCCCGCATACATATGTATAATTTAAAATTATAATCAATGCCCCATATGTGCGCCTCCCTTCATATGCGAGTTTGTGTCTGTGCGCGTAAATTGTGCGAAGCCGAGACATTGTACCTGCCCATGGCCCACCCCCTATTCGGCCCTCCCTCTTCCCTTTCCACTACCACTAAGCTGTCCTTTACACACACACAAAACACACAGACGCTCGCCCAAAGTTGGGCAAACTGGAATGCATTTGTGTGGGTGAGCCGACTGCATGCGCACTTAGTAGCCTTCAACGTTTGCCGCTGGGGGCCACACACTCACAGTCTCAACTACAGTGGAACTTCTGAAAGTTCTACGATTTAAGTAGCTAAGTACAATAGCTAAGATTAAGGACTACACTTCCAGAGGCTTACAAACCCGCGCACTGAGGATTAGGATAAACAAAACATTTACATGCCGATGTCGGTAACACGCTTTCAATGTCAATTTTTCATTCTTTCAAGCTTTTATTTCAGTGTAAGCTCCTGGTAGTACAATCACTTTTCTTTAGGTTGGTAATCTAATGTCAATATTTCTACTACATTACATATGTATGTAGCTCTGTAATATCAAAAAGTGTATTTAAACAAAAAAGGTCTATTTGCTTGTAAAAATGTAAGCCCCTCTATTAATTTTTGGAAAGTCTGTACGAAATTGAAAAATATTTGAAGAACTGTAAACGTCTGGGTTTTTCGTTGGCTCCAACGTCCAAGATAAAGTTTGACTTAGGCATTTGAGACTGTACTAAGCGCTCGCTCCGATAGAGACATGTATAAAATGTGTTGATAAAATACAGAGACACACACATATTCGTACGTGCAGCGAAAGCGAGAGAGTCGGGCAAAGGAAAAGGACATGCCCAAGCAGCTAACGGACAGTCCACTCTCCCCTTTCCCCATCATGCCGCTCCCTTGGCAAGTAACTTGATGATTGTATGTATGAGAGTCTAAGGAGTGGAAGCCAAAGAAGAATTCAAGGGAGCAGCGGAAGGACGAGGAAGGAAAGAAGGCGGAGGCGGTGGCATACGAGAAGGAAGAGGGTAGGAGGAAGTGGGAGGGCAACATACAATTACTCAATAGCAACCGCCTCTGCCTTGAGCTTTTTTGGGGGTTGCCCACACCCACATTTATAGCCTTACACTCATACACATAAACATTGGCATAACTACACACACACACACTTTGGTAGTTTCGAGCAGGAGAAATCAGCCTTCAAGTAAGTTTTGAGCGGAGGGAGGATGACTGGGAGAGGGAGCCCGGAGAGAGCTACCGTTAGAGAGAGCGCAACAATTTTGAGTTAGGGACCAAGGTAGAAGCAGAGAGCGTCTTAGAACTAAAATGTTGTAATAGAGGGGGGTAGGGTTACCCGACCCGCTTCTTCTACTTCAGCTTCCTCTCTCTTTATCCTCCTTCGTAATTTTGCGCGCTGTTTTTGTTGCTTTTGTTGTATTATGCCATCAATGCCATTTTGTACATAGTTTGGTGAATGTGTGGGTGCTTTTGTAGAGTGAAGGAAGGAGAAGCAAGGGGGGGCGAAGCCAACAAATCTAGATGTGACTCTCTGTCTGTGGGTGGGAATGCTGTGTGTTTGTGTGTGATAAAGCGGAGCTTAATGAGCGTGGTGAGTGTTTGGGGTTGACTTGCCATAGTGTTGAAAAGGGCGCCAAATGTGTATGTGTGTATGTTCCAGGAGCGGGTGGTGGTGGGGCTTAACCCCCATGTATAGGTGTTTAGAACGAACACACATTCACACACACATACAGTAAGCACACATGATTACAGTTGTATGCTGAATTTGTGGTTGGCTGCAGTCAGCGCCGACGGCGACTGCGACGCCGGCGTCACTGCTCCTGTTATTACAATTTATAATGACATTTGTGTGAGTAGGGGGTCCGAACGGAATCCTGTGAATTCGTATGTATATGTATGGGTGAGATATTGGATATAGGATATAGGATATAGATAGGGTGCATGTTTATATTATGAATATCTAAATTGGTATGTACTTTATATATATTTATACAGGCGCTTGGACCGCAGAAAATATCAATATCTGTAATTTCAAAACAGATTCGAAGGCTTACTTATACTCCAACACTTTCCATTGATTTTAAATCTACTAAAAATGTTTATCTACAACCTTTGTTTTATTATTTAAACGGATTTAAAATAAATCTTTGGTCAATTGCTAATTGCCACAGAAGTGCGTTGATTAAGTATACTTTTTTATGCTTTTATTATATTCTGCAAATTTATTTAGAAACCTATAAACAAAGAATTTACTATAAAGAGATCAAATACTAATCGTGAGGGTACGAAACAAGAGATTTCTGAATTCATCGAAATACGTGATTTTTTTTATGTATTATATAGTTTTATGTACATACAGGCAAACCATTGCCTTATAAATGCTCTATACGATAAGAATGTTAATATTCAACATTAATTTATACCCCACGTGTTCACCTAGATATGAACTAGTATTAGCTTGATAAGAGAAATGATAAATTGACCTTAATTCAAGGCGTGCATTTAGTTTAGTTTTATCAGCTCTTGTCATTATACTATTTAATTGACCCCCATTCCATTTGAATTTACTTTCTGTTCTCATCTAATATAGATTGCTTACAAAAATGGGGGGGAAAACATGAATAAATTAATTTCTTGCTCAACGATTATGAGGTACCCTTTAAGCAAGACTTTGGGGGTATCATTAGGGCTACATAGGTTATTAGTAATTCTATTCCCCATATTAATCTAAATTTTTAATCATCTGACATTATGTACATACCTGAAATCTGTAAGGTAATTCCCATAGTAATTCACTTCCAAGCGGAAATACTACCCCTTTGACCAACCCTAATTAGACCCCACACATTTCAACCCTTCCCCAACCTATTCCACAGACCATCATCAAAATAAATACGTAATGTGTACATATGTGCAAATATTTAAATTACATATGGAAATGGGCAGTGAGCGAGAGCGGTGAAATTTTTGCACACTCTCTTGCTATAAAGGGAAATTCGACTCGCTAAATACCCAGTCCCACACCCTTTGGGGCTCCGGGAAGGTTTTGTGCTAACTTACCTCGCAGAATTTGATAAAGTTCTCCACCACAATCGATTTATCCGTTAGCGTCATCTGGCCAGTGAACCGAACGCCCAGCTGCTTTAGCGTGTCCTTCTTTTTTGAGGGAAGCTTGTTCATGTGCTGGAAGATCCCTTCTTCAACCTTGTGCGATGGATGAACCTCGAAGTTCTCCTTGATCACGAAGGTACCCAAAAGCTTTGGCGCATGCGAAGACGAGGATGCCGTCGAGGATGAACAACTGGCACCGGTTAGCAGGCCTCCAAATTCCCCCGCACTCCCGCAGGCCGCTCCCTCCGAGGAAGTGTTTGAATTGGAGGCATTCAGGTGCGAGTTGGGAAACGCGAGCATCTCTAGAGAAGACTCATTTGAGTTGGAGGATCCATTCGACGCCATGTGCTGCAGATCAAAAATAGTCTGCTTCGAGTCGTGGTCGAAGACGTCCAAGGCCGAAGTGCTGGTATCCACCAGACTGTTGGAAGCCCGCGAAACGGAAGACAACAAGGCGGCCACCTTGCGGGAGGCTGATCTCGATTTCTGCGGTGTACTCGTGTCCAGATCGATCAGTCCACCGGCCACCGGCGACTGGGCGGGCGGTGGTGGCGTGCTGCCGGGTAGCATCGACTTCCCTTTCTCCGGGCAGCCGACAGCACCCTCGCTAACCGAACTGGGACTGGGGCTGGGCGTAAAGTCTGTCGAATGGCGTAGGTATTTGATAAACTCGAAGGATCCATCAAAATGCTGTGGCACCGAAGCTGCTGCAGCTGCCCCCACGGCTGCAACTCCGGAGGCATGGCCGTTGGGCGTGGCCACAGCCGTGGGCCATCGATTGCTGGGGAGCAGGGGGGTTGCCGTTATTGATCCTCCGGCACCTCCTGCGCCACCAGTAGAAACGGAAGATCCTGTGGGTGTTGCTACCGACGTCGGCGCCGCCGCGACGCTGGTATCGGCTATAACGGTGCTACCTGAGCTGGATGCAGCACTGCCCGCGCAGGTTTCCCGCTGCGACGTTAACGCTGCTGCTGCTGTTGCCTGTGTCGCTGCTGCTGATTCGTAAAAGTCTGTTGCGCTGCCGCCATTGGTTAGGTGTGAGTGTGTGGAATACTGTTGTTGTTGTAGCTGCTGCAATTGTTGTTGCTGCTGGTGCTGCTGCTGCGGCGTTGCGCCTGCGCAGCCAAACACTTGAAATTCCTCGAAATTCGAGCATTTGAGCTCGCCATTGCTCAAGTACTTGGAAAACTCTGAAGGATCGTTGAGCGAATTGAGAAAAAAGGAGCTAAAGTTGCTCGATATGCAGGACATTTTTCAGATTTCGGTTGTTAATACTGTGGTTTTTAAAGCTTACAAAATGGCACATGCGATTTCGAAATATATATATATATTTTCTCTCACTTCTCTCTTTTTCTCTCTCTCTTGACTTTTATTTATTTTTTAGTTAGTTTTTCTTGTTTTTCTGCTGCTGGTGCTGCTGTTGCTGCTCTTGCGGTTCATATTTTATTACAATTTTCCACACACTGGGGGCACATGTGTGTGTGGGCCTCTCCCGCCGTACATTTGTGTGTGTGTATGTATAAATTTTTCTTATTATAGCAAAGTGTAATTTATTATTCTTATTGCTCGCTCGCGCACTGCCTTTCTCGCTCCCTTTCGCTCCTTTGAAAAGGCCTTTTCCCCGTATGTGGTCGCACTAATACACATGGAGCGAGACTCACGCACATACGCCAATACCAATGCACATAAGCGGGCCCTGGAAATAGGCGCTTTTTCGAAACTGGTCTGGGTCTTGTCTCTTCGTTTTGCCTATTTTATTATTATTATTATTACTTGGCCTTTTTGCACTATTTTCACTTCCTTTTCGGCTTTACGTTCGCGCCCACTTACACACAGACAGTAATAAGACCGACGACAGACAATCACTAACACACGGACACAGCGAGGCGCGGTCGGCAGCGGCGTTGCTTTTTCCCGTCTTCCTCTGCTTTATATTTCGTTTTTCTTGCTCGCCTTTGCTTTACTTTCAAAACAAATGCCGCTACTGCTTCCATACGGAAAAACGGAAAATCTTATCGTTGTTGTTGTTACTGCTGCAGAGTGTTTTCGCCGCCGCTCCGAAACACGACATTGCCGTTACACACACGAAAGCAAAATGAGCGAAAAACGTTCATGCACGTCTAGCCTTGTCGTGAGTTCCGCTCCCTCTCTCTCTTTCCTCCTCTCTCTGCGTTTATGCGGGGCTTTATTCTTTCAGTAATTTGTTGAAATGCTGCCGTTAAAGGCAAGTGCAATGTCATGAATTTAAAATACGTCAATTGCTTATGAAAAAATCAGCATTTTATTAAATGATGACGCTAGCACCTTATATTTGTATCGCAAAAATATGGGACTTAAATTCACGTACTCTGATTTCGTCAAATTCAACGCATAACTCGGTATATCTCTCTCTCGTGTGTCGGCTTCGTGCGCTCTCTCGGGTCTGCGAGTGTGTGAGTGTAATCAGTTGTAGGTGTTGTTGGTATTGTAGTTGTTGCTGTTGCGCTAGGAAACGTGTATTTCTTCCTGCGCCATGCTATAACCCTTTCCATATAAACCTGATTTAATCTTTGATTATTGTGCTCGCTGGGGGATTATGGCTGCCGCCGCCGTTGCTGGCTTTGCTATTTTTGAAAATTCCACTAAATTATCCGTTGTGCCCCGTTCCTCTTCGTCTCGCGCCTTGTGCAGGTAAAAACAGTTCATTTGCCTAGAGTTGCCACTCCGCTGCGTTTTCGGCAGGACCACCTGGAATGAGCATAAATGTACGATTTTATGGGCCGTGCGTAATTTTACAGCTTCACATTTACGACTCTTTTGGGCCGTAAAACATTTGGAACAGGTAGCAGCGAGGCAAAGGCAGCGATCTTCGAGTCTCAAGGCCACAGCTGTTCGGGTAGTTGGCAACCCTGGAGAGCAGGAAATTTTTAAACTTCCAGCGGTATTTTACGATTTTATCTCACTCGAATTTTCTCGTCGAGGAATTTTTATAGTCGTTTGTTCGCAGAATAAATATAATTGCTTTTAATTATAAATATGTAGAAATGTGCATACAAATGTACGACGGCAAGCACAAGGAAGTCATCAATTTAAAAACGCCGTCTCTAAATTATTGTTATTCTAATTACCTCTTTTGCTGATGCTGTTGCTGCTAATGTTTTTGGCACAATTTCGCTTTCGAATCCAATTTATTTATTATACATGTTTATGTATCTACATATGCACATACGGGGACTTGTAAGTACATAACATAACTTATTTAACAGGCTTTCACGCGCGGGCAGCAAATTTACATGTCTCTACATGCACACACTCGCACACACTGGCATGTGAGTAATTTTTCAATTCATTTTAATTATAAACTTAATTAGGAAATCAATGAACGACGCGAACAGAACGGAACACACACACAACGTTATTTATATGAATTTATTACCGCTGCGGAACAAGTCCGCAAACACTTGCCCCCAACAAGTGCGAGCGAGACCGGCGTTCGAAACTAAAACAGTGAGGCAATGCGACCGAAACAATGACAACAATTTCCATCAAGTGCGCTGCGCATACAACATAAAATCATCGCCAGAGAAGAGCCCAAACAGGCCCCCAAAAGCCCCCGAACGAAAAGCGAACAGACCGAAAAGTTGAAAACAACTGAGCAGCAAACAGGGCAACAACAACAAATCAAAAAGGGAAGAGAATAGGGGCGCCAACTGACCAGAGCTGCCAGACTGAAATTCTGCAGTCGGTGCGAAGAATAGCTAGAATCGTTAAGAAAATTTTGGGGATTCCAGGTTTTAATTTCGACAGAAAATGTTCGATTGTAGTTCATTTTTTTGTAGCGTAAATTATTTAAAACTACAATCAAAGGTTATAACCCTTTTTTGAAGGCGACCAGCTTGAGACATTTGTTATGTAAAATAGCTAGACTGGCAACAGCGACTGTTATCGTTATCGGTGACTCGTTCGATTAAAACGTGCGCGATTCAGAAATAAAAATATAAATAAAAAACCGGCATGAAATTTGCGATCGAAAGCATCACTAAGAATTCCGGCCGCCTGGGCCAACTCCGGATTAGAGAGGGTGGCCCCGAGCTGAGGACGCCGCTCCTTATGCAGACTACAAAAGGCGGCAGCATTCCGTGGCTCAGTGCAGATGTGTTCGAGAGCCATGTTAGCCAGAAGCCACAGGTGCTGCAGTTTACTTTGTCCACAATGGACCAAATGGCCGAGGCCCTGGCCCAGTGGAATAGCGGAGATCGGGGCGTCAGCGATTATGTTGGCTTTCCCGGACACTTGAATGTCTTGCTCCTGCGAGATCCGTGCGAAACGACGCCTTCGGGTGGGAACGACCGGGACATACAACCGCTTTTCACGCGCAGGGGAAGGGAGTCCCTTACTCCGGAGCGCTACATGGAAATGGTGGCCAGCATTAAGCCAGACATCTACCAAGGACTCTGTGATGCGGACACCAATGCGGAGAGTGCCAAGAAAAGGGTGCAGAAATCGGTGGACCGGACAGAGAAGTTCATGCACTACATCTACGAGCAACGCGGAAAGGTACCGTCTACTTTACTTGCTCCCATCGTAGGCGGATACAACACTTTTGCCCGGACGCAGTCGATTAAGCATGCTAGAGAACAACCGGCGGGTAGCTACGGGGGCTACATCTTAGAGGGATTCCACACGAATGGCTTGACGGCAACCACAGTAGACACTGACAAACTACTGCCCATTGTGGAACACTGTGTAAAGCAGCTGGAGGAGGACAAGCCGCGATTGTTGCCCGGTGCCTTTACTCCCTTAACCATACTGGAGCTCATCGCGCAGGGAATGGATATATTTGACACCTCCTATGCCTACTGTGCCGCTCTTAACTTCAAAGCCTTAACATTCTGCTTTGTGCAGGCTGGCGAGAAGCAAGTTCCCTTCTTGGATGTCACTGACGATGCCAACAAGGAGAATTTCTCGCCGCTACTGAAAACGTGCAGTTGCTTGACCTGCCAGAAGCACACGCGTGCCTACCTGCATCACCTGTACAAAACCAACGAGCTCCTGGGTCCCATTTTACTGATGGTGTAAGTAGAAAAGTTACGGACTGAAACAAAACTTTTAATGATTCTACTTCCTTTTGCCAGTCACAACCTGCATCACTACATGGCCTTCTTTGAGACAATACGGGAGACCGTGGCCAAGGACAAGATGCCAGAGCTGATGGAACTAGTGAGGAAACAGAACGGAGACGCCCAAGTGGATTACAGCATTGCCGCCAACACCAAAGTCATAACTAAAGCCACCATGGGCAAGGGATTCGCTGCAGCGGCTATGTGATACCATAATCGAGAAGTAAATTAAGTTCCTAAAAAAGCCTCTAGATGTTTATTTTGTACTCGGTTTCACATTGCCAAGATCTGCTCCCAAGGGAATTCCGTGGTCCTTCCCTCGACAATATTCGTTATTTCCTCATACACAGCCTTGGGAGCTGAACCAGTGACAGAGCGGATCCTGTGAAGCACCTGTTGCTCCGTAAGGTTCTCCATTTTATCAGCATCTGTCAAGGGCTTGTTAAGTAATATTTTTATATAGGTGTATAGTTCCTCACCTGGCAGCGGAATAAATCCAGCCAATTCGCAAAATCCCACATTGAAGTCTGCCAAGTCCTTGCTTACGCAGTACTTGGACCGAGCAAAAATGAAGACCTGCACGTCTCCTTGCCCTTTTGCACTTCTATCCTGCGTGATAAACAGATTGTGCGGCATATTGTTCTGGCACATCCACATGGCCAGCTTGTAAATCTGATCAATCTTCTCTGACACATCGTCATCGGTGTCCTTTGCGCGGAATACCACACAGATGGCTTCCGTGGGTGCCCGCCGGCTCAAGCGAAAAATAGAATCTCCGGCTAGTGTCTCCAATTTGACTTTATCAATATACAGATCCTGGGGTAACAGTAGCAGATGGAAGTGAAGGTGATTGACAGAGGCCAAGGCCCCGGGACTGTTGTAGCCCATGCGTATGTTCCTGTCATCGATGCTCCGCATGAAGGTGATGCAGAAGGCCAGAACGTCACGCGTTATACGCTGAACTTGGTTTTTTGACACCTCCGGACAGATCAGAGTGTGATACTGGGTGAGTGGGCTCTTATTAATAATCATCTGCACTTCCGGACTGCCGTGGCAATCGTCTATGGTCATCAGTACCTCGGAGGCATTGACTTTGTTGAAGTTAAAATTCGTGGGCCTGAAGGCGGGATTCAAGCTCTCGATGGTCTGAGGGCCGCGGCGTTTCAGGGACCGATCTGTATTAAGCTGGAAATGGATGAGAATTAAAGCAGCTAAATACATATGTATTTTATCCATTTAACCTCAGTGTAGAAGCCATGGGAGCCTGGTATCCTTCGCCTTTGTGGCAGATTTTTCAGCTGATATGCAAACAAGCCGGGAGTCCGATGCAGCTGGTTCCATCTCTCCTTCAGGTCATTGAGATACCGCTGGGCTTTGCCCTCCAGGCTCATTTCATACATGACCTTGCTCATCGATCGCCTGCGGGAAGTCCTTTTCCCCTCGTGGTCCTCTATCGACTTGCTTTTGCAGTGAGCGGAGCGGATGATGACCAGCGGCAGCAGGGTAGCCACCCTTTTGAGGGAACACCTGTCGATAAAACCGGGTTCGGCCACAAATCTCCAGAAATGGGAGCTGAAAGCTCGCCAGCCCTGACGGTAACTTCGGAAGAATGGCCTAAAATGTCGCGAAAACATCTCCGGTAAGCTGTAAGGATGGAGAAGACGGAGTACAGATACAATAAATTTGAAATGTTTAGGCTATCTGACAACCCTGGCTTAGTCAGCTGTCTAGTCATTTTCATGGTCGTAGCGAGCGGGGTTAAATAAAATTATTTTTATTTAAAATATATTAAGAAAACTTAACATAGGCCTGTCTCATTTTCTAAAACTTATAGAGGATATTTTAAATCTCATAGTTTCTTACCAATTTAGTTATCTACATTTTCATGCTAGTACATATATTTTGCGATTTATTCCGCGCATCTCCGCAGCCCTGGTTTGTTTATGAAGATATTTAACACCAAATGGCTCAAGTTAAAGGCTCCTGCCAAAGTTTCTGCCCCGATGGAGAGTCGAAAATGTAGGTAGCATAAAATTATAATCATTAATAAGTAAAATGCGTTATTACATTCAGGCGAATTCGCGAGAAGCTTTTGCATTATTTCGAGCTGAAGAATGGCCAGAAAAATACTCCCGGTGTCCTAGTCAAAGAGTTCACGCGCTCCGCCGCTGATGCCAAGATGCCCCAAGCGAAGGACATGCGAACGGAGCAGTCGCTGACCAAAACAGTGGAGTATCTGCTCAAGGAGTAAGCATTTTTGTCGTGGAAACCCAGGTTCAGCTTGCAATTGCAACTTGAATTTCTCTGCAGTATAATCCTGGATACTCGGAAGCCGTATAATGTGGTTTACGACTTCATCTTCGACCGCCTACGAGCTGTGCGCCGGGAGATTGTGATTCAGATGTTCGATGCCCGCCAAACAATTCGACTGCTGGAACCCATTGTCATGTTTCTGGCATACAGCCGCTATAGACTGAGCGTTGAGTCCATAGAAAAATTCGACCCGAAGATATGTAACCAGCACCTGCAGGAGTGTCTCACCGGTGTACTCTGCTGCTACGAGGAACTGGATAGGCAGTCGTCGACGACCACTGAGGAACCAACGCTGCGGCAACTGGAGCGCCGCTGCTACATTGAGGGTCTGTACCAAATGTTTAATCTGGGCTCTCCGGAATCCTTTGTGCGGGCTCTGACCCTGCCGGACTACGTACGCCAGGATGCCACCTTTCGCCTGTGCTTCGGTATCTGCCTGTCTTATCAACAAGGGAATCTCTACAGGGTGCTCATGGGTTTGCCCCAGCTGCCGCACATTCTGTGCGCCGTGGCATCCATCAAGTTGCAGGGAATAAGGAGGTAATTAGTGCTGCTCCTTTCCCTTTCCAGTAGTTTGTATTGATTTTGGTCCTAATCCTCGCAATTTTTTTTTTGCAGAAGTTTGCTGCAAATTTTCACGCATGCCTACAACAACAAACAGCTTACGGTGCCGGCTCCGTACTTGTTGCGTTTGCTGTTAATCGATTCGCCGGCGGGACTCCAGGAGCAGTGCCGGCACTACAATCTGGCCCTAACACCGGATCGAAAGAGCGTCCTCTTTAATAAGACTGATTTTAGGCAATCCGCTGAGACATTGAGTTGTCGACACGAGCCATTCGTGGAGTCGAAGTTGGCGCGAATTTATTTGCCCGAAGTGCTGTTGCTGAAGAAGATCTAACTAGAAAATATTTAAATTCTTAAGAGAATAATTGTAAATAGAGTGAAGAAGAAAACAAATAATGTTAAACATTTATTCTTTGTTATTGCGCATGCATATGTTTGTACGTCTGTATGCGTGTACATATGAGCGGGATGTCAAGGCAACCCTGGCGGCAGAACAACAAGACTATCGGCTATCGATAGTCAGAACGCCGCTAATTAAAAGCGGTAAGCAGTGTTATTTATGCAAAACTAAAGAGAGTAGTTTGGGTCAATAATTAATATACTTAATTTCTGAGGCAACTGGATCATTTATTGAGTGTTTGCCACTGTTTAGGGCCACTCAAACAATTCGCGCCCGCCGAACATATACACAAAGCGCGCGCAGGGTTGCATGTGGCGCCGTCGTCACACTCCAACATCAACACACACAAGTACACAAATACGCAAGAGAAAGTACCGAGCCATTTTGGAAAATACAATTCCGCCATATTTACCGGCAAAATTCAAAATATTTACACTGCCGGTGGTCACCAGAGCGGCGTCCACCGTACAGTGCATCAAATCAGGTGCCGGGCCAGCAGCGTGGCGGGGCGGAGCGAACGGAGCGCATCAGCCAGTCGCCGTCTGCCGCCACAAAGCAGCACAATAAGCAGAGGAGAAGAGGCAAGCAAGCGAGCGAGCAAGCGGTGAGTTCTTGGCGAAGGTGGGACAGCAAAGGCCAAAAGCGAGCACGCAGTTGTGCGGGTGAGTCTCCGCCGGACAGCCCGGACGCAGCCAGGTACTAATTTCGCTACTATTTCGCTATTCCCAGTGGTGGCCACCACTCGTACACTCACACAGACACGCGCGCATACACCGAGCAGCGCGCCGCACACACACGCACAAGGGAAAACACACACAGACAGGCGGATAGAAGGGAACGCGCAGAGCAGCAACAGCCAGAATCCATAACCGCGATGACAAGTCATCACCACGGCGTCGGCAGCTTTCAGCCGCAGCTGCAACACCACCAGCACCATCAGCACCAGCTACGCGCCCCAATTGTAAAGAACCTCTCGCTGGCGGCAGCCGCTGAGCCATTGCATCTGGGGTCGGCCTCAGCATACTTCACGCATGTGCTGCCGCCAAATACGGCGCCCACCATTGGGACGGAGCAGGATCCGTACACCAGCGTCCTGGAGGGATCCGATCACATCGGTACGGAGAACGAGAGCTTCTTGATCGAGGAGATAATCGACGATTACGATGACGAGGCGAACATTGTTGTGGACACCGGCGAATTCTTCATCGCCGGTGATGTCTACGAGTACTACCCGGTGGATCGGCTGGACAGGCTCACCTCGGTGGCCACGGCGGATGCACTGCCACCGCCCATCATTATGCAGCAGACCAGCGACGACGAGGACTACATTGAAGAGGACGGTATGCAGATGTCCTCCTCCTGTGACGGCGACGGAGATGTGGAGGATGACGAGCCAGATACGGATGCCGCACCAGCAATGACGAACGCCTTCGAGATCGCCTCCGAGATGCTGACCACCATTGAGGCAACAAACATAAAGGAGGAGCAACTGGAGAACGAGTTCTACATGAAGGCAGGCGAGGATTCGAATAGCTCCAATAACCAGCTGCAGGATTTCAAGCTGTTCGGAACAAGTCGCGTGGAATCACGGCCAATGGGCGTCAATTCGGCCACCAAGCGATGGAAACAGACAAAAGTACCCATACGGATTACCCAGGATGAGTTCAATGTCACTTTGTGGTCCTCTTTAAATTCTGAAGACGAAGACGAGGAGGAGGAGCTTGAGGAACCTCCTGGCTCGACTGTTGGTACACCGACGGCCTCCGCATCAGCATCCAACGTCGCCCGGAGCGATGAAGGCGGCTCCCCTAGCATGCCAAAGCTGATCATCGATGAACATATGATCAACCACGACGTGCTGAGCGACGGGATTGGTAACGAGTACGTCATCCTGCCTGATCCATTCAGCACCTCCTCGGTAACGGACGTCGAGGAGGTGGTCAATGCATTTATGGGCGATGTCAAGGGCGAGGAGGACAGCCAGCCTCTGAGCGAGCAGTTCATCTATGCGGACAACCAGCTGGACGAGGCGTACGGCAATATTGAGCTCATCGAGAATATGCCCAACAACGTGGAGTTAATGCAGGTACCTTCGGGTCCAGCAACGGCTTCGGGCCACCTGTCTGCGTCCGGCGTGGCCAAGATCAATGGATGCGTGGCGTCTCCTCAGGCATGTCTACCGAAACTGGTCCTTCAAAACAGCAGCACCAATGTGCGACTGAAAAGTGGCGGCAGTCAGTCAAAGGTGGCCAAGAGGCAGCTCAGTACAGCGCTGCCGGTGGCTACACCAACGCCACCGCCGCCACTGGTCCCTGCTAGCATTCTAACCCGGCCGAGGCCCACCAATGTGGCTAAAACCCCAACCGGACAAGGAGCAACAGGGACAGTAAACCAGACAACTGCGGGAGCAGCGGGTGCCGCTGGCGAGGAGGATGAGGAACCCAAGTTCCGCTGCTCCCATCGCGGCTGCAACAAGGAGTTCCGGAACCATTCGGCCATGCGCAAGCACATGCACACGCACGGCCCGCGCGGCCATGTGTGCAACGTGTGCGGAAAAAGCTTCGTGGAGAGCTCCAAGCTAAAGCGCCACCAGCTGGTACACACTGGCGAGAAGCCCTTCGAGTGCACCTTTGAGGGCTGCGGCAAGCGCTTCTCCCTGGACTTCAATCTGCGCACCCACGTCCGGATACATACCGGTGATCGGCCGTACCACTGTCCCATTGACGGCTGCTCCAAATGCTTCGCCCAGTCGACGAACCTCAAGTCGCACATGCTGACGCACACGAAGCCGAAACGGAAGTGGCCGCGAACGCCGCAGGTCAGCAACAACAACAATAGCAACAGCAGCAGCAACAACAAGGCGCCGCTGGTGGCCAGGTACGGGCGCCTGGAGTTTGGAGAGGATCCTCGTCTGGTTTACGTCGATCAGAACGGGGTGATGCTGCTGGGTGAGGCGTCACCCACATCCTAACTAGCAGTGCGAATCGATGTCTCGCTGGCCCTGGTCCTGGCCTGAGAGCAGGACACTGAGAGGCAGCGAGAGCGGGAAAATGTACAGTTAGTTGTAGCCAGTTTTTATCTGTATCTGTAAACCTATTGAGCGGATGATCTTCAGCGCGCGCGTAATTCTCACCTGGTGAGAACATCCGCCGCCTGTCGCCCTCTTAAGTAACTAGTAGTAAGCTTCTCTTCTCTAACAAATCGGCTTGCAGTGCAACGGAACCTAGATTATAGCCATGATTATATATGTTTCCTTCGTGGATGGATAGAGGATCAGCGAATGGATGAACAGCTTAGTATGTAGCGTAGGTGTAAGTAATCCCCCCAAATTTTTAATCCGAAGAACCCAGCCAGACTGCCCCCCCTTAAACAATAATAATCAATAGCCACAATCCGATCTGATTCTGATACGTGTGCGGTCTTCGCTCGAATAACAAAACGCGCGCACGCTCTTTTCTACAAAAACAAAAACACAACAAACAAATAAAAAAACTAGATTCTAACAATATTCAGTAATGCATACACCATAGGCTATCTATATATATATTTTTGTAATGAATTGTAACACTTAGAGAGCATTGAAGTACGGAGTTTGAGTACCGATTTACCATAGAGGAAGCAAACAATTCACAAATGGAAGGAAGCACTTCAGTTAAGTCGGAATAAAACAAGGGAATACCTCTTCAAAATTAAACGAAAAATAAAACAAGGAAAAACAATGCAATTACTGGACTTTCTAATGGGAGAGTGACCCCCCCAAAATGACCTCTTTGGCCCTATTTACGTGACTTGTGTAAGCGTTTGCTTTATTTACGGACATTAAACTTGTAACTACGGCTAGAGATAACTACGTTAAACGGTGCGGCAGGGCGTCGCTAGCTAGTGGTGGACACTTCCCGGCTGTTGTCCACTTCAGATTCGGATCATTTGACGATTAGATCGATCGTCGTTGAACATGTGTCGTTCGTCGCCAGTACCAGGTGCCACCTCCACCTCCCAGACCATTCATTGATTGCTTGTGTAAACGCGTGCGGATGTGGATTAGATAAAGTTTTGCCGAGAGGCAGCGCCCCGGTGCTCGGATATTTTGTTGTTTTGGATACTGGAAAAGCGGCCAGAGCGCTTAGGTGACCTTGAGACCCGAAGCCACTGACATCTCGGGCAAGATATCCGCCATGGCCGCACCGGGCGAGATCAGACCGGCCAGGGAGAGCAGGACGGAGTAGTTGAAGTACCAGAACACACAGAACAGCACCATGAATATGACGTCTGCGAAAGACGAGAGCAATAATAATAACAATAATCGAGATAAGCGTGAAAATTCGCGCAATAAGGCATGACGAATCCGGGAAAAGCCCGGGTTCCAACAATTGCCTTTGGGTCAAAGGAACACAGCACTCACGTATCGTTACGCGCTCCCACTTCTCCACCATGTACAGCTCGGTGACCTGAGGAAGTTTAATTCGTTAATTAATTATTATGCTTCTATGCCAAAGTTGGGTTTTTGGATGTTATTACGTACCATGAGGTATCGGAACCACCAGTAGCTGGCGATTTCCACGAGGTTGTCGAGCATGGCGGCTAACGAATTGCCTAAAACCGTAAAATAGGGAAACAATGGGGGCCGGGGCGGAGCGCGTTTAATTTGTAATTAATCCCACTAAGTTTGTGCTAACTTAATGTTGACCTGGTGTGACCAGAGCTGGGTAAGATTAAAAGGAAGCTGGGTTGCCTAGTCTATGAAATATTAATTTAAAAATATTCATTAATTATAAAGATTGGCATTGCAAAAAAACAGTGTAATAAAAAACAAATATTTTGTAATAAATTAATAATAATAAATAATAATATAATAAATAATAGCGCGACCAGTGTTGTATAGTATTATAACGGCTATTTAGCAACCCTGCCGCCAATCAGCCGCAATATTTATTTACAAATTGTTGTGAAACTTTATTCAATTAAATATAAAAAAACCTAATATATAAAAATGTCCACTTTTGTGGTTAAGCTTCTGCAACGCACCCAACTGTCGCACAGTCAGTTGGACGTTAAGCCCTTCATATACGCCCGGAGCAACTGGCTGGACAACGAGGCGGAGTTCGACTTCCTGTCCACAGTGGACAATCGGAACTACCGAGGCAGTATTAAATACGAGGAGCTACGGACTGCAGCCACCGAACTGGAGCAGCCCTTTGAGACCTTCTTCGAGGAGTGCAAGGGCGCGATGACCACCCACATGGGACAGCAGGGATTCGACTACGAACTGTGCCTGGACAACGCAGAGGAGCCAGTCTTCAAAATGTACAAGTGCATGGGCTACGAAACGCTATACTTGGAGATTGCCCTGCGAACGGTTTCCAACTGCTACCAATTGCTGGATGCAGCCATCGAAGCGGGTCAACAAAGGCCAACTCCTGCGGCTCCAGTGGTTACGGAATCCCAGAACCAGGAAACCGCATCGCTGGCTGAGTACGAACAGTATGTGAAGGATTCCAAGCAGAAAGAGGAGGAACTTCTGAAGAAATTCCTTCTGCTTATAAACAGCAAAAAGGCGCACATCAGGGACTTGGAGAGCCAGCTAGAGGAGGAGCGCTCGAAAAAGTCCTCCAATAGTCACAAGATCTCTAGTGACGAGGAAGAGGACGAAGCCTACGGAGCGGCCACACAGGCTATGAACGTGGGAGACGAAGATTCGTAGTAAAACATTCCCTCTTCGGTATGTGCTTGAAATGTATTTCCATTTTGTTTTATATTTTTTTTTAGTTTTAGTTTTCTCTCTTCGATCGTTTGTTTGATTTTGTAAAATAAATTAGATTTATAATGTATGTATATGTATATATGTATAAATAAACAACAAATAGACGTATGTAACGTAAATACATTAAAAATTACCATCAATATGTGTAGAGACGTGGCTTACAATTAGACCAACATAAGATCGCTTTTTTGTTTTGTTTCGTTTTGGAATATATAGATATAGAATCAATAGTTATCGTTGCAGTTCTGTAAAAATGAAAAGCGTTTTACATAAAAGAAGGGTTAATATGTAGCCGCTATCATATAGACGTCGTTATGCATAAGTATGTTTGGGGTGTGTGTAACATTTTGAAAGATTAAACAATTGGAGCCGATGATGCCGGAGGAGCTGGAGCTATAGTTGGTGGAAATCACTCAGAGGGCAAGCAGGTCCTCCTCGGCGCCCGGTTTCTTTGGTGTCTTTCGTAAGCTGTCGGCGGTTCCACTACTGGCAGAGACGGCAGCGGCGGCGGAATTCGATGCCTGGATCGTTGGAAGATTTTCAGCGGCGGCGGCACGCTCCTCAAGGAATTTGTCAAACTCCGAGCTGGTCAGCTCCTCAATGCCATCGATGTTGTGCTGCGTAGGGAAACAAAAAACTTCAGTCAGTTGCAATAAATCAATATTTCCAATAGTAAAAAAAGCAAAGAAATAGTATGTAATTCGAGTAACTGAAGACGACTTTGCGTGTGCAATGGTTAGGATGAGCTTAAAAAAGGCAAAGGGTGTGTGCTACTCGCATGGCTACTTACTGAGTTGCCCAACCACGCCTCCATCTCGTCAATCTCATTCTCTTTCGTCGACTGTGTGGGCGCCACAGAAGAAACCAAATCGAACCAAAGCCAAAAACGAAACGAACGAAAGCCAAACGCAATTTGCATAGAACCAAAACGAATAAGAACCAAAACGATATTCAATTTAAATTCAAGATGGTTAAATCAATGGCCGAAAACAAGGTCAAACAGTAAGGGAACGGAACGAAACAGATTCGAACGCCATTAGTTAGACCGGCTGTCTGGCGGCTAGCTACTCACTTTACTTACCACCGGCGGATCGCCGGTTGCGCGCTGCTGCTGCTGCTGCTGTGACTGTTGGTGCTGTTTGTAAGGCGAGGCGGCGGAGACCGGTACACTACCGGCTGCAGCGTCCACGGAGGGTATATCCCGCAGCATATCCGATTTACTAAATGAACAATATTTCAATATTTAAAGTTTAAGCTCGGTTTAGAGTTTGATTAATGTACTCACTGGTTGCCATCCGTGCGCGACTGTGCCAACATATCGAACTCATCGGCAGCACCAACTCTCTGGGGAGCCACTGCGGCTGCTCCTCCGCCCAAACTTAGCTGACCCATGGCCTGCGGTAGCTGATGCGCCTCCTCGCTGCTCTCGATTAAATCGATCAGCAGCTGGTCACTTTGCGGCGTATTGCTCACGGCAGTCGTTGTGGCCGCAGGCGGTGGGACCACACCCATGGCAGCGCCCAGCACTTGCGATGGCGAGGTGACCGTGGCTCCCAGGCCCTGTGAGCGATTCTTCTCGTAACGCTGGTGGCGCAAAAAGAGATTGTTTAGCTCGTCGTTGATGCGCAGGAACTCGGCAGTCAGCTCGTCATCCTGGACGCGTCCGATCAGATCCACGATGCGAGACTGCATCTCCTTGCAGGTGGAGGTGAGCTCGTTGAGCAGGGCATAGTCATCGGGTGACTCCTGGCCGGGCTTGAGCACGCTCAGCATTTCGCTGAGAATGGACATGTTGTTGCTAACGATCTCCAGCTCTGAGCGCAGCTTGGCCGCCTGATCGGGCGTCAAATGCAAGGGACCCGAGCTTGGTGGAGCGGCAGCTGCAGCAGCCGCTGCTGCGGCGGCGGCCATGTGTTGGGGCGAGATTGTGTGCTGCTGCTGGGCGGCAACCAGCTGAGAATGCACTTCGGGAACACTCTAAACCGGAAGGGGAAGTAAGTATTTACAAGGACATACAATTGAAGCGTCAAATAACTCACTCTCTGAGGCGTATAGATGGGCGCCATGGCATCCAGATCGTTGGCCGGAAACTCGATGCCCTTGTTCTTCAGTTCCATGTACATCTGGGTGACCCCATTTAGATCCGGCTGGTTCTTGAACGCATCAGCCCAGATCTGGATGAGGCTCAGTACCTTCTCTTGCATGGCAGCAGGCGGATCGTTCTTGGGTCCAATCAGCTTGACCAGCTCGTTTATAAAGTCCTTCGAGGCCACCAAAACGTGGAAGGCCTTGCCACAGTTCTTCACGCACGTCTCCAGGACGGTCAGCGTGTACATCACCACCTGGTTGTTCTTGCCAGCATTCTGCGTCAGACGCTTCCTAATGGCACGCATGGCATCGCGGGCGGTGTCCGAGGATTCGTTGATCATGTCGCAGATCTCCATGTTGGCGGCCCAGTTCTCCGAGGCCAGGTTGGCATCGGTGGCGGCCTCTAAAGGGGAGAAGAAAATTGAAAGGCATTAGTTTAAGATGCAGAAGATATATACAGGTATATTCGTTGTAAAGTTTATAACTTGTGTTTAAATAAAATAAACATTTTAAAATATTTAAAATTGATTTTTGGGCCTAAAGTATTATATAGGTCTGTTTACTTGATAAATAATAAATATCTTTAAAAATCAAGTTCTATTTCAGTTTTTACGGTTTACATTTATTCAGAAAGAATTTTCGGAGACTTCAAATCTCTGATCCTTTAAATGTTTAATTGTTTTATGGATCATCGAATCAATCAACACCTTGTTACCTGTGAGAACAACAGCTAATTAACTTGGCTCGCTTTGTTTGTTTTGTTTTTGTTTTGATAACAAACAGAACATGCGTTTTTTTTTTAACAGGTGGCCGAGTTATTAACCTTTACCGCCCCCTTAAATACATATGTATATTCTTAATTTTTTAGCCCAACTAAGTGCAATGACTTGCTTTAATTAAAACGCACATATGTACAAAAGACGACAAGGCAAACAACAGTGTATACTAAAAACGAAAAACAAAACAATAAAAGCAAATACAAGCGAGTAGGAAAATGCATCTGTGGGATATCAAATAACGGTCGCCAAAGCGAACAACAAAAATATGAGCGCACAAAAAATATGAAGCAACAAATTAGTAAGGCGCACCAATACCGAAGCAGGTGAGTGCGCCCGTGTGCGTGTGTAGCGGCGGCAAATGGAAATGACTGCGAAAATGCGACGCAAAGGGGAAAATGAAATAAATTAACACATTTTTTTTATGTAACCTAAGGCAACGATGATGACTAATTGCCATTACTTCCAGGCGATGCGAGCGTAGGAGCGGGGGTGGGGTGGGAAGGTGGCAAAAAGCAATCAAACACAAAACAAGAGCGCATCAATAATAATACCCCGAAATGTGTGTGTATTTGTGCTTGCGGTGAGCCATAGTCAGATATCTATGTTTGTAGGGTTGAGTGGGCTGTTGTCACACCTGCCAGCATAGGGGTTAATCTTATCAGAATTCGCTATTTGAAATCCAATCGGACTGATAAGTGCACTAGCTGGGTGTGTATTAGTGTGCGTACAAGCCGCAAGAAGAGGTGACGAAAACACAGGCGAAGAAAGTGGTGAAAATTCAATTTTCCAGTGGCCCAGCTTGCCTCGATGGGTCTCCAATCGGAAAACATAATGAATCATGGCCGAAAACACACGCATATGCGTTGTGTGCATGGAAAATGTTACAATTTAATCATATACACACACCCCCACATCCGGTGGGTGAAGGGGCGGGGGCGTCGGAGGGGTTATTCTACTCTACACTAAACCCTGCACACTCACCTATGCGCTGGCCAACGGCCGTGGAGAAAACATTGCCCAGGGCGCCAACGTTGAAGAATGAAGCCATTGTGGAGCGGTTTCTCTGTGTGCGGTTTTTTGGTGTCCGTTTTCTCCGTTCGTTTGCGATGCGAAATGTGTTTAAATTTTCCTTTATTTACCTTCGTCACCTGGAGCACTTTTTTGTATGTTTATGCTAGCCAGTGTGCCCGGACCCGACTATATCAAAATGACTACCCGGCCCAGGGTATATACCAATAAATACTGTTTGGTATTTATATTATTTTATTAAGATTTTGTAAAATAAGATTTCTGATAAGATACGCTAATTTCGCTTATAAATTTTAATTATTATAATTCATTTTTATTTTTCAACGATTTTGATAATCTACTAAAAATCTAAAAAATATACTAGCAACACATATTTTGGTATGAGGAATGAATCTCCAACTGGCCACACTAAAATCAGCCGATTCTGTGACAACCCTGTAAAATCGGAAAAGCAGAAGAGATTTTGCTCTGGCTTTATTTTCAATTGGACAAATCGCAACGTAAACAGCCGGAAAATGTCGCGACAAGCCTCCCGACTGGACGCCAAGAAAGTGGTGAGTTGAGCGAGACGGGGGGCAGCAGTGGAGTGGGTCCGCCATCGGGAATCCGCCGCCTAGTTGTAAGGTTAGTTTTTGCCTAGAGCCCTAAGAACGAATCTTTGACGTGCCACCCACCCTCAAAATCGGCTTCACTTCATTCGCTTTTCCAGTAAGTGGTGTGGTGAGGGCACACGCGGGAATCAATCGCACGAATCGCGAGTGCCGCCAGCTGCGTGCGGGCTATGGAAACCCATTTCAGCGCAAGCTCCCGCCCCACAACAGCCACGCCTAGAATGAGCGCAGCCTCCTCCGCCGCCGCCGCCGCAAGCAGCAATAGCAGCAGCACCAGCAACAACGCCGGCAGCAACACTTTGAATGTAAACACGGCTGCGGGAACCACCAATGCCGCCGCCGCCCAGCCAATCCAGGTGATACCCATGCCGCTGCTGAATACGGGAGGAGCCCAGATTATAATCGGACAGCAGCCTCAGGGCCAGGCGACGGGCCTGCAGCCCCAGCTGATACCGCTGCAGGCCAACCAGATCATGCTGCAGGCGGCAGCGCAGCAACAGCCCCAGATGCAGGTGATGCAGCTGCCCGACGGGCAGACCATTTTCTACCAGACGCCCACCATTGCCCAGTTGGATCCCAATGCGGCGGCCGCTGCAGCTGCTGCCGCCGTTGCCGCCCAGCCGACGCCCCACTACCTCAACATCAATGGCCAGCTAGTGCAGATAACGCCGGCGGCAAATTCTAATCAAGCGGCCACAGCCGGTGGCCAGCAGATCATCATGGTACCGCAGACGGCAATGGCGGCGGTGAATGCAGCAGCGGCCAATGCAGGAGCTGCAGGAGTGGGCACGGTGGTCACCCAACAACAACAACAGCAGCCGGTTCAATCACAGGCCCAGCAACAACAACAGCAGCAGCAGCAACAGAGCGCAGCGGCGGCTGCTGCTGCAGCGGCCAGCGCTGCCGCGAATAATGTTAGCGCCGCCGATGTCAGCACTAGTACCACGGGGACAAATACGAACAGCGAGGACGAGAGCTCCAAGGGCGAGGCGGATGAGGAGCCGCTCTATGTGAATGCCAAACAGTACAAACGCATTCTGATCCGTCGGCAGGCCAGGGCCAAGCTGGAGTCTCGCATACCCAAGGAGCGGTGTAAATATCTGCATGAATCTCGCCATCGGCATGCGATGAATCGGGCACGAGGCGAGGGCGGGCGCTTCCATTCGGCGCAAGAGAAGGGCGATCAGTCCGGACCGGATGGCGGCGGCGGCATGCCGATGGCACCAAGCAGCATGACCCTTAGTCGGGGCACGGCGCGGGCACCACCGAAGCTGATAGCGCCACACCAAACGCCTAGCATAACCATAACGGCGATCAAGTCGGAGTAACTTAACCGCCGCCGCTTAGCTGTAGATACCAGATTAGATCATAGTTCACATATGTAGCTCTAAGGCAGCCACAACATCCACCCTGTTCGGACTTGAATTGTATTTATTCTCAGTTTATCTGCTTGGTTCCCAATTCCGTTTTCACCGAAGATTAGTTCAGTTAGTTAATTTTTTAATTTTTTTTTTAATTCTTTACAAAATGTCTTTAAAAGTAGGCTAGTGCTAGCAATAACCATGCAAATTTTTTATGGCTTACTTTCCGAGACATTATTTTCCCAATTTATTTTATTTTTTTTGGAATAATGCATTACAATTATGCTAGTGCTGGTATAACCCATTTAGTTTACTTTTCAAGATATTTCTTACGGAATTAATAACCTGCTACTACTGTGGCATACCTTTTTGAATACAATTTATAATTATATCCTCTTGAAGTGCAGATAAAAATTGTGCAATTTGTATCCAAGAACTAAGCCTTGAATACTTGATAAATTTTACAAAAAGCCAGAAACTTTTACATGTATCTCCAACCCTATACAAAATGGAATTGGGAATCCAGCCTGAGTCACAGCTCAAATAATAGCAATTAGTAGACCAAATCAGTTCCCAAAACGCCGCATAATAAACTCAAAGATAATGTTTATAAACTTTAAAGACTACGCTAGATTTGTTTAATTGGGGAAGAAAACTATTTAATAATACGTTTGGATTTGATTTTTTATTAGCTATTCTGCTTTCCCCTTCTCTATTTCTCTTTTGCACAAAAACGAACCGAAAAAATATACAGAACTCGGAGTTCCTGACACTCACCTACGGGGCACTGGTCACCCAGATGCTGCGCGACTTCGAGAACGTCGAGGATGTGAACAAGCAGCTGGAGCGGATCGGCTACAACATGGGCATGCGCCTGATCGAGGACTTTCTCGCCCGCACCTCGGCGCCCCGATGCCTGGAGATGCGTGAGACGGCCGATCGCGTCCAGCAGGCGTTTCGCATCTACCTGAACATCCAGCCAACCATCTCGAACTGGTCGCCGGCCTCCGATGAGTTCTCGCTGCTCTTCGACAGCAATCCGCTGACGGAGTTCGTCGAGCTGCCGCCGGATCTGACCAATCTGCGCTATAGCGCCATACTCAGCGGATGCATACGCGGCGCCCTGGAGATGGTACAGCTGGAGGTGCAGTGCTGGTTCGTGCAGGCAAGTCTTGTTGTGGAAATACTCTCTCTCTCTCTGGCTTTCTTGTCTTGGCTAATTGTGTCTGGTTTGTGTGTGTGCTCTGCGCGTGCGTGTTTGTGTTTGCTTTTGGGTGTCCCTTTTGCAGGATCAACTGAAGGGCGACAATGTGACGGAGCTGCGCGTTAAGTTCGTGCGGCGTCTAGAGGAGGTCATACCAGCTGGCGAGGATTAGAAAACAAGTGTGGATCAGTGGATCGGAGCGTGTAATATGAGCTTTTGTTTTTTTGTTTTTCAATTATTTTTCGGGGGATGTCAATAAAAGCACATTCTGTAGAATTTAAGAGTCTACAATTCGGGTTCAAATCAACTGCAGCAGTCCCAGGCACATTCCGGAGCAAAAGCGGCGGCAAAAAGGAGCCACAGCAGCGGCAGGAGCAGGAGCAGGATCAACAGCAAACAAGGAGTAGCAGAAGCTAGAGCGGTAGCAGCAATAAGAATCGTTTTCAACACGTTTAGTTTTATGTTTTATTCGACCTTTATACAAATGATTCCATTTCTTTCGATATTATATAAGAAAAACAGTAGGGAATATGTACATCTGTTCATATTTGGCATGATTATTATAAAGCGTCATCATAAACTGTTATATATTTTATACAATTTAACAATTTGAAGAACCCCTCTCATACACATTACTTCCCTAAAGGCTTGGCTAAATAATAATTGTTAGTTTAAGATAAACGCAATAATATTTAACATGTTAAATATTAAAAAAAGATAAAGTACAAAAAAACGGAAAAGAGCTTTCCATTCCAGAATGTGACAAAATTTGCCTGTGGTTAAACTCATTTTCATTGTTATAAAAAAATATTATCCCAATATTACTTAGTTTGACAGCTTTTTAGAACCAAGAACCGATAGTTTTTGATGAGCTGATCTTAAATCCGGTCTCAAAAAATATCCTTTATGCCAGGTTTTTAAAATATTTTAATTTAGAAGATCAGAAAATAAGATTTTTGGGTACTTTAAAGGAAATGCAACTTCAATACGATTTTTGTTTTAAAACAATCATTATGGAATTTTAAAGAACTTTTCTTGCCCTTCAAAATCAGTTTTTAAAGTTTGAAAAAATTATTATTGGACTCTGAGATATCGTCTCTTGAATTACTATCCAAGTCGAATTTGACAATATGAATGGAAAAATACCGATACAATTTCCAAAGACGATATATCGAAGATCCATAAAGATTCCTTCAAATTCAAAAAATATATTTTAAGGTCAAAAAGAAACCGGATTTGAGTTCAATGCATCCAAAAAAACTACATTCCGCTTCTTGGGTCTTCGATTTTAGGAAATTGTTGTCAGCCCTTTATCAACTGTCTCGGTATACATTGTATGGGAGAATGGGCTATATATGTACAACAAAGACTGGCCATGTTTATGCCCCTGATAAGGTCTGCATATCTGTCTATTTGGGGATTTATGACGATGGTTTTGACTATCTCCCGACAGTTGTCTGCTCAATAAAAGTTTTTTTTTTTTGGTTCTAGTTACTTTGGGGTTTATAGTAGTTATAGGATATAGCTTTTGTATTGTATGTTGTAGCGCGGCCAGCCTCCGCTGGGATCATATTTCGGTTGCGATGACGATGCATCATTTTGCTTCTTAAATGCACTCAATTTTGGTCTCTATATATTTCTGGTTCTCAATGAGGGAAATACTTTTTACAGGCACAATACTTGATTGATTGGATTACATGATTACAGGATTCTCGGGCTACATTTTAGACTTGGTCTTTGGAGGAGTTTGCTTGGGATTAGTGTACATACAGTAGTTCTTAGTTTAGTTCTGCTGTGGACAAAGCATTAGGTTCAGATTCCGGCGCGTCAGAACTTTGCGGAGAGCTTGCAGCGTTTTAATGCAGATCACCACGCAGCAGCCGTTGGCGACGCCCTCAGCCGGACTCTTGCAGGTACAGGAGTTGCTCTTGACGGCAGCAGCGGCGGCGGGTACTGCGGGAGCAGCATTCGTACCGATGACGGGCAGCTCCTGGGCCTTGGCCTGTCCCGAGCAGCAGCCCCCACCTGAGGCCGCGGGAGCCGGAGGAGGTGGTGCTGGTTTGCAGCACCCACCTGTGGACGGCGTTGGCGGAGTAGGCGAGGCAACAGCACCACCTCCACCGCAGCAACCGCCGGTGGAGGGAGCTGGGGTCTGGACACATCCGCAACCGCTCTTCACGGGCTCGGGAGCTTTTGTCCCGCCGCAGCAGCCGCCAGTTGAAGGTGCTGGCTTAGCGGCTGCACCACCTCCGCAGCAACCGCCGCCGCCACCGGAGGAGCTGCCGGTGCTCATGGAAGCCAGGTTTTGCAGCAGTAAAGCAACATCCTCGATGTTCTGGTTCATTTCCGCCTCGCGTTTACTCACTTTTTTGGTGGCCGTCGCCACGCTGCCGCCGCAAATACGTTTGCCTCCGTTGGAATTTTGGATTGTCGTGGTGGTGGTGGTTGCCTTGGTGGAGCCCTTTTGGGAACCAGTCGCCGCTGCTGCACCACAATCGCCGCCGTTACAGCTCTTGGTCTGATCGCACTTGCAGTTGGTGCAATTGCAGATGCCCGCATCTGCTGTGATCTGTTTGAGCGTCGGCTTATTGTCCCTGATGTCCAGTTCCACCAATCCGGAGGCATCACTGGGCACCTGGGAGGCCTGCTGGAGCGTGGCCTGCAGAAGGGCACTGTTGTTGTCGATGGTCATGAGGATGTCGTTCAGCAGGGACTCCGTCTCCATGTCCTCTTCGTTGCCGAAGCTGTCCTGCTTGAGCAGCTCCTCGATGTTTTGCTGGTTTAGTTCCAGCGTGGGTGTGGGCAATGATTGCGACTGCGCTGCGGAGTCCACATCCATGGTCTCCACTTGGTTATCACCCATGTTGCCGCTCACTGCATTGCCGTAGCTGGGCTTTAAGTCCACGAAACTGGGCATTTCGGTGGGCAGGGCCACGCAGGCATCAGTTGACGGGGCCATGGGAATGATGGGCTTGGAGACCAGGACCCCAGCATCGATCCAGGGGCTGGGTATCTCCTCCTCGGCGGCATACGAGAGCTGGTAGGCCTGTGAGGTCTCCGGCAGGATCAGTGGCTCATCGGATTGCAGGATAAACACATTGGACAGCTGCTGATCCTGCGGCGTCACCGTGTGCAGCACCACTCCGCTGTCTGTACTCGTTGTCTCCGAGCAGTGACTGCCAGGATTTAGCACCAACATCTCCGACTGCTCGTCCTTCTCCTCGTGGTGGTTTTCCTGTTCCTGATCCGTCAACTGTTTGCCCTGTTGCGACTTCAGTGGCCGCTTTTTGCGTCCCTTGTTGAGCAACTGCCGCTGATGCGTCTTCTTGTGCGACTTGAGGCTGTGCGATGTACTGAACGACTTCTGGCAGCTGTCCTCCTGGCAGGGATACGGCTTCTCCCCGGTGTGCGTTCGTCGGTGCGTCTTTAGATGATGCGAGGCAGTAAATGCCTTGCCGCAGTCGTCTTCCGGACACTTGTAAGGCCGCTCCTGGGTATGGGTGCGCGTATGCTTCTTCAGATCACTCAACGTGGTGAAGCACTTCTGGCACAGCTCGCAGTTGAATGTCTCGCCATTGTGGAGGCGCAGGTGGGCGTGCAATCTGTTGGATCGGGCGACAAAGATAGCCGATTAGTACAACACTCCTTATAGCCATTGGTCTATTTATGCCTATCAAGCTATCAGTTAGCTGGAGTGGCTTGGATTGCTCACCTGTAGCGCGTGTTGAAGGCCTTATCGCAGCCGGTCACTTCGCATTCGTACGGCTTCACCTTCGTGTGGACGCGGACGTGGATCTTCAGGCTGTAAGATGTGAGGAAGGCCTTGTTGCAGCCGTCTTCCGGGCATTTGAAGCTGTAGTCGCCTGGAAGGCGGAAAAGCGGAATTTTTAAATTTTAAATGTAAACACTGGCAAAGTCTTGTCAATGGGCGTAGGCTAAAAGGTTTAAAGGGGGGTTGATCATGCTTTCATATTGACTGAATTCCAAAATTGCCTTCATGATTAATTTCTTTGTTAAAACAATAAACTACAAGTCTAGTAATATATATAATTATGGTGAATGAATATTTTCTTTTTAACTTATTTTTTTAAATATACTTTTAAGGGGTTTCTTCCCCCGACCCCTTTCACTAAGCCCCTGCGCAAAAAGAAAAAACAGTGTTGCAAAACACACAAGTGCAATCAGCTGTTGACCAACGCGTTTTTCTGCTCGGCAAGGCGCACAAACGCATCGTTCGACGCGGATTTTAAGCGTTTTTTAAATTTGTGTAATATAATAATACTAATTATGAGGTACGATACCGATCAGTGCTTAATACAGAGCGTAAGTCGCTACCCGCGTTTATACAATAAATCATTTGGCTCAAACAGCGCGCTCAGTAGGCGGGAGGCGTGGATGGCTGTGGCTCAGGAATGCAAAATACCAAGTAATTGCTGTTTTTTTTCTTTTGAAACCTTTAATTGTTAATTTGGTTTAAAATCTGTTGCAGTGGAAACGTGCCAAGCTCGATGGAAGACCCTACGCGATCGCTACGTCCGGGAAATAAACAAATCCAGTCCAAAGGGCTTTGCTTTGTTCGAGAATCTTAACTTTCTCAGAGGACACATCAAATTAAAAAGGTAAGCGTGCTCTCAATCATTGGTAATAAACCATTTTGTAGTCAAACAATATTCGAATATTCTAGACGGCGCCCCTCAAATCCGTCGGATCCGCCCTATTTAACCTACTATATAGACGAAATGACTCAGGATGGAACGTCCAGCTCCATGATTATGCAATATCCCTTGGAAGAGCAGCAGGAGCAGGGGTACGAACAGTTACAGCAACCGATACATGAACAGGAACGCGTACATCAAGAGGAACAGCGACAGGTACAGGAACAGCAACAGGTACTCGAACAGGAGCAGCAACAGGTACACGAAGAAGAACAGGAACAGGAGTACCTTAGTGACAATGCTGAGAGCTCCAGTGTGGAGTTTGTTCCGGAAGATACGCCCATTGCCAACGAACTTGCCATTGACCCCCAAAATCCTCCCCTGCCTGCCAACAACCCGCCACCAGCCATGGATGGCATGACTGCTTTATCAAAATTAATCAGTATGCTTGAGGAAGCTCTGAAGGAGAAATCAAAGCCAGTGGTACCCCAAGATCCCTTCTACAAATATCTAGAAAGTATTCTGAGTCGCGTGGATGAAGGCACACGTGCCGATATACAACTCCGTCTGCTTAACTTTGTCCACGAAGAGATCAAGAAGTCAGAGATACCGTAAGTAGGATTCTTTTTGTATAGACAGTTCTTCTTTTAAATCGAAAGCTTCAACATAGTCTTTAGTTTTATTACTTACCCGTATGGGTTTTTAAATGCGTTCGCAGATTTCCGATTGTGCTATAGCTCCGATAACAGTTCTCGTAGTTGCATCTGTAGCGACTGAGAGCCTCGTCCGAACTCTAAATTAAATAGAATTTTATTAGAAACATATCGAAAGAATCCCTCTCAATGGAATGAGGTCTCATGCAGGATTATTTGGGGGTGAATGGTGTCAATGGTGACAGAGAGAACGGGGCCATTACGCACCGCGAGAGCTGGTTAACAAAACTGGGTTACAACACACGCCTACAGCGGAATCTTAGGAGTCTGAATCGGAATCGGAATCTCCACTAAACACTAGGATTAAGAGTCGCTACAAAAAGCGTTAGGCAACAACGTTAGGCATATTAGACAACTTGGCTGCTAGCGAATGATGTTGGGTAGTGTGTACCTCGTAGGCCATCGCCATTAACTGATCGTTCTCGTCCTGCCCGCCGGCCTCCTCCTCCTCATCCTCCTCGTGCTCGTCAACATCTCGATGGAGAACGCCCGGTTGAATGCAGTGGGTCAGCTGCTCGTCCTCGTCCAGCTCATTCGGATCGTACTCATCCACATAGCTAGAAGATCGATGGCATCGTTTCAGTATAAATGGGGGAAAGACCAAAGATCCGCAGTTGGAAACAGTCCGAATATCGCATCGGGCGGGGCATTTAATTTCCCCTCGCCCGATTTCTGTGTCAGTGGGATCTTTGTGTATATAATAAACGCAACAAGTGTATATACTATGTCTATACAAAACTGCACAGAGATTGCGATTAGTGGTGGTGTTAGAGCGTCAGCAAAAAATAACAAGAAAAACAATTCAAAAACATCAACGGCAGAACAACAAGATGAAAAGCAAAGGGGAAAAAGAACAACAGAGAAAACAGAAATCTCTGGAGGCTTTTTCGGTCCTTATTATTAATCAGATTAATTAATATTTAATGTTGTCATGGTCAAAACACACAACAAAATGCCAAAAGCAAAATATAGCAGACGGCAACAGAAACTAAAAAGAAAAGCCAGCGACTAGCAAGTGCGTGGGAGCTGCTCTGCTGGCTGGGTGACTGTGATGACTGACGGGCAGCGTGCCCGGACTGCCCCCAGTCCCTTTCCTTGCCAGAAGCACCACCTCTTTCTCGATCACCACCCCCCTCTAAGTGCTGAAAAATGAGAAATATGATTGAGGGAACACTACTCATGGCGATAAAAATAGCGTAAAATAGGCGTCGTCGCCGAATGGTCAGCGGAAAAGGGAGGACGGAAGGAAGGCGCGGAGCAAAACACACACAGCAGGCACGGATGAAAAATTGAAAAATTATTGTACCGCAGAATAATGAAAACAAAAGCAACCAGTAGGAGGAGCAGCAAAAAAAAAAAAAGCAGAGGGAGACAGAGCAGACGACGGACTAACCCCATCACAACACATCATTTGGGCTTAGGAGCCAGAGGGTAAAATTAATTTATGTCCTGTTTAATACCTTTTGAGTGGCAATAATTAATTAAGTGTTTTTAATAATTTTTATTTGTGAAGTAATGATAAAACAACTAAATTTGTGTTTAGGTAATAAGAATACAAATTGTTAGATTAAGTAATATTTTTGTATCCATTTTGACTATTGTCATAAATAAAAGGTAACCCTTGTTGCACTAGGATAATATCAAAAATAAAATTATTTGTAAAAAATAAATTTCCTGAAAATATGGATAAGCAAGCGTACGCCTTAAAAAGCGTTTTTTAAAAATCGAGTAACACGAAATAGAACGCCTCGAGTGCCTTTGTGTATACCCTTGACTTCTTATCAGCCGCTAATATTGTATTACAACTCTTGAAATTCAATAAAACATGGTGTAAGCCATTATCAGCAAATAAATTTGTCAGTTTCCGTTGAACAGATTTGTTATTTCCATCAAACTAAGCGGAGGTATCAGCCAAGTTATCAGCTAAATAGCTATGTAAGTTCAATAAAACCCTGGTGACACACCCAGGCGAACTTTAACCTTTTGTGGATATACGAGAAAAACACACACCTTTTATAAGTGCCAAATCGAACTATTCTTGGGGCAGAATTTCACAATAGGGCAGGCAGTGGAATATAGCGCTCGAATCTAGGCTCTTTTACACCAAGTGTGAATGAGTTTTTGGGAAAAATCCCACCAGTCTACAAATATACATACATCTATGTATGCATATATCCATTCTATACACTCGGGACGACGTCGCTGAGCGGGAGGAGTAGGTGGCAGCGATCTAAATGCGTTCATCGGCGCAACTATTTTTGGACCAAACAAACGATTCCGATACACAATCATCATCATCATGGCTCGAAGAGGAGGCAAGAGGCATGCAACCATTGCCGCACGGGATTATGGGTAGAGGCTGCAGGCTGCAGCTGATGCTGCTGCTGCTGCAGGCCGAGAACACAAATCAGGCAATTAGCAACAAACATGCAAGCGATGCGGACACCGCCTTGTAATGAGTGGACATTGGAATCGGTCGAAGATTTGCCAAAAATGCTGGCAAGAAAATATGAAAATTTGATTTCTCTTTTTTCAAACAAACACCAAAAAATATAACCAAGCGGGACACGTCACGGCAGACGGAGACAGAGACGCTAGGGAAATATATTTTTCTGTATTTATGTGTGGGCAGAGTGGAAAATTAGCAACAAAAGGGGCGGCAGGCATCTATGGGGTACTGTCCCTGGGCGGGGGTCAGCATTCAGCATTCGGAGGGCACACCTGACGGGCCACTATAATTGGCCAAAAAAAAAACGCGACAAAAACACCACTCTCTAGCCGATACATGGGCACTAAAAATGTGCACTAATTATAGCGGGCTTTCAACATATTTTCCTATATTTTTTGCTATTGCAGCAAATCAAAATGAAATTAAATGATTTTCATGCTAGTTCGTATCGAGTTGAAGGTCGGCCTGCGGAATATTAAATGTTTTATTGGGCGAAAATTTGTCTTTTATATATTTTTACTAAAGATTCATAGGCTCATAACTTAAGTTTGTTCTCGACCAATTAAAATGTGGCATGTATTCCTGTGCTGCTTTTGTGTGGTGGTTATTATAATACAAATATGTCATATTTCCTATTTATTTTTATGATCCGAAAATTTCTCATATATATTTGAATGATTTTCTATTTCAAATCGATTTTGAAAAAACAAAAGCTTGCTTCGAAAAATGTGTGTAACCTCTTGGGAAACGGCCTTATTTTTAGGGGCAAACTGAGATGTGAACCATAAATGTATATTTTTCCATATAATTATTCATTTTGTGTGTATTATTAAGCAGATTTGAAAGGAGGAGCCTTATATGGTGAAGTCAAAGAAGAGAAAGAATATTCCAGAAATACATATTTATTATATGTAAGTCTAAGTTTTCTAGGAATATTTAACAATTAAAAATTAACAAAAATGATGTTCTCTTTCGTGGAATTATGAAATTAAGAGCTTCATCATCACCATATGATTTTTTTAATAAAGAAAGGAAAAAATTAAGAAAACTAGCTTGATACTTTTCCTTTAAAAATAAATAACGTTACTCAAATGAGAGCACGAAAAATATCAATTTAACGTTGCCAATAAACCATAAAATAATACCAACAGTATTTTAAATGAAATCAACATTAAAAATAACTTAAAACGGATTTAAAATTCACAAACAAAAGAATTGCCCAATTAAAATCAATCGAAAATGCGTAATTAACAGAAATTGCAAGCAAAAATATTAATTAAAAGCTCATGCGACGCAAGGACAAGAAGGAGAGGTTCGTTCGTTCGTTCTTCATGCAAAAGTGGCTACTACCTCGTCTCGATAGTGAAATACGCCGGAGAGGTGACCACCGAGTTGGCCTGACCATTATCACAGTTAGTGGCGGAGACGGGGACGGTGTTAATTGTCTCCAAAGGTGCTTCCCCCTCCGCACTGGTGCTCATCATGCTGAGCGACACCACGGTGGGCGGCTGCACCTGGACAAGCTTCTGGTTCTCAAACTGGTACTCCAGCGTGAAGCAGATATCATCCAGATTGTACACCTGGCCGTCGGCGGAGCCAGAGCCGCCACTGGCCTCACTCAAGGTGGCTATAAGCGGCACCTCGCCGATGCTGGTGCTGATGAGGGATTCGGCAGCGCTGCTGGCGGTGTGATGATGGTATGTAATGGGTATGACAGTGATGGGCAGAGGCGTCGGATTGGGGGGCGGCAGGATGAAAATGTCATCTGCCGTCGCCTCCACAGCCGTCGTTACTGTTGGTGGATGTGTGTGAGCAGGTGTTGATCCAGCATCTTGCGTGAACAGGGCATTGTATGTGGTCGCTAGCTCCAGATTCAGCACCTGTTGCTCCGCCCCGCTGGTGGAGTTGCCGTACAGGCTATAGCTGTCGCCGTGATTGATGGCGTTGTCCGATTCCAGCTTAGGTGTGAGCAGCTGCGCCAGCGGCCTACCGATACCGAAGCCGCCCTCGAAGTCCAGGGAAACGGATGACGCGCCCGACGACGAGGAGGAGGCGGCACCGGCGGGCGGGGAGCCGGAGAGCGAGGTGCGGGACGAGTTCGTATCGTAATCCCGGCTGTCTGATAACGAATTCCCATGGCTGTTGACCGCCGCTGCGGACGTCTTCCAGCCGCTCTGGTGGTAGTAGTGTTGCTGCTGATCGTTCATTCCGCTTTAATATTTATTCGCTCGCGCCCACGCACACCAACACACACGCACACACTAGAAGAGAACGCACGAAGAACGAGCAACAATAAATAATAGAAAATCGCATATGCAGTTGCTTTCTTCTCCTTTCTTGCCACCGCCGCTTTGTCACTTTCTCACTGTGTCGCCGTGCAGTGGATATATATGTACGTATGTATTTATCGACGTATATATGTTGCAAAAGAAATTAGAAAATTTCCAATTGGAACCGCGAGATCGCGCACACATCCGCGATCTAGAAACAACAACAAGATAAGAACTAAAGTGACCGCAGCTGGATCGCAAGAAAATAAAGTCGTGTTCTGTGCAAGATACTAAAAAAGGAATAAGAATAAAATACCAACAAAACGTAGAGTCTAGCCCTAGAGCTTGAAAGTAATAATTATGAAACTTTTTAAATTGTTGATTATTAAAAGTACCTGTGCACTGTCGTGTACGTATTTTTATTAATTAAATTTAAACTTATGTTCAAATTACACATACTACGTAATACGGAAACCTTATATCATTACATCATATATTATGATAAGCCATTTTATAATATTTTAAAGGTGCATTTTATTTATTTATTATTTCTGTTATATGGTTAACCTATTGCTGTTTTCAGCTGCCAATATTTACAGTCATTTATAATTGTATCATGACCAGTTGAAGTCGAAACAAACGCAACTGAGTGCCATTTTCAAAATACCTGCTTTTCCCGCCTAATAGGGTGCGTAACCCTCCCACGCCAACTGGGCACACTAACAAGCTCCAGAAGTCTGGTAGAACCACACCGACGACGTGGGGTTGCCAGACTTTCAGACGCCACAAAAGTTCCCCTCGCCAAATTGGGGAGCCCGCAAGCGAGTTGGCAGCCCCAGCTGTGCATATATACAAAATTCATTGATTTTGTCAACGTAAAACACACAGCGCATAGCAGGGCAGCGAAGCAAAAACAGCTACCGTACGGCCAGAGTGAAGTTAACTGAATTAGAAACGCTGGAGCCGCGAGTGCACGGCGGCAATGCGAACCGATTGAGTCCAATCAGAACGCTGCTCCCAATCAGAAGTGGCAGAAGCAGGGGGCCAAGAGCGAGCGAGCGAGCGAAAAATACGGACAAACGGGGAAAGGAAAGGCGAACGCGAGGCGAAAAGAAAATAGGAGAGAAAAGCGAACGAGCGGCGGCGGTGGCAGGAGAGCTAGTGAGCGAACGATGCAATAGGAGTGGTGCGCGGGGGAAAATGACCACCAGCTCTGTGCCAGCGACGACGGACTAACGGAGACGACCGTAACGGCCGTAAAATGCCCCGGAATGCCACTTGCAGGACAAGTGGAGGATGCGTAGCTAACGGCAACGGTAATCAGGATGAGGAGGGAGAAGCAAACAATAACAAAAGCGGTGCTGCAGGAGGCGGCGGCGAGGGCATGGGCATCGTCAAGCAGGAATTGGAGGCGGCTCCGCCGGTGTGCCACCGTAAATCGGAGCGACGGAGAGTGGCTCGGGACATCTTTCTGGTGTTCGAGGAGCAGTCGACACGGCGGCGTGGCAAGGGAGCGCGCGGTAAGAATACGCGGGCCAAGCAGAAGTTCGGACACCTGAAGGTGGCCAATACGCCGCGGATTAGCAAAAGTGTGCTGCGCGAGATCAAGACGGAACCAAAGTGCAGCACGGGCCCGGAGCTGCCGGCCCCCGAGCCACCAGCAGCAGCTGTTCCTTCTCCCAATCCCGCTCCTATAAATCCCACGGTGCCGCCTGTGCCGCGAACGGCTGCCGTGAAACTTGAAACCAAAACAACCACGACAACGGTCACTGCATCCAATGTGGTGTCGACCCGAAGAGTCAGTCCCAAGCCCAAGGCTCCGCGCGCAGTGGAGGAGGAAGCGGAGGAGAAGCAGGAGCCGCCAGCAGTCACTGCCCTGCGACGACACAAAACGCCCACACCAACACCCACACCCACTATAACTCCTAGTAATCCCAACTCCAAACCCACTCCCAGTAGTAACACCTCGGCAGTGGCAACGCCCAGCGTTAATCCCATCTTCCTGTGGGTCAAGCAGGACGACACCCGCATCGTGGAGGTGCGCTGCGAGGACTACGACAAGCGCAATCGCATTCGCCTGACCAAGACCACGAACGGCTGGCGCTCCATGCCGCGCACCGATGCTTCCTCCACGCGGATAGTTAAATTCTTCCACGGCTCCGCCGCACCCTTGATGAAGGTCAAGCGCGAGCAGCACCAGCATCAGCGTCACGAGGATGACGAGCAAGAGGATGAGGCGCAGCACCTGGAGCTGGTGACCCAACACGAGCACGAACACGAGGCGGAGCTGGAGCAGGAGCCGGTGCAGCAGCCACAGTTGCCTATCATTGCTCAGAATCTGCTGCAGGACTGGGAGGACAGTGTCACCCAGCTGCCGGACGAGATCGAGGAGGAGGAGGAGGAGCCGGAAGAGGAGGAGGCGGAAGCGGAGGAGCTGCAGCTGGATGCGGATCAACCGAATGGCAACCTGATTGAGAACGTGGTGGTGCTGCCATCCGGTCAGCAGCCCTGTTCTTCCAGGACTCCTCCCTGCTTTGACGGACTGCTGGACAGCGAGGAGACGAATGCCTCGACCAAGGCCACAAAGACCAACACGCCCACATATCAGAGCTCCACGCCCTCGCCGTTGGAATTGCAGCTATGCCCCAAGACGGGTCTGTTCCTGCCCAAGGGCGATATTGCCCTGATCCAGGTCCCTGATGACGACCCCATTCCGGTTGAGCATGGGGAGGAGGAGGAGGACAAACCACTGACCACGGCGGTCCATGATTCCGCGGAGAGTCTCGATGCGAATACTAAGAATCTGAAGGATCTGCTGGACGACGCCGACGATCTGCTGCAAAACTGCAGCAGCGATCACGGGAGCAGTGGGGCGGATCTGCTCGATTCCCTGGTGAAGCGCAGCTGCGAGGACAATCTCGTCCAGGAGACCAGCACCGGCGGCGGTAATAATCCCCAGAACACCTCAACCTCCTCCACTGGCGATGAACTGAGCTCCTTTTGCGTGCCAGATCTCGGCAAGGACCTGCCCAGTATCCTCAACATGGACAATGACGACGACACGCCCAAGTGCCTGTCCTTCAACGAGGCGGGTGAGATCGAGGGCCTGAACGGAGAGCTCTTCCTGGGCATAGAGGCCTTCGAGAAGCAGCAGGAGGCGGTGGTGGCCACGGAGCCGGAGCCACAGCCTCCCACTCCTGCGACTGTTGAGCTGACCCAAACACCCACGCCCACGACACCCACGCCAGAAAAGGACAAGGACAAGGCCAGTGGAGGGGACGAGACGCCCAAGGACCTGAGCTACAAGAAGCGCGAGGAGGTGTGTCCGCCCTCCGAGTCGCGCAGCCAGTGTGCTGTGACCTCCAGCTCCGATATTCTCAAGTCCCCGGAACGGGACCTGCAGCTGCCAGCCAACTCCATCCCGGCCGAGGTGGAGACCACCTCGGAAACCATCAAAAATCTCATTCTGGAGCAGTTCCTTAAGCTGAACAATAGCAATAACAATCCGCAGCAGGCGGAGCCCATGGATCTCGGGAAGGCGGGACGCGAGGGCAAACTAGAGACGGTGGTGATCGACGACGAGGAGGAGGAGGAGTCCAGTCAGCCGCTCAAGAAGCGTCCGAAGGCCAGCATCAAGATGGATAAGGATCCGGATGCCCTCACCCAGTTGAAGATGCTGATCAGCAATCCGCAGTGGAAAGTTCCGGACCCGATACTCGTGCCAAAGGATCGCCTCGGCGCCGTGTTGGCCTCTCCGGCCCGTGAGATACCCCTGCTGTTGACCACCAGGCCGGAGCTGCGTCTCCCGGAGGCCTTCGCCTATCCAGAGATCATCCAGAATCCCAATATTCTCGTGGTGACCATGGAGCAGCTGGAGGCCATACTCAAAACGGAGGCAGAGCAGGCGACGAAGGCGACCAAGGAGCCGGATCCAGTGGTGCTGGGGCCCAGCAGCAAGGCGAGGAGTCCCAGTCCAAAGCAGACGCAGCCCAAACCTGTGCCAGCTCAGACCAAGCCCGCAGCAGTGGCTCCCGTGGTGCCCACTCCGCCCTCGCCGGCGGCGGATTCCAGTCTTTCCACGGATCTGAATGCCACCACGCTGGCGCTGCTGCAGCAAATGCTGTGGCTGCCGTATTTTGGCCAGCTGTCTCAGGAGTTCTTTAAGACCATCAAGGATCCGCTGGGGCTGCAGCGAAAGTTCATGAGCAATCTTCTGCCGCTGTACAACAGCCAGTTCGGGCTGCAGCACCTGGACGAGCTGTACAAGCAGTGCATGAAGCAGAAGCCGTCGGAGGAGCAGCAGCCAAAGGTGCCCACTCCTGCGCCAGCTCCTCCTCCTCCTCCAGCGGCGGCAACTCATGCTCCACCACCTCCTCCAAGTGCTGCCAGCGGTTCCACCAATGCCTTCAACGGGTTCACCAATCCCGTAGAGCTGGCCATCATGCAGAAGCTGCTGCAGCCGCAGCTGCCGCAATTCCTCAATTGGGACGCTTCCAAGGAGGCGTCATCATCCTCATCTTCCGCCGCATCCACGCATCATCATCAAGAGCACAAACGTCCCAGGAGGGAGCCGGAAACGGAAACCATCTGCAACTTTACCAAATCAAAGCTGTCAGCAGGTGCCCCAAGTGCCACTGCTGCTGCTGCCCCCGCCGCTGTGCCTGCCCCAGCACCCGCTCCAGCGCCAGCGCCAGCTCCGGCGGAGCACAAACCCAGACTGACCATCAAATCCCTCTCGAATCTGCTGGAGCCGGAGGCGAATGTGGTGCCCCTGCTCAACGTGCCCTTTGACGGTATGCGAGGGCGTTCCTCCATGCACAAAACGACGACAGCGGATCAGGGCAAGGAAGCGGCCACCGGCGGACGCACACTTCGTTCTAGTAAGGCCTGCGTTACTTACAATCCCCTGGAGCAGGCCAAGCAGTTGCAGCAGCAATCGTCCGTTGGGTCCCAGCAGCAGCGGAAGCGGGGCAACCTGCTCGCTCAAGATCATCAGCAGCAACAACAACAGCAGCAGCAGCATCATCTTGCCGAGGCGGCGGCTGCCGGAATGGATGCCAATTCGGCGCTGTGGCATCCTCTCTTTGGCAGGTGAGTTATCTATAAGATGAGCCAATCATCCTTTTTTCGTAACACCTCTTCCTCCCTTCTCAGCAATCCCAAGCAGGGCTACAACAGCCCCTGGCAGTGGACCACAGTGACGGCCACCGGCGAATGACAGTCAAGCCGGGCTCATAAGGAGCCACAATCACCTGCAGCGGGATCAAGGACAACGGCCAGCTACGAGGAGCAGCAGCAACAACAACAACAGCAGCAGCAGCAGGAGTATAGCAACTACCAGGCCGTGGCCAAGCAGCAACAACACCAGCAACAGCAATCACAACTTCCAGCAGCCAACAATCAAAATCACAGCAACAATAGTAGCAATAAATTTTGTTATCCCACGGCGGCGGCCATGGAGAATATGTTCCAGAGCAATCAAATGGCGGCCGCCGCCGCCGCCCGTGAGTCGCTGCTCAATTCGTACTTGTATCAGAAGGAGGGCGATGCTAGCAGCAACTACATGTCAGCGGAGCAGGGCTACTGGCAGCAGCATCAACAGCAGCAGCAGCAGCAACATCACCATCAACAGCAGCAACAACACCAACAGCATCAGCAAAAGCAACTCCAACAACAGCAGCAGCAACTCCAGCAACAACAGCAGTGGAGCGGTGGCAGCACCAACCCAAGGGGCAACAACAACAACTATGCCAACAATTATGCAGCAGCAGCAGCTGCCTCCATGTACATGCAACACTTCAATCCCTACATGCAACAGAAGGCGGCCCTGCTAGCAGAGAAGGCCGCTCAGGCGGCGGCAGCCGCGGCAGCGGTCCAGAACAGCAACGGGAGCAATGGCAACAAGCATGGACGCTTTGGCGGGGACTATGGCTAGGCGTAGAGAGGATCGCCATCGCCTCCCCATCAGCAACAACACTTGCATATTAAACATAAACACACATATAGGCATATATATATATATACATACAACACTTGTGTGTAATATTAATTACTATATATATTTAGAGGCGTCGTATATAGGCCGTTTTTACCGCCAGGAATTGGTAAAGGATAAACCATGAATTTTCCTTTAATTTAATATATATACACACAGGAACAGCAACAGCAACAAGGTAACCCCGAAGGCAACAACAATAATTTATAAACAAAACAAAAGCGAGAAAACCGAATGAAAGAATGAAAAACTTAAATTGAATTAGTAAAAATTTGTTATTGGTAGTTTGTTAACAAAAAAAAACAAAAAAAAAAAAAAAAAAAGAAAAGGAAAACGAGAAAAAAGAAAACTAAACAAAAAATATTGTAGAAGAGCGAATGGCAAGAAAAAGGAAAAAAAAAAACCTAATTATTGTATTATTGTTAACCAAAATCTATTATTATTATTATTATTATCTCAAGCTGCGTTATATTATTATGATTATTAACTCGAGCGTGTATGTATATAGCGTTTTTATCTAGATGTATTACCACTTAGTGACCCCCTCCCCCTCCCAGCTCCAGCTATCCCTTATCCTTAATCATCTCGCCAGGACAATCCTCGGTCCTTGGGCCCTTACCAAAAACAAAACAAAAACCGCAGCGCTAAAAGGCAAACTACAACCAATTTTGTATTCATTCCGAATGTGTTTTTTTTTTCTTTTTTGTTTTTACTGTGTAGTTATATTACGCTGATTATATTATTTATGAACACGATGCAAGGATAACCCCTTAACATGTGCAATCTAACATTTATGTTGTCTAGATACAAACAAAAAACAAAACCAAAACCACAACAAGAATCACAAAACTTATTAACGCGAAAATGGCAAAAAGAAGCAAAAAGCATGAACATGAAAATGGACAAAATAAAGAGCAACCCTTTTAGAGAATTTCGCTGATAAAGGCAACAGAATAGCAAAAAACAAACGACTTTTTCTCCAGAACGGGGGGAACAAATGATTCAGCTAGCTGACAGAGATCATACCTACGGAGGAGAAGCTGATCATCGTCTCAGCCAGCTTACAAGGACAAGATTCTTTGATATTTTTCGGAGTATATAGTAAACTTTGATATATCGAATTAATTAAGGATGTAGTTAGTTAGATTGGTCCAGTAGATATTGAGTTATCGTGTATACCGTTTTTCAAAATGGAACTTTTCGGGACACTTTTCAGGAGAGCGCTTTAACTTTTTAGCCTCCGTTCGTTTGTATCTTTTGCTACAATTGATGTGAAACTTTGATTAAATATACTTAAGATATTGGATATTTATATTAAAAAATATAAAACAATTTTGATATGATATATTGGAAACAATATCATATCGAAAATATCATAGTGAGAAATGTAGTATTTAACTTTAAACTCGAAAAATATCAGAAACATCAAGGACAAACTCCAAAAGCCAATGATTTCATTACGTAAACTATGCTTTCTTTTTATAAATATATAATCATATATTGGCTTTTCAATTTCCAGTGTACAAATATGTATAATAGGCATATATAAAAGTTAATTTCTGTATAAATACGTAACTTTTGTTTCTTAACAGTTATGTTTACACATTTTGCTTAGCATTTAGTTATATCCACGCTTAAAGTAGGAGTTCCCATCTAAAGCATTTGAAATGCACGCGTGCGAATGTTTGTAGCTGTGGAAGTGGGTGTTTGTGTGTGTGTGTGTGTGTGTAGTTCCTTTGTTGCTTTGTGCTCCCGGCTGGCTCCCGTCCCGATCCAGTGATGAGATCTACTCGATCTGACGGCTGGCCTCTTGCAGACGCGCCACCACGCCCTGATAGAACTTAATTTGCTCGGCAATGAAGTTTTTTAGCGTATGCTTTAGATGTGTATCCCGCTCGCTCTTGAAGTGACTCAGCTCGGCCAGCACCGTATACGAGACAATGTCAGTGCGCCGGTTGACGTCCTGCATCTGGGCATTGTTCATCTTGCCCTCTGCGGTGGATCGTTCGCAGTCCTTGCGCTTCTGAATGGCGCCCTTGTGGGTGGAGAAGATGTCCGGAAAGCAGTTGAGAACGCCCCTTTTTTTCATAAAATAAAAAAAGGATTAGTATCCTTATACTTATATTTTATTCGCCTAAAGTTTAAGAGATCTCAATCTCACCTGTAGATATGCAATCGATCGGAGAGCGGAATCCAATCGAACTTTGGCTGATCGCCAAAGGCCTGGCCAATGCCTATGAAGATGCCACCAATGCGGCCCACACTCTCCGACAAAGGAACGGCATTCCTGGTGGGTGCTCGCCTCTCGTCAATGGCCAAGGCCTTGGCCAGATCGGAGAGTCCATCGCCTATCCGCTGGAATTCCTTTTTACTCTGCGTCATCGAGCGTTTGGCCATGTCGTTGGAAATGTTGTTCAGATTGCGAACGGCCACGTCCATGCTGTGTATAAACTGCACACCGCTCTCCAGCTGGACATCCACCTTGGAGTGCAACAGATTCTTATCCGGCGGCGAGATGGCCAAACAGTAGTTGACACCCATGTAGGGATCACGCTCCGCCTTGCGCTTGCCCGACTTCCAGATCTTCTCATCGCGGCAGGTGAGGAAATGATACCAGACCTCGCACTTGGAGATAACCGGATGGCGGCACACCCAGTCCACAAACTCCTGCAGCTGAACGCGTCGATGCTCCACAAACTGCTCCTCATAGCGGCCAGAGATCTGCTTGTCCGGTAGCGGTGGCACCGGAATCAAACAGAACTTGTCCACCAGTCGCTCGTGCAGCCAGTCGAAGTGCTTGTAGCGACGCGACACCTAAAAACGAAAGCGAAAATCGAGATTAGATATGACCAATTAATTTTGAAATGTGACACGAATAGTGGGACGCGGCGGCGGTTGGGGTTGGTTGCTGAATCATCATACCCAGCGGTGGTGGCAGAAACAGAAGCAATCATGGCATGGCCAGAGAATAGCTCCAACAAAGAAGACTTTAAAGTATATAACACCGCTTACGAAATACCCTTTAATTCTCTTTGAACTTTTTCTCCAATCTCACTATATGGACTTCCTCCTAACCTCTTCAGTTGTTCTTTGCAACTCCAAGTTATGTAAACTGCGAGTGCATCTTCGTTAATTGCTCTTCGAGTTAAGGAAAGGTCAACCTGCAATTAAGTGAGAAAACAAAGGATTGGCCGGCGTGCCAGTTACCCAACCCAAAGTCACCCTTGGGCAGAGGAAGAGGAAAACCGACTAACTGACACATACAGAGATTCACTGAGGCAGGGGGGAGGTTTATCGCATTGCTTTGTTAATCACGACGGGGCGAGATAGCAAACTTACGGATATGTTGTTGAAGCTAGGCGTCAGCTGGTAGGCGATGAACGTCTTCATCCCCTTGAACTTGGACTCCTTCTTGGGACTGGCAACCACCACGGAATAGGGCGAGTGGTTCTGCGTCCACTGGTAGATCGGTAGATCCTCCACCTGAGTAATGTAGGCCAGCTCGCATTCGGGTATCTTCTCCTTGGTGCTGGACAGTCCGAGGATATACGAGTCGGAGCTCTTGGCGAACATGCCCTTCTTAACGGTGCCCGAGGCGCCGGCTCCGGCGGCGGAGGCCAGTGATTGGGCGTCGTCATTGTTGGGCGCAATAGGTAGATGCTTGTTGTCATAGTCACTGGTGGAATGGGACATGCCACTGGCTCGTGCCGTCTGACCCGAGTACTTCTGTCCTGGACCGATTTCCGAGTATGTTTCATTGTCATCGCTCCAGTCGTCCTCATCGTCCCAGTTGCTACCATCATCGTCCGCCGTCTGATCGTAGCGGGGCAGCGGCGGCGAGGCAAACGGATCCGGCACTTGGGGAACTGCCGCGGTCCCGCTGGCGTTTAGCTTCTGTGCCTCCGCCGCCGACATCACCTCCACGTAGGCGGCGGGGAAGAGCCCAATCTGCCCACGGGCGTTCTTGCCCTCCCACCAGCCCTCGCCCACATCGCTGCGCGTTACCGAGAGCACATCGCCAGCAGCGATCGAGAGCTCCGAGGAGCCCGGCTCGCCGCTGAAGTCGTACATGGCGCGCACGTACGAGGTCATCTTTTAGTTGGTATTTTATTACGCGAATTTCACGAGTCCCGTATGCACAAGGCCCATAAACAGAGGAAAAATAAAGTTGCTTATTCTTTGGATCTGAATCACCAGCCACCAGTGTGGGATAACGAGCAAAATTCATAAAAACACCTTAATGAACGGTTCATGATCTGGTTTAAAAATACTAGTATAAGTGTGGCCAGGTTCGAATTTAACCAATTTTTAAACCAAAATCCCAGAAGTCCTTTTCTGGGTCTTTTCAAGCGAAGAAAATTCAAAGAGCTAAATACTAAGTTTCGATAATAAATCAATTTTATAATAGTATTAACAAGTTTTAAAACATTGCAAAATATAACATTCAGAAAAACGCTCTTTTATTTATTTATTTAACTGCTTTATCAGCTCATTTTTCTAATTCTTCGTAGTACCAAACGCCAAGGATATCAGTCACACTCTGAGGATCGTTATTTTTGGTATTTTTAACTGAACTTGCCAGACAGTATATTTTTCTGAGCCGGACGGTATATTTCATCTACAAATGCACGGCCACACTGAGCTCTACGTGTTATTCATTTCTTAATTGCGCGTTGCTTTAATTTGTGGTGAGCAAAACAGGAGCTAGGCGACGTCGGCAGTTGTGCAATAATTGTTAATAACCGTCTGCGTGAATCTCCCTCCACTTGGCAAATCGCTTTTTGCAGGCTGCCGCGGCCGTAGCAGATACTCCTCTTCTCGTAGCCGTGCCCGTGCCCGTGCCCTTTTCCAAAATGAAATTGCTGGTCGTGTGCCTGTTTGTGGGCCTATTTTCCGTGAACTTGTGCGATGATGGTGAGTAAATATATACAAATCAAAATTAAAATCAAAATCAAAATCAAAATCGAAGACATACAATTTGAGAAAAGAACACAAGAACTCACTGTTAGGTACAGACGCACACATATGCAGGCAGCCAGGCACTTGCATGTGTGTGCGAGTGTGGGGATTTTTCGTTTTTTTTTTTGTCAAAGAAGAATCCGATATTGAATATCATCAATTCCCGGCCATTTCCCTTTTTCTCCGGCTGGGTGTAAGGTTCACATTAACGCAATCTGCACATATTACGACAACAATTTGTCGGAACCTGCTTGTAATTTTGCATTACATTTTTCCATGTTTTGGTACCTGCTATCTGGTTACAACGCCACAAATTTCTCCCAATCCCCATCTTTGTTACGTGCATTTTTCCAATTTAAATGTGCGGTGGACACAGTGTAATTACACATTGAAATAATGACTCATGCTCCAAGCTCCACGTACATGCATACATACATACTGACGGTTTCTTTTCCTCTGATAAAGTTGTATAAATAAATCAAATAAATGCTAATCGGTCTTGCATTTCTTGTTTCCTTTGGGATCCATGTGTCCCTCAAGCTTTAAATGATAAGAATTTTATTTTCAAGAATAAAACAATTAATTATTCTTGAATTTTTTTATAAAAACCTTGAAATTGTTGCCACTCAATTAGTTTAGGATTCAATGAAATTCTTTAAGCGTATTTTTTAGAAACTAATGATGAAAACTTTATTTTCAAGAATAAAAAAATGTATTATTCTTGAGGATTTGTTTAAGAACTTTAATAATATTTCCCTGTCAATAAGTTTAAGATTTAATGGAATTCTTTAAACGTAGTTCTTAGAAACTTTTAATGATAAGAGCTTCATTTCAAGAATAATTTTGGTCATTTATTCTTGGTGTTTGGTTTAAAATTTATTTTTTATTAATATTTGCCTTTCATCTCCATCTTTTTTCGACTTAGTATAAATTAAACCGAATTCAATTTATATTTAAAAGTCCTTTTTTTTAATATTTGTTATGGTATGTTTTAAATTTATTGTTTTATTTTTAAAATTGTGTAAATAAATTAAAGATTTCAAAATTTTATAGATTGAAACTCTACATTTATCCTATTTATTTATTAAAGAAATTGCAAACATCTGACATTATTATTTATAAATAATGCCCTAGCCTCTGACCGAATAAGATGTGTTTTTAAAGATATTTATGTCAATAGAAAATGTAACAAAATGTAAGCATTTATTTTATTTATTTATTTATATTTTTGATTTATTTATTTATTTTATTTATTCATATTTTAGTCCGATTTCTAATATTGATACCTCAAATTTATATTTCAGCTCCCCCTACAACAGTCGTAACCAAACCAACTACGACAGAGGCAACTACTGTTCCAGTTACGCCTTCGGTCAATACTACCACTCCGGTCACCACCCCTCCAACAGTCCCAACAACGATCTCTACGAAGGCGCCGGACACGACAACTGCTCCGCCAGATACAACAACTGCTGCGCCAGACACAACAACTCCAAAGACGACCACGGTGCCCACCACCACATCTTCGACTACTGCAGCCACTACAACAACAAGCAGCACGACCCCAGCCACTACTACCACTTCGACCACGCCGTCTCCTAACTCGACAACCACAACCGAGCCGCCACACACATCGACCACTCCGGCTCCGAAGCCGCCGCCGTGCGGCCGCTTTGATGGATCCTCATTCATTGGGGGCATCGTGCTCACCCTGGGCCTACTTGCCATCGGACTGGTGGCCTACAAGTTCTACAAGGCCCGCAACGAGCGCAACTACCACACCCTTTGAGCCGCCACCGCCTTCACGTCGGCCTTCAATGCGGCAGCCGGAGCGGCGGCGGCTAGCAGCAGCGCCGCAGCCACAGATGCGGAGCGTGTGCGGTTTGTCCAGCCATCCATACCGCTGCGATCGCCGCCGGCGCAACCGCCTCCGCCGCCACCCAACTCAGGTGGTGGCAGCGGGGGCGGAGCGGCGGCAGCTCCGCAGAATTGCTCGCCGTCGGCCCGGGACCGGCTGCTGCACACGTAATTTAGAAGCGGGGAATACTACAACTACACATAACTACAATATTATTGCTATCCAAAGAGCCCCGCCCGCACCCAAAACCAATCCAATTCAACACAACAGTAGAGTCAGGTTTTAAATTCCACGATAACCCCCAGAGCGGATTCAATGCGAGACAGATAGGAGGAATGAGCTAGCTCCCGATTCTTGATAACTTCCTTATCGGCCGACACACACACAATATTTGTCCACACATCCATATATGTAAGAGGTACTTTTTCTTTTTGCAAAAAACACCAGTTTATCAGCAACTTGAGCGGATGTTCAGCGCCTTACACAGACGGAGAAAGTGGGGGGAGGGTCCGAGATCCAAGGGCGACTGTAAAGTGAACAGATAAATGAATAAATAAAACGAAGAAAGAGGAAAGGAGGAGCAGGAGGAAAGAGACTTGAGGAGAGGAGAATGAACAAATAACAGCAAATATGTGAGACTGCTTGAGATAGCGAGAACCGTGGACATAACACAGAAATCCGAAGGAAAGCGGCTGGCTGGCGACGGCTTCGTTTCTGGGATTCAATATAGAGCTACGAAAGGAATATATAAATTTTGATTATATTTACACGGATTTTGAATAACTCGAAAAATCAATTCATTATATAGGAACTAAGAATATTTACTACCTTAACGAGCTATACAAAAAACGTAAAAAAAAGAAAACCAAACGGGAAACGCGTTTCTAATTCCTCCCTTAATGTGCATTTTTTTTTTTGTTTTGTTTCCCCCTTCTTTTTGCCTCGTAAAATAACGTTCTTTTCGCCCACTTATCGATTCTCCTGCTAGGGTAGGGAGGTGGCATTGCAAAAATTAATAAAGCGACTCGCCGCGATGCACAGCAACAGGATACATGGCGGGACGTGCGTTTATATGCAATATATAAATACATAAGGTCCGAGGAGGAGCAAGGATAAATAGAGTTGAGAACAGAAGTCCCAATGTTAATGCATATACGCAATGTTGAATATTTTGTACTAGGATTGAATCTATACATATGAATTACCATTACCTTTGCCCGCTGCTTACTGTTGGCTAAATAATACAAATACTATACCTTTGAAGCTACAAAAATCGAACACAAGAACCCGTCAATGAACTCTGTGCACATGGAAAATCTCATAAGTATATAAGCTAAAGTAACCCAATCAATGAATGTATATCCAGTAAATCACTCAGCCGGCTTACTAAAATATATATATATATATACATATATATGAATATATCTATGTCTGTATATCGTGTACGATAATAAATATTTTAAACATTTAAAACAGTCTTTTATTAGCATGCAGCATGGCATGTTGGGAAACTCTTGTCTCTGATGGAATTAACACAGAGTTTCAAGGTTGAGTTTCTACATCAAAACCTTTCCCCCTATTTGAACATCCTTCCCGAAGGCTCCCGAAGATCAGTTTTTTGTGGGAGCTTAAGGGGGGATATATGCACATCTAATCGATCGAAATGTAGACTTTTTTTTTAAATTTTTTTTAAGGAAATAATCGAGCAATCATTGTGAAACTTTGAAGACAGGTAAAAGTAGAATCAGAGATGATAAAAAAAATGTAAATAAATAAACTAGTAATGACGGACCTATGGAATACATACCGTAAGCTCATTGATCTTTGAGAATTTCGGTGAATAAAAAGCCTTTCAATGTTTTTAATGCGATTTCAGGTACTTTGGAGTTGGAATTCAATAATAAAACTTGCACAGTATATTCCATAAATTAAAAAAAAAATATATATAAGTGGTATATCCCCCTTAAAGACCCATTTAGCGCCCATCTAGGTACTAATAATCAGGCTTCGTTTGGTTTTACATATGATTGTCAACCAGAAAAAGGTTTCTTTTATTAAAATTAAGGGAACATTTTAACAACTACATTATATTTAAGCGCTTAGTTTCTTCATCTTTTTCGGGGTCTTAAGTTTGTGGGACTCCCCGCCGCTAGGAGGTGCCTTTCGCTTTAGATTTTCTTTCGGTTTCTGCTGTTGGACGTTCTTGATTGGTTTCTTGGCTTTGGGGGCTTCCCCGTTTTCTACTTTAGGCTTCTGCTGCTGCTGCTTATCTTGTTGTTTAGGTTTCTGTGGAATCTTCTTATCTCCTTGGTTCTTCTTCTCAGAAGTAGACTTGCCATTCTTGGCCTTGGGCTTGGGCTTTCGCTTCGTCTGGGTGTTGAAGCGCAGTAACAGTTCCGTGCCGGCCAGACTCAGCTTTTGTTTGATGGCCTTGCGTGCATCGTGAGTCGTTGGCAGGGTTACGGTCGCCGCACTGGAGTCACGGAACTTGCCCTTACCGGGCTTAATCTGAATGTCGACGGCTTCTGGGAACAGCTGGCGCACCTGAGCCACCGAGGCGGTCTTGGGCAGATTGGTGATGACCACCGAAGAGGTGAAGTTGCGTTTGGCCTGCAGGGCCTTCTTGCTTGCGCGCTTCATCATCCGCTTGGTTTGCCTGTTCTCCACAGAGGTCAGCTTGCGGCTGACAATCTCATTGACAAACTCCTCGGAATCGGTTTTGGGTAGGGAGATGTAGAATCCCTTGTACTCAGCATCGTTCTTGATGGAGGTCTTAAGGTCCTCGTGAGCCTGATCGCGATCTTTCTGTGACTTGAACTCCACCAGACAGAAGCGGGCGTGCTTTTGGCGAGGCTTCAGTGCCTTCACCACCAGCGGATGCAGCGCCTTCACCATGGCATTAAACTCGTCCACATCCAGGGGCAGTTTCTTGGGGAAGCGGACGTAAAGCCGTGTGCCCCTCAGCTGTTCGTACTTGTTGTGAATCTGCTCGTCTATAATCTCAGCCCGACTCTTTGGTGCAGGTTTGGCATCCTCCTCCTCTTCTTCATCTTCATCGGATTCGGTTGAACTGGCGGCCAGGTCCAGTTCGCTGTCTTCCTCCACGCCGGATGCCTCAGAATCATCCTCGTCACCGGATGCCTCAGAGCCCTCTGCCGACAGTTCTTCGTCGTCGGATGCCTCAGAGTCCTCCGCCAGTAGTTCCTCCTCCTCCTCGGATGAGCTTTCCACCTGCTTTTTCTTCATGTTTTTTTCGGGGAAACGTGCTTAAGTTTTTAAATCGAGAAATTCGTTCGCACGTGTACAATTAGTATGACCTTGCTATGAAAATACCATTAATACAGAGTTCTGACAGTTGTCAATGCCGTCAAGTTGGCAGCCCTTTTATTTATTTACACTTTTACCTACAGCATGGCCTCCACGGAGAATCCGTGTTTTTGGAACGAATTTGAATTAAAAAAGCCACCGCTAGTGACACTGCAAGTGGGGGACACGGGATTCGGTAGGTAGACACCATCATAGCACGGTACTTTTCACTTATTCTCCCTCTACTCCTCAGCCAAACATGTCTATGTGGATATCAACAGGTTCCTCCTGCAACAGGGCGGAGAGCAGGAGTCAAAGGAATTCGACGAGACGGCGGCGTTAATTGGACGTCTAATGGCCCGCCGGAAGAACTCGTTCCGAAATATGCCCGGTTTCCGGGCTGTCTGCAAACTAAATGCGGCACTGTGTCGGCTGCTCCGCTTGGACTTGCCCAGGGATCTGGAACAGTTTCGCGGCACTCTGCCGGATGTGTGTGACGGAGATTCCGCTGGGGTGTTGCCCACGCGCAGCAGCTTAGAGTTTATTCTTGTGCGGCTTCTGGGATTTTATCATCTCCACGAACGGATCAGGGAATGCTGCATCAGTGCAGTCACCTATTTCACCCAGCTCCTGCGAAATAATTTCTTCATGGAGTTTGTTACCCTTCTGGTGGCAACTATTGCCAAGATCAACAAGCTGAGCATACTTCAGGCGAATCGCAGTGCCGATCTCTACAACAGATTGAGGCCACAAGTAATCAATTTTCCGGAGGTGGAAAAACACCGATTCCTGAAGGACAACCAGGAATTGCCTGAAGAATTGCATTCTCCTAGGATTACTAAGGAGGTTGCCACACCAACCACTGCTCCCGTTCTAATGAAACCGAGGAAAGTCGTGACTAGAGTGGAAAGAGCCAAATCCGATGTGGGCACAGTGATTGCCCGAGAGGAACACAGTAGTTCACTCAAATCAGTTAAGACTAAATTCAATGCAACGGAAGTGCTGGCCACCGTTGAGGATGCCAAACGGTTTATTGCCCGCGAAACCAAATCCAGGAAGCAGAATCCTCTGCCAGAAAACTGTCTGACAGCGCTGATCACCAAGCATGAGTGGCTGGCGGCGCAGACCCTGTTCCAGCGTAAGTTAAGCAAGGATCCAGCCAAAGCCTTAGATGTATTTCGCAAGTTTATTATTAGCAAAATAAAGTAGAGGCTAAAGAACAAGGCTTACGTTCCAATTTAAAGACAGGTCACCATGCCGTCCACCAGCTGCAAACGCTTGAGACCCACAACGCGACGCTGAGGATGCGGATTGCAAGTCTATGAAGAGAATGAAATTGATTATAAAATGATCCTTAAATAGAAAACCCAACACTTTACCTTGACAAATTTTTTAAAATTCTTGCGGCCACTGTAGGTGCTTGCTGTTCCATTCAATGAAGACCCATCCACTTCATCAGTGCTGCGAGTGGTGCTGATGTTTAGGTTGCACATGCGAACCTGAATGCCATCGTTCATGGCGGCTAGCCACTTTAAATGCTTTTTGGAGTCTTCCTCCTCTGCATCCGGATCTTCTTTGATGGAGTTTTCCAGCTTGGCTGCCATTTCTAGGCTTACATTCGCCTCTGACTTGATGTCCTCGTTGTGCAGCCTGCTGCACGACAACCAGCCACTCACATCCACCTTTTGGGGCAAGTCCTTGCGCTGTGGCACTATGTACTTGGATTTTGCCTTCTCACACTCCCTTTCCGGGCAGAAGGGTTCAGTCTGCACAAAGTCCTGGTTGACAGCATCGCTGTGCCTTCCTTCAGAGTTATTGAAGTTGAACAAACCGTCGTTGACGTCGTCGTTGTTTGTTTGTTCCTGTTGTTTCTGCTTTTTCCTTTTGCTATCCGCAAAGTTAAAGAGATCCTCGCAGTCATCGCTATCACTTTCGTTAAGCGGCTCCAGCCGGAGGCGCTTGCGGGGTTGCGTCTGGGACTGGGAGGGTGGCTGAGATTCAGCCGAGGACTCCTGCGGCTGAGATTTTTCAAGAAAGTTGATCATACTTATTCTGCCGGGTGGTTTGTTGGCCTTAGTCGTTGGTGGCTTTTGTGGGCTTTTGGAGAATTGGAAAAGAGTGGCTGCATCGTCCTCGTCTTCCTCATCATTTAAAAACTGTGCCACTGACCGTTTAGCTTGTGCCACTGGCATTTCCGGCTGCTTATTTGTTATATTCCTGGCCTCCGTATTGGCTTTTAGGCGTGGTGATGTCCTGGTTACTGCCGGCGGCACTTCGGGCTTCTTCAATGCGAACTGGGCAATGCCTTTAATTTTAGACTCTGTCTTCTTTGAGGCTTTGGGAGTGTTTGCCCCAGGAGCTGGTGATTCCTTTGGCTTCTCGGCATCATTGTTGACGTTCTCCTCGTCCTCGTCCGAAGAATCAACACAATATACGGGCCTGGTCTTCTGTTTAATATGCGTGTTTTGCGGCTGTGGAGCCGGAGCTTCATCCTCATCGGAAGAATCTACTAAGATGGCATTCTTTTTGGTTTTTCCCTTTGGTTTTTCTTGGAGCATCGGCTTGGCTCTCTTCGAAGCAGATTTTTCCTGCTCCTCTTCCTCGGAGTCCAATATTACGGCATGATTGCGCTTCAGGGCCGCACTCTTGGAGGTCTCTGACTGCTCCGATTCGGGCACAATCAGCTCAGAAATTATGCCCCCACTGGATCGACCCACACTCCGTTCGGTGTTGGGCGCCAGGATGGAGGAATTGAAGTCCATCGATGAGGTTACGGACTCTGTAGGGGGCAACGAGTCGTTGGAGAACTTGTGCGCTGGATTGCAGAACTCCTTGATGGAGCAGTGCAGCAGGGCCGTGCCAATCTCGTACTCTTGGATAATGCGCAGACCGGCCTGCTCCAGGATACCTAAGGAGGGTATGACAGATATTACTTGGCTACTTGGAGTCCATTTACCACTTACTTACCTTGAATACTATTAATCGTTTCGGTGGCCTGGGACTGAGTAGACGGCACATACTGTATGACTATCACATCCTTCTTGGTAAGAAAGGTTTTCCGCACTCCGGAATTGAGATCCTTGCAGGCAGCGCCTGCTTTCTGGACAACTGCACCGTAGATCTCAAAGTGCTTTCGATTCATAAAGACAAACGTCTTGCCTGCGAACAGGGTGGTGCGTTCTGGACGCCATTTAACATCCATATTGGTGGGCTGATAATCCTTGGGCTGTGGCCAGCCCTCCTTCACGTGGATGCTCTGAGCCGCTTGTAGCAACTTTCGCCAGAAGGCGAAGGTGACAATGGGCTTGTTCTCCAGCAGAGCATGCAGTAACTTTACCGTAACCGTGGCTTCGTTCATGGTGAGGTGCGAACATTCCTCCGTCCAGTTCAGGCTAACGACTCCGCCCAGGGGCTTCAGCAACTCTTCCAGTTCCTGGACCTGGGTTCGAGTTAAAGCCGAGGCCGTGGTCACCAGCTTTAGCTGTGTCACCTGCCAAACGCTGGTGTTTCCCCCGAAACGCACACGAGTTCCCGCCGTCAGCGGTGTCAGTGTCCTTGCTGGGATTTTCTTAGCTTCCTTGGCATTTCGTGGAAAAATGAAGGTGCCATACCTGGAGCCCAGGTCCTCCACCTGCAGGGTATCATCCTCCTTTGCGGCCAAGTGCAATTTGACATGGGTGCGGCTCACACTGAGGTCCTCCTGAATGATCAAGTCCGTGGACAGGCGACCGACGGTATAAACCGGCTTACAAGGAAACAAAACGAACCTTTCCTCATCTGTGGGGTGGGTTTAGGTTCTAGTAAAATAATGGGTAGACCCTTTAATGTAATTTTTAAACTTGCCTTTGGATAAAACAAACATTACACAAAAACACGAAATTACGTTGAAAAAACAAAAAACAACTATTTTGATTTCAGAGTGACCGTATCGTGGGCGCTAAAATATACCACGGGTTTCACCTAGTTTTCTTTTGTTTAAGTTGGCAGCTCTATTACAAGAAGAAGACAATTTTTTCAGCCGGTTTGTTATTGTCGTCTTGTGGCTTTAATTTAAACAAATCAAGTTTTCCCATATAAATGTAAGTGAACCCACCTGCAACCATGGCTCACCTGACCGGCACCCGTGTCAGCACCTTCAATGAAAGCTTCCTCAACGAAAATGAGCACGACTCGAATGCGGTGCTCATGGAGCTGGACAAGGGGCTGCGTAGCGCCAAGCAGGGAATCCAGTGCGAGGCGATTGTCCGCTTCCCGCGACTCTTTGAGAAGTACCCGTTCCCCATCCTGATCAACTCTTCGTTCATCAAGCTGGCCGAGTTCTTCGTCAGCGGATCGAATCTCCTGCGCTTCTGGGTGCTGCGCGTCTGCCAGCAGAGCGAGAATCACTTGGACAAGATCCTAAACATTGACAACTTTGTGCGTCGCATCTTCATGGTGATGCACTCCAACGATCCGGTGGCGCGTGCCCTGCTCCTGCGCACTCTCGGCGCCGTTTCCCGCGTCATTCCCGAGAAGCAGCAGGTGCACCATGCCATCCGCAGAGCTCTGGACAGCCACGATACCGTTGAGGTGGAGGCGGCCATATATGCCAGCAGCTGCTTTGCCGCACAGTCCAGTTCGTTTGCCATCAGCATGTGCGCCAAGATATCGGACATGATTGAGTCGCTGCAGGTTCCAGTGCCGATGAAGCTGCTCCTTATTCCCGTGCTGCGGCACATGCACCACGACGCCACCACAGCGACTCTGGTCAGCAGGCTGTGCATGGACCTGCTACCCAAGTATCCGGCCCAGAGCTTCGTGGTGGCCATTATAGACACGCTCACCCAGCTGTCCTCCCGCACTCTGGTGGGTGTGCCCGGTCAGCTGGAGGTTCTGCTGGACTTTATGCAAGATCTTCGCACGCCCGTGCGCGTCCAGGTGCTGCGCTCCTTCAACGAGCTGGCGGGTAGCCAAAGCGTGGATGCCTGGCCCAAGCCAGCAATTGAAGCTCTCATCGGCAGATTCGAGCTCTGTACCAATTCCCAGGAGCAGTTTCTCTTCCTCTCGATCCTGCTAAAGCTCAGCGAGTGCCCGCTCACCTGCCAGCAGCTCCTAAGGGAGCACCGCGGGGCATTGCTTCAACTCTGCATCCAGTGCATCAGCAAGCTGGACGACTATACCACAGCGACCCAGGCCATGGCGGTGCTTTCGGTCCTCGGGGCCTTTGGACTGAAAAAGAAGCACGAGAGCGGCGTGCAGCAGGTGGAGGATATCCTGCACATGGTCAACCTGCACATGGAAGGATTGCTTCTGTGCACGGCGAGGCGGGCGGAGTGCACCAGGGATCTCCGGCGGGTGCTGACCTACGGCATTAGGATTACGCAAGCGAATGCTGAGTTTGGAACGTCCTTCATCGAAATTGTGACCAACACACTGGGCGACAAGGTGGTGTATCCGCCGGCCAACGCGGAGCTCATGTGTGAGGCTTTGGTTGGTCTCTGTGAGCACTTCCAGTTGCGCAAGTATGCCTTCTCCACGGTCGAGGGCCTGGTGGGTGAGGACGACAGCAATGCCATGGATACCGATGAACCGCCGCCATCAAAGGTGAATCCCATGCTGGCCCGCTTGCCGCTCATCCTGCACAAGTTGAACAGTATCATTGAGAGCCCGGAGAGCTGCGAGCAGCAGGTTAAGACCGTGGAGATCCTCAGCGCTCTGGTACTGCAGACAACCATGGGCTGTTATCTGCCCCAAAAGGTGACGCAGGTATTCGAGAAGTGCGTTTCCCGGCTGAACTGCTGGACGCTGTACAGGATTGCACGCACGGCCAGTCGCTATGGCCATCACTACGTGGCCGCACATATATACACCAAGATCTCCCAGATGGTGATCGTTGATCACATGCACTACTTCCTCGTGGCGCTCTCGCAGATCTCGCAGGCCGAGTGCATCCTGAACTATGGCTTGGATTACGCCGTCATGCGGGATAACTACGCACCGAAGGCGCCACCGGAGAGCTTGATGCCGCTGATGAAGCGATTGGAGAATGCCAGCAATCTCTATCAGCAGGCGTTGGCCAGCCTGCGGGCTTGCTCCTCGCCCCAGCATCCGTGCACCTTCCAGCTGGAGTATCTGAAGATACGGGCGCAGTTCCTGCAGACCTTGCTCCTGGCGGTGACCGTGAAGAATGCCCAGGTGATTGTGCCGCCGCCGGCCATCGCCGGAAGCCTGGCTCAGAACTCGCGGGACTACCTGCAAAAGTTTGGACATGTTACCAATCAGCTGCGCAAGCTTGTCAAGGCTCTGAAGGCCTGCGAGGAGTCGTACGCCAGGCTCTACAAATCCTCCTTCGATGCCGACCATGTGACACTGGAGTTCCTGCAGGTGGCTGAGTTCCAGTGTGCCCTCTTCGCCCACATTATCGAGTCCATTTGCTATGCCACGCCGCCGGAACCGCCCGTCTTCCTTACCACCGGAGAGCATCCGGAGACGCGGTACTTTTCCGCCAGCTGCCAGCGCATGGTGCAGATGCAGAAGAACCTGCCGCAGGAGCCAGCGAATGCCAAGACCATTAGCAATCGGCATTTGGACGTGATTATAGCCCAGATCGAGATCATCACCAAAACGCCGCTCTGCCTGCCTCGCTACTTCTTCCAGATCCTGCAGTCCACGCAGATCAAGCTGTCGGTTAGTCCGCAGCCCAGGAGCGCCACCGAGCCGGTGAATGTCCAGTCGGGCAGTAACCTGGTCATCAAGGTGGAGGGCGTACTGCAGCACTTTAGCAAGCAGCAGAAGCACTTCCGCCGTGTCGAGTCCGTCCAGCTGAGTCTCACATCTCAGCTGATTACCCCGCCTCCGAGATCCACGCAGGACCAGCTATCCAAGCCGGGAGCCAATGACACCGTGACCCTCAATCAGATTGTAAAGCCCCAGCGGGACTTTCTCTCTGGCAGCTTCCTGCTGCCCATCTCCAGTGGCGGTCACTTTCAGGTCACACTCGAGACGTTCGTGGTAGATGAGAACGGGATCACCTGGTGCACGGGTCCGAAGTCTTCGATGGTGGTGAGGGTGCTGGAGGATCCCAGCAAGCCATCGGCGCCAACGCCAAGCACTTCCCAGGCGGTGGGCCAGACGAGGAGGTTTTAAAAACGCTTAAGCTTATGTTTTAAGATGGAATATTTTTGTAAAAATATTAATAATAAATATAAAACATTTAATTTATTTATGATAAAGTTTTAAAATGTAACGGAAGGTTTTTTTTTTAATTTTTAAATATAAAATGTCAATTTTAAATTGGTTAGATTTTAGGCTTTCGGAAACGCCGGCTTCCCATCCTTATCATATCATATTTAATCTGATTGAATTAAAGTTAATGCTAATTAAATTAAAAATCCTCTTTTTTTTCCTTTTTGTAGTGATAAGCTTTTTTTTAGTGTCTTCTGCTTCCGGTGGCATTTCGGGCTTTGCGCTGCCACGGTCACACTGTGCTGATTTGTTTTCATTAATTCTTTTTGGCGAACAAAAAAATTGTAAAATGAGGCATCATTTGGGGCACTGCAACTTGTAAGCAGCGGGCAGCACTGCGTCGGCATGCCACACCAGCGGAGCAGCACAACCTGGCCAGCGTTGTAGCGGACCAATCGGAGGGACGCCTCGCCGAGATTCATTCACACCGTGCTTACCGAACCCATACACCCCCGCCCGAGCAAGTGGTTCCCAACCAATCCCGATCCGATCTTCGCGGGCGACGAATGTAAATTTTAATTGAAGCCAATTGAGTGCGCACACCCGAAAACACGCACTGCACCGCATCAAGCCAAAGCCCAAAAGCCTCACCGGAGGGCTCGGGCTCCTCTCTCCCTTTGACACAAGATTCCGCGCTTAACCCTGTTCAGAGGCGGTGGCGGCGGCAATAAATGGACATAATTGCTCTAATTGGACAGAGCAGCAGCAGCAGTGGGATCGGCAGTGGCAGCAGCAGCAGCAGCAGTGGAGGAGCACCGGCACCAGCAGCACCCCTCCGGACAATAGGATGGCGCAATTCACACTGTGAGTATATGAGTTATCAGTGGGCACCCACGGATTCCCCCGGCAACCGCTGGGGCGAGCTTATGCTTTGTTTATCTATTAACGGCGCCGCCGCGTCGCCGTGTGTATTATGCAAGTGGAAACCGAAACCCGAAACCCAAACAAGACAAAACTAATACGTAGATCATGAACCATTACCATTTGCGGCTCTCCTGCTTAATTATGTAGGTACAACAAACACAGTGCGCCGCCGGGCAGCGGCGATAGTACGCGCGTCGACTGCGATCACGTACCGTTGTGCTCCATCAACGATGTCCAGCTCCGGTTCCTGGTGCCCGATGACCTGACAGAGGTGAGTGGTGGTGGAGTGGATGCCCATCTCCCTGTGATCCGGTGGTATCCCTTGTTCTCTCCCTCTCCCCCCTCTCTCTCTCTCTCACACACACAGGTGCGCCAGCTGTGCCAAGAATGGTTTCCAATCGACTATCCACTCTCATGGTATGAGGATATTACCTCAAGCACGCGCTTCTTTGCGCTGGCAGCTGTATATAATCTGGCCATAATTGGTTTAATCGTTGCCGAAATCAAACCCTATCGAAATGTCAACAAGGAGGTAATAGCCAATATGAGTGATAGTGATGAATTGTACACCAGGCTGAGCGGTTTTCCCATGCAGGACAAGGGCATTCTGCCGGACTCGATGGGCCGCACCGCCGACGTTGGCTACATACTGTCGCTGGGCGTTCATCGCTCCCACCGCCGCAACGGGATCGGATCGCTGCTGCTGGACGCCCTGATGAACCACTTGACGACGGCCGAACGGCATTCGGTGAAGGCGATCTTCCTGCACACGCTGACCACGAATCAACCTGCCATATTTTTCTACGAGAAAAGAAGGTATTCGTGTCGTAGTCGTTCGTTTGTGTGCGTGTCATGGGCCTATTAACCCCGTTTTTGTGTTCCAGATTCACGCTACACTCGTTTCTGCCCTACTACTACAACATCAGGGGCAAGGGCAAGGATGGCTTCACCTACGTCAACTACATCAACGGCGGCCATCCGCCCTGGACATTATTATATCCTTTTACCAAATACCACAGCTGGCTAGCTTGTTTCGCTTTCGTTTTTATGATTTCCCTATACTTTTGGTTGCCCTCTTAACTCTCTCTGCACAGATCACATCAAGCACTATGCCTCCAAGGTGCGGCACACGAGCAGTCTGTGCGCCTGGGTGGCGGGTCGCGTCCAGCAGGTGGTGCGTTGGTTCTACCACAAGCTCCTCACGCGCTTCAACTTTATCGAGTGAACTGGGTACACGCTTGCCCTTGCATCCTTCCCAGTTGCGGTGGCATTATGTCATTCTGTTGAGCATAAACAAAAGCAAAAACAAAAACATTTATATGTAAAATCACCAACCCCCACACACGGACACACCTTCATTATAAATGTTAGGCAACAACCCACATCCACATCCGCAGAGAATCATTAGGTTTTTATACGAAAAGAGAAAGAGATCTAGCAAAGAACAACGCGAGGAAAGCATAAGTTGAAAGTTGTAACATAAAGCTCGGATAAGTGTATTATTACGTTTTAAAGGAGATCCCATTTCTGTTCGTTCACTGCTGTAAATAGTCTTACCATGTTTTCTTTTGTTTAAATTCTCTTTTTCCTATTTTTGAATGTTTAGTTTTATATGTTTTACGTTTTACGTTCTAAGTTCCACGCACAAGACAGTCATTTATTTAGTTTAGCCGAAAACAAAGATGCTCATGCTTTATAATGCTTAATTTATGAAATCTGCACGTAAATACATAGCTTTTGAACTGAGAAAACGAATTAATTGCGAGTTAAAGCCCCCAAAAACTACCACAAAGAAAGAAGAAAAACAATTTTAAAACCAAACTCTGTTCACTGTTTCTAAATAGTATTTTGTAAAAGTATTTTAATGATTATATTGTTTTTTTCGCAGCTAATTCTGATTACGTTTAGGCACAATTTATCTAGCAAATTGTAATATTTTTTAAAATAAATATAAAAAACTTGTAAAGTTATAAAATGGGTTTTTGTTTAATTTATTTAATTAAAAAGGGGGTTAAGTAATGAGTCTTTATAGACCGAAATAAAAAAGTTGTATTGCATTTTTTTAATATAAATATTTCTCCAAAATTAATGAGGAAATAAACATTTTATTACCTATTTCAAAAGTTTGCTAATATTTTAATTTTCTATAAATTTAACTAATAATTTTAATTACATTTAATATTTTATTTTTCTATAAATTTAATTAGTAACTTTGACATTGCATTTCTTTAGATATTTAACCTAATATTTAAGCTAAAAATGTTTATAAGCTATGTTTTATGTTTTCTATATTAAATTAATATTCCGCTAATTCTCAAAGATAAATAAAATAAAAATAAATAAGTTGTTTAGTAATTATTAAGTTTAATTAAAAAATAAAAAATAAATTGAAACACCGCCCACCTGCCAGTGTTGTAAAGCAGCAAACGTTCGAACGATCTGGCAACCCTCGGCCAGCCTGTCATTCGCTGATTACTATTGTGAACTGTGTGCGATTTTTGGGGCAATTTTTAGTAGCATAAATTCGTCGCAACTGCCTGGAAAAAATGTTCTCGAGAGCCGCTCTTCTAACAGGTAAATACCCAAAACCATGGATAACCTGCTAAAAACACTCAATGGGCTTAGATAAAGCCACAATCCGCCGATATTCCGCCCCAAATTGACCGTGAAAAATGTTACGGCATTGCAAAGCTGTCGTCCGGACATCGTGGTTTATGTAATCACCGACGGTGTCAAAAAAGCATAATAATTTTTGCCAATGCGCAAGGAAGGACTAAATGCACGTTAGTTCAAATGCGAAATACTAATCTTGATTTTTCATTGCAGCCCAGCGCCCTTTGACCGTGGCCGCCACCCGGTCGGCTGCCGCTGCTGCCGCTCAGCCAGCAGCCGTGGAGCGCCGCCAGCGCCCCGAGCATCCCGGCAAGGTGCGTTTGGGCTTCCTGCCCGAGGAGTGGTTCCAGTTCTTCTACAACAAGACTGGTGTCACCGGACCCTACACCTTTGGTGTCGGTCTGATCACCTACCTCTGCTCCAAGGAGATCTATGTCATGGAGCACGAGTACTACAGCGGTCTGTCCCTTGGCATCATGGCCATCATTGCTGTGAAGAAGCTCGGCCCGGTCATCTCCAAGTGGGCTGATGGCGAGATCGATGTGAGTGCTAAACTATATATAAAAAATGTTTCATATAACCAAAAAACCCTACATTTCTACAGAAAATCGAGTCCGAATGGAAGGAGGGACGTGAGGGTGAGCTGAAGGTCCTCTCCGATGCCATCGAGGCCGAGAAGAAGGAACAGTGGCGCGCCGATGGCGCCCTGCTGCTGATGGAGGCCAAGAAGGAGAACATTGCCTTGCAGTTGGAGGCCGCTTTCCGTGAGCGCGCCATGAATGTCTACTCGGAGGTGAAGCGTCGTCTGGACTACCAGGTGGAGTGCCGTCACGTTGAGCGTCGCCTCAACCAGAAGCACATGGTCAACTGGATCACCTCGAATGTGCTGGCCAGCATCTCGCCCCAGCAGGAGAAGGAGACCCTTAACAAGTGCATCGCCGATCTGAGTGCTCTGGCCCTGCGCGTCAAGTCCGCTTAAACCGACTCGAGTTTTAGTTGATAATATTGTAAATTAAAACCCCATTCGAGACGCAGGAAAAATGATTATAACGCCCGCAAGATGATAAATCGATCCAATATATCTTCAAAGTATCTGTGTCAGAAAACTTTTATTTTATGTTAAATTGTTTTTGTTCTATTTAAAAATATTTCCACTTGAAATTAAGAGAGCTGATTGAATTTTGAAGTATCTGTTGGTTTAAAGCAGTAGTCGGCACGTCCCAAGCCCATGGGATAGGCAAAGGCTCTGCCGGCAGCGCTGCCAGCACACGGATAGCGTAAACTTCACACACACGGAACACACTCACGTCATTTTTGCTCCGTACCTCACTCACACAAATGTGCTTTTTGGTTGATTGTGATGGTGCCGAGCACTGGTTTAAAGCATAACCTGGGGATGATGAAGATAAAGATGAGAATATATGGTATCTTTCAGGCGGCTTTAAGAAGCAGGGAACATCAAGTCTACATAAAAAGTATAACTGTATTTCACTGCGGGCATTACCCTTAAATATTTCAAAGAAATTCCAATGGCTTATTAAAATTTTAAAACAATTGATAAATTACAATGGCAACACCTTTAAGTATCAGTCTTGAGCTGCACTCGCGTCTTCCTCGAAGACATCTGCCTGGACTTGCTCTCCCTGGAAATCTCCGAGTATATTAAGTCTCCGTACTGTCTGCAGATTCTGGATGCAGTAATCCACTGTGGTGACTATACACAAGGGTCGCTCTCCCTTGTAGTAGCCCGTGTTCTCACGCAAATAGACAACGTTCCGGGTGGCCAGCCAAAGTTGGAGTTTTACAAAGCAGGGGCACTGCCAGGGATTGCCTTCGATGGCCACGCGTTTCAGGTTCGGGAAGCTCACATTCACCTTGGCCAGAAAGGTCAGGCGGTTGTTATCCACCAGAACCTCGGTCACGCTGCTTAGGCTCTCGAGCACATCAATACCAATCTCCTCCAGCAGATTGTGGCCCAGATGCAGTTTCTGGAGATGACGCATCGGAGCAAACATACGCACATCCAAAGACTTTAGTTCATTGTGTCCCAGCGATAGGTATTCCAGGAAAGGCAGCGAGGAGAAGGCCAGCGGATGCAGCCTCTTTAGGTGATTGGCATTTAGGTTGAGCTTTCGCATGCGCGACAAGGTGTTGCTTCCGAAGATCTGCTCCTCAAGAAACTCCAGGCTGTTGTAGGACAAATCCAGGGTATCCAGATTAACCAGCGCCGAAAAGGTGTCCGACTTGATTTCCAGGATGTCATTATTCTGCAAATACAGCTTGCGCAACAATCCTAGACCCACAAAGTGACCCGGACTCAGGCTGGAGATGCTATTCCTGGACACATCCAGCACCTGCAGCCTGGCCAGCACTCGAAACTGGTTGTCGAACAGCAGGCGGATGCGATTACCGGACAGATTCAGCTGCTGCAAATTAAGCACAAAGTTCTGAACAGCTCCGAATACATTGGGACGCAGTGCACCAATTGAGTTCCTTGAGAGATTAAGTATACGCAGCTGGTTGAGTGGCTGAAAGGTGTCCTGGCCAATAGAGGTCAACTTGTTGCCACTAAGCTCTAGCTCCAGCAGACCACGGAGACCGCGAAATGCATTGACGTCCAACTGGAAATGTATATAAAAGATTTAAATAATATAATGACTAGTATTACCTATTACCTATTATTAACTATAGTTAATTAGAGGAAAATGTTTACTGTTCGATAATAAAACTGAGCTGTCAAATATTTCGATCAGCTTTAAAATTCGAATCAATTTTCTCATAGCCATAAAAAGTTCTTTAATTGAAAAGTTTTGCCCCTTAAATAAACAAATAATATTTAACTGTTATTTTAGCAGCCGCAAAGATCATCACGGTCAATTAAACATCAGAAATGTATATCTAGCTGAAGGCAAATATTAGGCGTTAGAGTTCGTTCTGGTCAACTGGCAAGATCAAAGCTAAATCTATAATATTTGATATTATAAAAAAATGATAATGTTCAAAAATGGTAGTGATGACAATGGTATTCCCAGAAATTGGGAATAAATTAAGACGAAGTACTCTTGTTTGGAACTGTGGAATTAACAATTAAAGTTCTGCAAGCCTTCAAGAATATAACTCGACACTAGAAGGAATTAACCATCGTTGAATCCTAGCCAAGTAAAAGGTATGGAGAAGAAGGATAACTAAGTGCCTGAAGTGTCTGAATAAAGTAACTCCCTACTATAATTTTGCATAATTTTTCTTGATAACCACATTTCATCACAATTCCCTGCTGGCTCACCTGCTCCAGCTGGTTATCATTCAGGATCAGTTCCTGCAGCTGCGGACACACACCGAAGGTGGCATTGATCAATCGATTGTGGCCCAGTTCCAGGCGATTGAGCAGCGGCATATGTGGCAGATCGCATTGTGCCAGGGCATTGTACGAGAAATTTGCATAAATCAACTTCCGCAGATTGCCAAAAAAGTCCCGGTCGAGAATCTCCATTTGATTGTGACTACAGTCGAGCCGCTGGAGGGCTGACTCAGCAGCAAAGTGGTTTCCCTGGATGTTGGACAGACCGCAACTGCTGAGGTTTAGATACCGCATATTCGGCAGAATAGAGAAGCCGCCACTATGAAGATTTATGGGAATAGCAGCAGTCAAGTCCAAGTCCATTAAGTTGCCCAGGTGATCAGCATTGTCGCCTGAATATTTGATGATTCATTTGGATACATTTTTGAATATACTTTATAGGAAAGTATTAAAATTTTTTAGATCTCACCTGAGCCCACCTCCAGTTCGGTTTGCTCATTCCGAATGCTGAGCTTATGCCAGTTCTCTGCCCCCAAACCCACCAGATCCTGTAACGAAGCCACCTCGTTGCACTCAAAGCTGCGCCATCCCACCGGCTGGCAAAGATCGGCGGCAGCCAGGTAGGGAATTCCCCAGAGAATCGACGGCAGAAGCCAGAACCCGGCAGTTGGCAACATTCCTGCTCCAGAGTTAGGCCTCGACTGGGGTAACCGCCGACGAGCGCAGAATGCGAGTGCGAATGAAAATGCAAATCCAGTTTGTAAACAGGTGACAAGGTTGGGGGGACAAACATATAGGTAGCCGGTTTTAAGGGCGTCATCAGGGGGATCTTCACCAGGGGCCGGCCACTCAACAGCTGACAAGTGCCGGCTGCCTGCCTCCATTGCCTCCAGCGTCTTGTTTATCTTTCTCTATCGATAGGTACTTTCTATAACTCTTTAATAGTGGTTTACATACAGTATATACGTTACATAATATCGGTTAATTACTTGAAGATTATTGTGCTCTTGGAGAAAAAAAATAGAAGATGTCTTGCGTTCATTATTGTTTTCTTTTCGCTGCTATTGGTTTAGAATTACATCATAGCTCATATATATAGTACAAATTACAGGAAAATTAAACCAGGAAAAACTCTCTAACTTAGACTAAAACTTAGGTGAAACAATTTAACAATCAAAAGGTAAGTCCATTAATTCTATTTAAGATTACACATACGCACATATATATATATATAGAATATTCCACTAATTGCACATTTTTAAGATTTGTGCTTGGTTTTCCATTAATTTGGAGGCTCAGATGGGCGATATTATATATCTGGCTAGCAAAATATTATTGGAGGCCATCAAACTTGGCCAAAAGAAGAGCTAAATGTTGTTTAAATGTATATTGAAGCAATACGGATATAAATGTAGGAGATATTTTAAGTACAATCCTTACATGCAAATATTTTACTAAGAGCTCTCGGCTAAGATGCAAATATACTTTCGTATTTAGCTTAGGCTAGTTAAGAACTTGTACTAGGTCTATTTCACAATTATATGGATTATTGTTTGCTGTTGTTCAGAGCTTTCCCAAAAGAAGACTTGCGACTGCCAGATCCTTGGATGGTGTTTAAAAACTGGAGGAGAGACTGGTGTATCCAAATCAGACTATAGTTACGGTTGGGTTTGTCATCTTGTTGCTGTTATACAACGGCTGATAATGCGCACTTGGCTTGCTCTGGCACCCGTTGGGGTACCTCAACTTGACCCCGTTCTGGGCCTGCGGCGACAGCGATGATGTGGAGGAGCAGGACAGCGAGGAGAGCGATCCGGTGGAGGACTTAATATTATGCTTTAGCGGCAACGGCTCCCCAATCAGCGTTATCCTCACGGGCTTGTAGGAGGCCGACGGTGTGTTTGTGGTCGTGGAATCCCAGCCGATGGAGGAGCGCCGGGGCGGTGTGTCTGGGAAGGATGCCGCCGCCAGCTGCTGGTTGTAGTTGGTCAGCGTGGTGGAGATTATGGTGTGCCTGCGGGTCTGGCACAGGGCTGGGCAACTGGACTGGGTCTTGTCGCGCTCCCGCTCCCCCTGGTGGCTGCTGCTGCTGTGGTTACTCTGGTGGTGGCGGATTATTGTGGTGGCTGCCAGCGTGGAGTCGTGCAAGTGGAGCGTCGGAAAGTGTGTGGTATAACTTGTATATTCGGGCTTACTTCTGCGAACAGAGAAATGGGAGTTAGTGGGGTCTTGCAAAAGAATGTGAGGTTAATTTTATTTTATAAAAACATTAGCCTTCCCCACATGCCATTAAAGTTATCTACATTGGGCAGAGAAGATGGGAAAATAGTCTGCAGTTTTAAGGAATTTTAGTTAATGTTTGTTATTATTATAAAAGTTAATTTAGACTAACTTTGGAAGATTAGTTTAATAGCATAAATCATATCATTCAAAAGATTTAAGATTAAAAATTATTTTAAAAACTGCTCAAGTGTAAGCAATGATTTAATTCATCCCAAATATTGTACCAAGAATGCAATCCCCTACAACCCTGAGTAAATTTTGTCACCTAATCAAAAAAAATCCTATGATTCATAAACTCAATTGAATCATCCTCGACCCATCCCATCTTCTCGCCAGGTTTTGGGTTAATTTTTAGTTTGCGTTACCTTGGGACTCTATTTAATTGCCGCATGCAATTAAAACGTTTCACAAACAGTGTTAAATTTTCAGTGACAAATAAATAACATATTTAAAACATAGTTATAGTTATAGTTATAGTTATCTTATGGATATTAAAGCTTTGGTAGGTTTCAATTGGGTCTGGGT